CTTGCGTGCCACACCCGGGCCTCGCGCGCAAGATACACTTTGCATGTGAGATCGTTCCGGCCAGGCATCAGTGCTAGGATGATGTTTTCGTGCAGCATGAAATTAGGGAACTCGTGTTTTTTGCCTTTTGTCGTGGTGGCTCAGCTCCAGTAGATCTTGCTCCGGGATCTTACTGAAATTCGGCCGCTCAACCTGCCGTCAGGATTGCGTGCCCTTTCGCGAAGTGCGAGGCGAACATGCACTTACTATAGGGGCCTAAATAACTACCTATACTACTCTGAGGGTTCCTAACTATAACTGTATAATGGGCCCCAAAACCCTATCCCAATTATGAAGGCCCCCATATTATGGTCTGGGGCAGCTTCAGTGCTTTCACTGTGTCAGGGCTTAACCGGCTTCGGATTGTGGCAGAGGACCTCAACCCAGAACCCCGGGAGGATCCAAAAAGTAGATCCCCTTGATGGGGGTTCCTATACAGTACCCATGGTGGTATAGGTCCCCAAATTAGGGGATCTACTTTCTAGATCCTCCCGGGGGTCTGGGAACAACTGACTGAGCTCAATCGGAGACCTCAGCCCTGGAATTTCATGCAGATGTGTATACCGAGCTTTGGATATTAAGAAACAGGTCAACACCGGCTGGTTCGTAGGGTTTGGAGCTACGGGTAGGGATGAATACGGTTGATGATATAAATCCTGCATTACCTTAAGGACCCTAGACGATGTGATTTACGGTATGTTCCTTATTATGGGTAATGCAGGATTTTTATCATCAACCGTATAGGGGTATATAGGGGCCTGAATAATTACCAATACTGTTTTGGGGGTTCCTTCTTAAGGTTATGATATTTATGGATCCCCAAACCCTATTCTAATTACTCAGGCCCCTATATTACAGAACCCTACTATATAGTTCCCTTACAGACCCCTGTTTAACTACAGGATAGTATACCCCCCAAAACCCTATCTTAATTACTAAGGCATCATATTATATTGAATCTTCATAGTAGCTCTTATTATAGCCCTTATAGACCCCTTTGAAAGGAACCCTTTAAAGGAGCCCTATTCTACTAATTCAGGCCCCCATATTTGCAGGGCTGAGACCTCATGAGAGGAAAGTCTCCCAGAATGCCCTCAGGCCCAGTAGTTTCGGAACTGGGGCTTAGGGGTTTAGGGGTGTAGGGGTTCAGGGGTTTAGGGTTCAGGGTTCAGGGTTGAGGGTTTAGGGTTGATGTTTAGGCCTCAGGGCTTACGGCTTTCGATTAGGGGCAACCGGTTATGTGCAGGAGCTACAACTCAGAAAAGTGTGGAGTTTCAAGGTAGTTGGCTGCTTTTGCGTCGTCCGCTTCAGACCCTGCTTGCCAACTATGCCTAGACCTAAACCGCAGACCGTAGCTCTGTGTTAGAATTTGTGTGATGCCTTATTTGGGGCAGAAAACTATTTTCTCTGAGCCTTTAAAATCAGTAAAAACAGTCACGAAACCTTAGGCACCCCTAAAAAAGTTCTACAAGACCTCATAGACCCTCCACGATATCCCACGATATGCATAGCTAGCTTTCAAGCATTGTCTTTCGTTGCAGGGTGCGCACGCTGCCGGCAAGGAGGTGCGGCTGAAGAGGAAAACCGGAAACCTTCATCCCTAAACCTTAACAAGCCCCACAATCCCTCAATTCAAGAGGATACCTCAAGTTACTATGTATGTCCCAGCATTTGTTACGGTATGTTGCTTGATTGAAGGGTGTTGGAGACTGTCTTTTGTGTGCCCAGACTGGGGTTGGCTGAGACCTGGGCGCATGCAGAAAGGCCACATCACCTGAAAACGGAACCCTAAAACCGAAACCCTAAACCCTAAACCCCCGAACCCCTACCTGTAGCAGGAAAGACCTACTTGTTTAGGGTTCCTTATTATGGTTTCTATATATAGTTCCTTAAAAAGGTAGCTCCTTTCGGCTACAGGTAAGCCCTGAAGCCCCAAACCCCTAAACCCCAAACTCCTCTTGGGCCTGTCAAGTCTCGGGCATTCATCGGAGGCCGTGGCAAGTGTGACCAGGCCAGGCTTGCAAAATAGTGGCTTCAACAATTACCTATACTTTTTTGGTGTTCCGCATTATGATTTCGTTTTTTGGGCCGCAAAACCCGAGTCTAATTATTAAGGCCCCTATGTTACTTTGCTTAACATGGCAGCCTTCTGTTTGAGTGTGGCGATGGCATCGAAAACCCCGCACCCCTAGGCGACCCCTATAAAACTTTTCAACAGCTTGTAATGCCCAGAACAAGTTTTGTGTAGCCCTTAGCCCTGAACGCTAGACCCCAAACCCTAAACCCCAAGCCTTAGACCCTAAACTCTTAACCCTTCAACCCTGAACCCTAAACCCTTCTCCCTTCCAAAACCGTCCGGCGCTTCATGCAGTCCACCCCTACTTGAAGACTCATGGGACTTAGTAAGTCAGGTTATAAGTAGGTTATAAATTCGGATATCCCCACTTAGGGGACTTATAACCCCAATTATAACCTACTTACTAAGTCCCATGATCCTTTAAGTACCCCTCCCCCAGCCCCTACCCTAAACCCTAGGGGGACTTAGTAAGTAGGTAGTAAGTAGACTTATAAGTACCCTAAAAGGGACCCTAATTGGGGTTATGGTACTTATAAGTCCTGTAAATAACCAGTTACTAAGTCCCCCGACCCTCCAAGTACCCTAAACCCTAAACCCTAGAGGACCCCTTAAAGGAGCCCTTCAAAGGAACCCTACTAAGTCCAACCCCTCCCCCAGCCCCTACCCTAAACGCTAGACATGGAGACCGCCAGGTGAAGTGCCTGCGCCTGGAGGCTTTCGGCTTCAGCAAGGTGCCATGAGGGGTATTATGGGGTTTAGGGGTCTACTTAAAGGATCATGGGACTTAGTAAGTAGGTTATAATTGGGGTTATAAGTCCCCTAAGTGGGGTTATCCTAATTATAAGCTACTTATAACCTTACTTACTAAGTCCCATGATCCTCTAAGTAGGGGTTCCTTTAAAAGGTGCCTAAGGGCTCCTTTGAAAAGGTCTTAGGGGCTTTAGAGGTTTAGGGGTTTAGGGTTCGCGGATTTAGGGGTTTACAGTTTAGGGTCAAGGGTTTGCAGGCTTCGGACTCCCTACTTGGAGGGGCAGGGGACTTAGCAAGTAGGTTTTAAGTAGAGTTATAAGTACCCTAAAAGGAGTTACCCCAGTTATAACCCTACGTATAACCCTACTTGCTAAGTCCCCTGCCCCTCCAAGTAGGGTTTACACGGCTTCAGGTCGAAGCTCTAGCACTCAGGTTTTAGGGTTTAGGGTTCAGCAGCTCCAGTTCGAGCAGTCTCCAGTTCGAGCTCGCTACTTTGGTGTCGGCAATCATCCCAGTCACCCACAGATTCCCGTAACATAAAGAAACACTTTTACTTCTTTTAAACCCCCTGTGCTTAAATCCTAGACTCGGCTTGGGTTAAACGTTTTCCTTGCAATCGAGCTATCAGTTTAAGGTTCGACTGTTTATCTTCATCAAACTTAAACCCGACAAGTAGAAAGTTTAGAGGTTATCAGCTGTCAGCTTGCTGAACTAGGCTCCTAGGACCCAAAGTAGGCCCTTATTCCCGTTGTTAGGGTTCAGGTTCACTTATAAGCCCCTTTAGACCAAAAAGGGCACCCTTTTCAGTCCTAGGTTACTCTTGGGACTCTTGGGCTTAGGCTCAAGAACTCAGCGGCTGGTGACAGTCACCGCGTAATCACACCGCACAAAAGAACTTACCATAAGCAGGTTTGCATGTCCAAACATAGAACCAAAAGCTCGTCCGATGGATGGTTTGGACAAACCCCAAAACTGATGCGCGTCGGTCACCGTGGGGCCACTAGTGCTGGGCCTACAATCCGATTTTGGCATTTGCCCTACCACGAATTTCCGAAGGTCGGGGGTTCCAACTTGCCTACAGCCTGCCACGAATTGCCAACAGTCGGTGTCAAACTTGCCTTAAAATGCGGTTAGTGGCCTGAGGCGGGGCCACGAACCGCCTTTTAAGGCAAACAACCCACCGACCTTGGACCATTCGTGGTTTACGCCAATTGCCGTAAACCACGAACTTCCGAAGTTACTACTACCACCACCATCACCACCAGCGCGATAATTACAACGACGACGGTGAGGACAACTATGGCCGATGACAACGACGACTGTGTGTGGACGTCGACGACACTTAAAGGCTCATGGGACATAGTAAGTATAGGATAACCCCACTTAGGGGACTTATAACCCCAACTATAACCTACTTACCAAGTCCCATGATCCTCTAAGCAAGGACGACGACGACGACGACGACGGCGGTGATCTTCCGCTTCTCTGGGCGCCAATGCCAATGCAGACCCGAAGCCAAAAATACCGATACTGATGGACAAAATCCTGCATGACCTTACGGACCCGAAACTGTGGGAACTATGGCATATTCCTTATAACGGGTAATGCAGGATTGGTCCATCAGCAGTACGACCAGCAATTTACGGATGAAAACTTTATAAGCAGAAATGCTGAAGCACGTTTTGGCGATACTCACTTGACGCGTGAAGTATGTGGACATTCCCCTGGTTGGGTCCTGGCAGAGGCCCACTTAGAGGATCATGGGACTTAGTAAGTAGGTTATAACTGGGGTTATAAGTCCCCTAAGTGGGGTTATCCTAATTATAAGCTAGTTATAACCTTACTTACTAAGTCCCATGAGCCTTTAAGCAACGCCAAGGAAACGTAGCCATTGTGCCATCCGCCCACTCGCTAATTCAGGGGTTTAAGGTTCAGGCTGCTTTCACTTAAATCTTAGGGGTAATCGGAAATAGTTTGCATTTTTTGGTTACTACAATAATCCCGAAGAAACATGTTAAATTGCCAATTATGTTTTGCTAGGGGGCCAAGTTCAGTATAGAAGTGGCCAGTTCTTACAACATCCCGGACATTAAGCATGCTGGCCGTGGGCTGATCCGCAGCTTGAGCCGTCATCATGTCGTTGATGCTGGAGGTAAGTCTCCTAAGTGGCAAGACTGTGTCACTTCAGGCAGACGAGGACTGGGCTCTGGAGTTACACACTTTAATACCTTTTTTGGGGACCTGGACCTGTTATATACTTAAAGGGAGCCATTATGAAATAAAAGTCTATACTTTTTTTCTGTCTGGTGTCCAGAGGACGAACCCATGGAATCACTGAAGGTGCGTGCACAGCGAGCCCTGGGAGCTGGCAGAGGTCGACTTTCAAGCTCCACCGGCCTAGTTCTTGATGGAGCTGCACCGCTGAAGCACGCCAAGCTGCAGAACGGCGAGCAACTAGTGTCCTGGGTTTGGAGTAGCCATGCTGGAATACTTTTTTTGGGTACCTTTTCCTTAAATGAGCCATTATGAAATAAGAGTCTATACTTTTTTCTCCCTGGTTACTTCAAAGCCCAGGTGTTGCAAGTCCGAAGAGTCGATGTACTTGGCACTGTTGCGGCCTTTGCCGCGATTCTGGGGGATGCCTCCATCGCGACCTGGGGCGATGCTGGCTGCGGTGGGGACAGCAGCGCAGTGCAGGATCGGCTGAAGAATGTGCAGCAGGTTCAAGCAACTGAGCGGGCTTTTGCTGCAATCGTCCAGGATGGCTCCGTCGTCACTTGGGGCGATGCTAAATACGGTGGTGACAGCAGTGGAGTCCGAGATCAGCTGCGGAATGTGCAGCAGGTTCAAGCAACTGAGCGGGCCTTTGCTGCGATCCTTGCGGATGGCTCCGTGGTGACCTGGGGCAGTGCTGGCTGGGGTGGTGACAGCAGTGGCATCCGACATCAGCTGAAGAATGTGCAGCACATTCAAGCAACGAGGACTGCCTTTGCCGCGATCCTCGTAGATGGCTCCGTCGTCGCCTGGGGCGATGCAACCTTCGGTGGTGACAGCAGTGGCGTCCAAGATCAGCTGAAGACTGTGCGGCAGATTCAAGCAACGAAGACGGCCTTTGCGGCCGTACTTGTTGATGGGTCTGTCGTGACCTGGGGCTTTGCCATCTCTGGTGGTGACTGCAGATCTGTATTCGAACCTCTGAAGAGTGTGCAGCAGATTCAAGCAACTTTCTCTGCTTTTGCTGCGGTCCTGGGAGATGGCTCCGTCGCTACCTGGGGCAGTGCTGGATGTGGGGGTAGCAGCAGAGCTGTGCGAGATCAGCTGAAGAATGTGCAACAGATTCAAGCAACAAGGCTTGCCTTTGCTGCAATCGTCCGGGATGGCTGCGTCGTGACCTGGGGCAGTGCTGACTGGGGTGGTGACAGCAGTGCCGTGCGAGATCAGCTGAAGAATGTGCAGCAGGTTCAAGCAACTGAGCGGGCCTTTGCTGCGATCCTTGCGGATGGCTCTGTCGTGACCTGGGGGGTTTTTTCCTCCGGTGGCGACAGCAGTGGCGTCCGAGATCAGTTGAAGAATGTGCAGCAGGTTCAAGCAACTGAGGGGGCGTTTGCTGCGATCCTCGGTGATGGCTCCGTCGTTGCCTGGGGCGATGCAGATTTCGGTGGTGACAGCAGCGGCGTCCGAGATCAGCTGAAGAATGTGCATCACATTCAAGCAACGAAGACGGCCTTTGCGGCCGTACTTGTTGATGGCTCTGTCGTGACCTGGGGCAATGCCCTCTGCGGTGGAGACAGCACTGCTGTGCGAGCTCAGGTGCATGGCAGCTGCGAGTAACCAACGAAACACTTCGCCACAGGTTCGCACGCAGCTGTTTGTAGGATTCCGGTGGTTGCATAGGAGGCACAAGCAGAGGTTAAGTTGGAATTTAGGGGTTCCGTTTCGGGAATTACCTGCAGTAGTATAGTAATTGCCACAACAGTGGTAGTACTGCTGGTAGTGGTAGTAGTATTAGTAGTGGTAGAAGTGGTAGTGTAGTCGTAGAAGTGGTAGTAGTGGTAGGAGTGGTAGTGGTGGCATTGGTGGCAGTGGCGGTAGTCGTTACAGTTCGTTTGTATTTAGCTTGATTGTTTATCGATCTTCCGACGTGGATCCATTGTAACGTGGGGCCATGCTAGCTTCGATTGTGAGACCAATGCCGTAGGTCGTGCTGTACATTCAAGCATCGAGGGGAGACCTTTGCTGCGATCATGGGGGATGGCTCCTCGGTGACCTGGGGCGATGGTTTCTCCGGTGGTGACAATACTGCCGTGCGAGATTAGTGGAAGCCTGGAAGACCTAAACCTCAAATTCCTTGATGTAAGAGGGGGATTGGGCGCTCTGGGGCCCCAAGCGAGCCACAACTTTAAACCCTGAACAACCCTTCACAAAGCTAAACAACCCTAAACAATCCTGAACAACTCTAAACAAGCTTAAGCCCTCCTAAACCCTGAACCCTCCTAAACCGTCCGCCCAAAACCCTCCTAAACGCTCCTACACCCTCCTAAACCCTCCTAAACCCTAAGCTCTAAAGCCTAAACCCTAAACCCTAAACCCTAAAAACCTTAAACCCTAAACCTTAAAAAAAAGCCGTCCTAAACTTTAAAGCCAAGCGAGCCAGGTGGAAGTGGCGGACCTTGGTGCCGAGGGCTCCTTTCGACAGGTCCGGGGCTGCAGCCCGGGCCCGATCTTTTGTTTAGGGATTAGGGTTTAGGGATTAGGGTTTAGGGTTTAGGGTTTAGGGGTTTAGGGTTTAGGGTTTAGGGTTTAGGGGTTTAGGGGTTCAGGGTTTAGGGGTTTAGGGTTTAGGGTTCAGCAACTCTGGTCGAGCAAATTTCAAGTCAAGTTGGTTTTAAGAAGAAATCCCACCCGCCAAAAGGTTCCCCTCACATTGAGAAGAAACCCTTTCTTCTTTTATATTCGGGGAACATTGATTTTACATACTTAAACTATACATACATGAAATCGAATACTAAGCAACACTGCACCGATTCGGTTGTTCATTCAAACATATTTACTCGGATAAGACAGTCTTATGATGAAAACTATATATACACATGAAATCGAATACCAAGCAACACTGCACCGAGTCGCACAAACAAGTTTACTCACACAAGAGCAGTCCTATGATAGATCGAATGCCAACATTTCCAAGAAGCAATTCTGGAGAAGACATCGTGTGAAGGCGACCAACCCCAAATTGAAAGGCGACGACCCAATTTGAAAGGCAACCAAAGGCGACAAAATCCAATGAACGAACCGATCGCAAATTGAAAGGCGACAAAACCAAATTGAAAAGCGACGAACCCAAATTGAAAGGCAACCAAAGGCGACAACATCCAAATTGAAAGGCGACGACCCAAATTGAAAGGCGAGGAACCGTCCCACAGCGAGTTATGGACAAGAGCCACCAGTTATGGACAAGAGCCACGAGTTATGGACAAGAGCCACGAGTTATGGACAAGAGCCACGAGTTATGGACAAGAGCCACGAGTTATGGACAAGAGCCACGAGTTATGGACAAGAGCCACGAGTTATGGACAAGAGCCACAGTTATGGACAAGAGCCACGAGTTATGGACAAGAGCCACGAGTTATGGACAAGAGCCACGAGTTATGGACAAGAGCCACGAGTTATGGACAAGAGCCACGAGTTATGGACAAGAGCCACGTGTTATGGACAAGAGCCACGTGTTATGGACAGGAGCCACGAGTTATGGACAAGGGCCACGAGTTATGGACAAGAGCCACGAGTTATGGACAAGAGCCACGAGTTATGGACAGGAGCCACGAGTTATGGACAAGGGCCACGAGTTATGGACAAGGGCCACGAGTTATGGACAAGAGCCACGAGTTATGGACAAGAGCCACGAGTTATGGACAAGAGCCACGAGTTATGGACAAGAGCCACGAGTTATGGACAAGAGCCACGAGTTATGGACAAGAGCCACGAGTTATGGACAAGAGCCACCAGTTATGGACAAGAGCCACGAGTTATGGACAAGAGCCACGAGTTATGGACAAGAGCCACGAGTTATGGACAAGAGCCACGAGTTATGGACAAGAGCCACGAGTTATGGACAAGAGCCACGAAGACTATAGGGTTTAAATTATAATAGGTAGAGAGGTTTAGAGGTTCGGGGTTTAGGGTTTAGAGTTTGGGAGTTTTAGGGGTTTAGGGTTTAGGGTTTGGGGGTTTAGGGTTTAGGGGTTTAGGGGTTTAGGGGTTTAGGGTTTAGGGGTTTAGGGGTTTAGGGGTTTAGGGTTTAGGGGTTTAGGGTTTAGGGGTTTAGGGGTTTAGGGGTTTAGGGGTTTAGGGTTTAGGGTTTAGGGTTCCTTTAAGAGTTCCTTTAAGAGTTCCTTCAAGAGTTTCTTTAAGGGTTCCTTCAAGGGCTTCTTTAAGGGTTTCTTTTAAGAGTTTCTTTAAGGGTTCCTTTAAGGGTTTCTTTAAGGGTTCCTTTAAGGGTTTCTTTAAGAGCTTCTTTAAGGGTTCCTTTAAAGGTTCCGTTAAGGGTTTCTTTAAGGGTTCCTTTAAAGGTTTTTTTAACTGTTCCTTTAAGGGTTTCGTTAAGGGATCTATAGGGTTTAAGGTTTTGGCGTTCAGGGGTTCAGGGTTTAGGGTTCAGAGTTTATAGTTCAGAGTTCAGGGCTTAGGGTTTTCGCATTCAGGGCTTTAGGGGTTTAGGGTTTAGGGTTAACCGAATTCGCACTGCATCACTACAGTTGTAGGATTCGGATATAGGGTTCCGACCACAATAACTTTACGGTTCGGAAGACTGTTTCGGATTCGAACTTCTTCGGACTCCTCTTTCGATGTCCGACTTTTATTCAGGGTTGGACTACTATTTTAGCGTTCGGACTCTGATTTTAAGGTTCGGATTTCTTTAAGATTCGTACCAGACTTGGGTGGTTGTCAAAATTATGGTCCCTTATTGGGTACCCTAAATATTAGGTGCCGTATTATAGTAAGGACCCAGAAAGGGACCCTAATTTTGACAACCACCCATTTGGCGGCCTTCGGCCACGAAGAGTTGGCCTTGAAGCGCGAAGGTTTGGTCTCGCGGTTTGGGTTTAGGGTTTGGGGTTTTTAGGGTTTCAGGGTTTTAGGGTTTTAGGGTTTAGGGTTTTAGGGTTTAGGGTTTGGGGTTTGGGGTTTAGGGTTTAGGGGGGATCGGCCTTATTCCGCGAATTATTGGCCTCGAGCCGCGAACATGCTCCAAGGCCCACAACGGCCCATAGCTCGCGGCCCAAGGCCAATGATTCGTGGAATAAGGACGGTCGTCGTGGCTCAAGGCCGAAATGGCTGACTGCATTGTTCCACGAATTAGCATAGGGGCCTTAAGAATTACCTACACTATTTTGGGGGTTCCTCATTCAATTATAGTATAAGAAACCCCCAAACCCTATTCTAATTATTAATTAAGGACCCTTTTCTAACAGACTAGTAGAACTCTACTTAGATCCCTCGTAGATCCCTTTAAGGAGCCCTTTAAAGGAACCCTAGTCTAATTTGAAACGCTGCGCGTCGTCCGCCTCGGCCCGGCTGTACGCGCATGCGGCGAGTGGCTACTATCTGCAGCAAGCTCTTGTAGGAAAAAAGTAACAGTTGGAATCGCACTTATAGTAAAAGTAATGTTCATAGCAACACGAAGCAGGATGATTGTGAGTAGTATTAGTAGTGGTAGTATCAGTACGAATTTTGGTGTCGTCATTCCGAAACACTGGATACCAAGACTCTCGCAAGCGGCGGGATGCCTTAAGTATGGGCCGTTGAGGCTGTGGATTTCGTGGGCGTCTTGGATTAGGGAAGCATCACAGCCTTTTCAACCACGTTACTCCGCCTATCCCAACGAAAGGGCGTCTAAAACAAGCCTGAGACGCAAAGCCATCAATTCGATACCAACATAGGGGCCCAAACAATGATTAAGACCCTGCTGGGGTTTTTTTGATAGAGTTAAAGTATATTGAAGTCATTAAGGCCTTGCAAGAAATAGAGAATGCAGCCATGCATGGCCGCTGGGCGCCACCGGAGCCGGTGGTGCAGCCTTAAAGGCGAGCCCCAACACATAAACATGCTACATTGCAGTCCCGTGTCGTCGAAAACTCCAGAAAGCTCCACCTGTCAGCGAGCGGAGGAGGGGCGGGAGGGAAGGGGGGGAGGGGGGGGGGGGGGGAGGGGGGGGAGGGGGGGGGGGGCTGCTATGGTCACAACTTGCCAAGACGAGGGTCCAGAGCTACCGACAATCCAAGGGGCGAAAGGGGGAGTGTGACAGCCATCCGCCCCTTTTCCACCAACCTCCGCCACGATTGCCACAATCTGTAACACCCCCGCTGACAATCTGTACCCCCCGTGATTGCCACCTGCTGACAATCTAGATCCCCTGCGATTGCCACCCGTTAGCAATCTGTACCCCCCTACGATTGCCACCTGCTGACAATCTAGATCCCCTGCGATTACCACCTGTTGGCAATCTGTCCCTCCCCCCCCCCCCCCCCCCCCCCCTACGATTGCCACCTGCTTGTTGGCAATCTATAGACCCCTCCGAAGATTGGGAACGTGACACCCCTTCGGCCCTTTTCCACCGAACCCCCCCCACGATTGCCACCTTCTGACAATCTAGACCCCCTAGGATTACCACCTGCCGGCAATCCATTAGGCCTGGCAAGTGGCAGCCAAGCACCAAAAACGCAAACCCGAACCGTACACGCAGTGCGTTTCTGGACCCTCCGTTCGCACCCCAAGGGGGGCATGCTTGCTGTATTTGTGGAAGCTAGTAATGGCGTTGAACTACAGCGACTGCTGTATGTGCCAGTTCACTAGCGAAGCGGCCTCCACTTGCCTAAAAAGAGCCGGCTGACTGCAGATTTCTAGTCTCAAGCACTCCTGCCTAGCGAGCGCCCCTGACGCTTTCTCCAGTCATGAGTCCGAAGAAGGCCGGGACCGGTCGTCCGAGGACGAGTGTCGTGGAGAAAACCCGTCTCAGGTCAGCAAGCATGGCAAGAAGGATGTGACCCGCCAAGGCTGCACCAATAGTGCAATCCAAGCGTGGCACTTCAAGCGAGGGCCTCAGTCTTATGCAGTCTAATTTTTGTTGGGGTGCACACCCGCTCTTGCCAGGACCGGCTTGCCACAAGACGTCGCAGACGCTCTGCAAGGCCACGGATTCCAGAAAGGGCTGGGCGCGACTCCGATCTTTGCCGTTCGACCCGGCCACCCGAGGGGCTCCGACTGGACCCTGAAGGTCCGGATCAACGACGAAAAGGAGGAGCGGAGTGCACGAGTTAAGCGCAAGTCCATGGACTTTAAGCAGCTTATTTCACCCAATGCCAGAGGCACCGACCTCGCAATTTGGTTTAAGCGGATATTCTCTCCAAAGGAGGAGTGGCAGCATATTTACCTCTGGCTCATCGAGCTTGTTTAAAAAAGAGAGCGAGCCTTGCATTAGGAAGCAGGAAGCAGCAGGCAAGGGAAGGGGTAGGAACAGGCAGGCCAGGGCACGCAGAGGACGGCACAAGGCAAGGCCGCACAGAGCAACCCAGCAAACCCTGAACCCTAGCAAACCCTAAACTTTCCTAAACCCTATTCAAAGCTTCGGCCCTAACGAACCCCAGACCCTAACAAACCTTGAACCCTAACCTTGAACCCTAGCAGAAGCCTACACACTGACAAACCCTTCGCCCTAACGAACCCTAAACCTTAACAAGCAACCAGACACTCAAACAAAGAAGCCGCGCCAACTCCTAAACCTTAGCAGACCCTAAACCCCGGTTCTAACAACCCTAAACCCTAACAAACAAAGGCCCTAACAACACGCACTCAGAACCTGGCTGCCTCGGAGCCCCAAGCCACCTCTCAAAACCTAAAGACCCTCAACACCCAAGCCTCGCGCACTCGGACCTCTCTGCCTCGGAGCCCCAACCCACCTGGAACCCCTGAAGCCTCGCGAGGGAGGGCCCGGCCACCAAAAGCAGCACCGTCGGTGGGGAATAGAGGAAATCCGAATAGGAACCTCTGACCGCTTCGGCCGGGGCCGAGGCGAATTTTTCAAGCCCCTTTAGTAACAAAGCCTAGGTTTTTTCCAGGACCCTGTATTATTAGCCGTGGGCCGCGATTTTTTTGCCTTGGGCTGCGAAGTATTGGCCTTGGGCCTCGAAGGTCCTGCAAGTTTAAATTGACATAATATGGCAGAGAGGTTTAGGGTTTAGGGGTTCCTTCGAAAGATCTTTAGAAGGGGGATCCTGTAAGGTTTGTCAGAAGGGTACTATGGAGGTTTGAGGCTTTAGGGTTTCTGTACGAAACAGTAGGCTTGTCAGTGCCTTTTTGAAGCTTTTGTTGTTTTTGACTTGGGTTGAAATGGGGCGTTGGATGTATACGCGTCCGTCTATGGATTCTTGTGGCTTTACTGTTCGTACTCATTCTTTTTTGCTTCTGACCTCAGAGGGCTGAACACCTATAAATTAGGTACTGCCCCCATACAGTAAGAGTCTATAACAGGGCTACCACTAAGGTCCTGATATATCTATATTATGAACATCATTCAACGATTACTGAGTGGGGGCCGTACCCAACCTATAAGCCTTATACTTTGCACTCTGTAAGCCCTAAACACCAAAAACTAAACTCCACATCCTAAACCCTGGACCCTGAAGCCTAAACCCCGAACCCTAAACCCTACCCTAGACCCTAAACCCTTAGGGTTTAGGGTTTCGGTTTTAAAGTGTAAGGTTTGGGGGTCTCGGCACCCTCTGAATTAGCGCTTCCTCTCCGCCGAGTCTAGTTTGCTTCCTGGGATAGCCCGAAGCTTTTGTTGAAATGCTCGCGCTAGGGTTTTAGTCTTCTTGCAGGGTTGTCAGCGATTCTTCAACATGTTCTTCAAGAGTTCCATTCCATGCTTTTAAAGCATTGATTACGTTTCTTCAAGCGGCGCTGTCAGCTTTCTTAAGGTTTCTATAAAGGTTCTTTAAGGTTTCTTTTCGGGTTATTTGAAACAGGGGGTTTGGGGTTTTTAGGGTTGCAGGGTCTGAGGGTTTAGCCATTTTGTTGGCGTTTCTGGTTTTTGACAGACATTTGCAAGCGTTAAGGAGGAAGGCTATCAACGATCTAGGCCCAAAGTTTATCCTGCAGAGAGCTTGCAACAGTGAGGGATAAAGGGAATTGCCACTGAGGCCTGACGCCTGAATTGGATATAAATTCGCAGAACAAACACGCCCGAAAAGCAACACAATGTAGGCCCCGTGCCAGTTCAGAAAAACCTTTTGACATCACTCAACTCCTAAATCAGACTTTCAAGCCTTCCTGTTCGAAACTTAAAAAGACCTATGTGGGAGTTTCCGAAAATAGGGGACCTAATATAGGGTAAGTACCCTAAATAATAAGATAATTACTACGACGTATAAGGACCCCAAAATAAGGTACCCCTAATTTTCGGAAACTCCGATGTGATTGAGAGTTGAGGGACAATGCCGCGGTGAAGCCCCCAAAGCTTACAAAGTTTCAATGACAAGTAGGCAAGGGCCAGTAAGGAACCGAAGTCCTAGACGCAAAGCGCTAAACCCAAGCTGTACAGACATTCAATCAAAGCACCGAGATCCCGCATCCCGAAATTTCGAAGCCCGAAAGAAAGTCAAATCTTAAACCCTAAGCCCTAAACCCCAAGCCCCTAGATAAACTCTAAATCCTAAACCCTAAACCCCGAGCCCCTAAACTCTAAACCCTAAACCCTCCCGAGGTTACTTGATGGCTCCGGGCCAATCCTTTGTCATGCCAGAGATGGCCTGGTGCTTGACAGTCTGGTTTAGGATTTACGGCTTTATAGTAAATCCCAAAAAGTTGGAAACCTGATTAGGGACAAAAAGTGCTGGGATTACCTTTACATTACTCTTAAGGATAGAGGCTATTGGATTTCCAACTTTTGGGCTTCTACCATACATGGAGCTAGTCCCTAAACCCAACACCCTAAACCTGTAACCCCAAGCCTGAAACCTTGAGCCTGAAATCTTCAACCTTAAACCCCAAACCGTAAATCTTGAACCTTAAACTCGCACTGATAGCGCTTTGGGGTTTGGGTTCGTCCCTAGGGTTTCGGGTTTGAATACTTAGGCTTCGGGCTGCGAAGCGGGAGTTCAGGCCTTTGGGTTTCGGGTTTAGAGCTTAAGACTTTGGAGTTTCCTAGATAGCGAACGGGGGAACTTTAAACTTTTCGGCCCTATATATTAGCTCTATCTTAGAATGTTTGAACTTTTTGGGGCCCGGTTGTTGAAGAAGAGAGGTTTAGACTTCAGAGTAAGCCCTTTACTTAAGGAAGACATCTTGATTCATAATATGATTTATGAGTTTTGGTGTTCGCGCTTTGCACGAATGACTAGAGATTGTCAGAGACCTTGAAACCTGAGTCGGACTCTGTTCATATGAGGGAGTGCAGTTTAATGGTTTAGGGTTCAGGATTTAGGGACCCTAAACCCTAAACCCTAAAGCCCAGACCGGCTTTTTCAATCTTAAAAAGTGTCGTGGCCGATCCTCCCGGCCGTCGTCTTCTTCCGGGGTGCCCAGCACCCAAAAGTCGCAGCCTTTCGAAACCTAAATCCTCAAGTGGGTGGTTGTCAAGATTATGATTCCTTTTTGGGTCCCTATTATAATACGGCACCTAATATTTAGGGTACCCAAAAAGGATAAGGTGCCCCTAAACCCAAAACCCTAAACCCCAAACCCTAAACCCTAAAAACCCTAAACCCTAAACCCTTCCAAACCTAAATCCCCAAGTGCACGTGTGAGGTCGAGTCTTTCCGTCTCGTGCTGGACAGCCAGAAAGAGGCGCGGGGAGGGCCAGAAAAGCTTAAAACTTAGAGGGCTCCTTAAAGGGATCTACAGGGCTCCTTAAAGGGATCTATGGAGTTTAGGGTTTAGGGTCTGCTTAAGCCCACGACTCCCTATAGTCCCGAACTCGATGCGCAAGTAGGCTGTTGATGGTTGCTTCGAGGCCCCGAAGACTTAGTAAGTAGGTTGTAAGTAGAGTTATAAGTACCCTAAATGGAGATACCCCAATTATAACTACTTATGACCGACTTACTAAGTCCCCCGGGCCTCCAAGCAGACCCTAAACCCTAAACCCCATAGATCCCTTTAAGGAGCCCTATAGATCCCTTTAAGGAGCCCTCTAAGAACCGACTTACTAAGTCCCCCGGGCCTCCAAGTGCCGCCCCAATCACCGAAGCTTGGATCACATGAGATTCGGTCGGCATTCGGCTTGTGGTCATGAACAGGAGGTGTAGGGTTCTAGAGTTTAGGTGTTTAGGGTTTAGGGTTTAGGTTTTGCTTTTAGATATTTATACACCCTACAAAGCCCTTATAGAATCCGAGAAAGGGTTCTAGGATTCAGGAGGTGTTAAGCTTTAGTGCTTTATCGTTCGGAGTTTTCTTGCATGCGTGTTTGAGCTTGTCTTCGGACACTCGTGCAAACACCCTCAAGCGCAAGTTTCACGAAGTCCTCAAGCCCTTAAATCTTATAAACCCTGAACCGTAAATTCCTAAACCGCATGAGATCCCCACACGAGGCAGCAGCCTGAAAAACGCCCTTACCTAAGCTCCAAACGCTCAAGAACACTGGCCTTCAAACTTCTTATAGAACCCTTCAAGGAACCCGTACCGGAATCCTCACAGTAAACCTTATAGAACCCTACGGGAACCCCACAAGGGAACCCCTAGCGAGCCGTTTAGGGTTGTTCCTTCAAGGGTTCCTTGTAAGGGAAGCACTGGTTCCTTTAAAGGCAGGGGAGCCCTAAAGTACCCTTTAAAAAGGGATCCTATAGTAGAACCCTACAGTACCCCTTAAGGGTACTACGGGCCTCTAGCCTTGGGCTCTCTTTTCGGGGTATGGGGCTCTTTACTAGGACACCTTTTCAGGATATTATGGGTCTCTATAATAGGTTTTTTTTTAAAGGAGCCCCCCTATAGTTCCCTTAAAAAAAAACCCTATAGTTTTCTTTAAAGGAACCCAATATATTTTTCTTTAAGGGTATGGGGCTCTATAATAGGATTTCCTTTCAGGGAACCGTCAACGCGCGAAGAAGGGATCCCCAAGCGCTAAGAGCCCAGCTCTTTGAGGTTTTAGGGTTTAGGCATTGATGTTTAAGGTTTTAGGGGTTTAGGGTTGTATGGGTTTAGGGGTTTGGGGTCGTATGGGTTTAGGGGTTTGGGGTGTAGACGATTAGGGTTTTGGGGGGGGGCGTCGGGGTTCAAGGGTTTGGGGCTTTAGGGGTTTAGGGTTTCAGGGTGTGGGGTTTAAGGCCTTTGATGCCAGGCTTTGGGCTACGATTGCGGCGGCGACATGGGGTTCCTTCCCAGCCGCTCTCTCAGTCTCGGGGGCGTCTGAAGGTTTTAGAGGAGTCTTAGAATCTTCAGTCATGGTTTCATAGGGGGTTTTGTAAGGGTTTGCAGGATTTTTCTTTTAAAGGGGGTTTGACGACTTTTTTGTTATCAAGTTTGTAACCTGGTGAGGCGTCCCCTATTGGGGTCCTTATGATAAGCGTTCCCTGAGTCTCCCGATGCTTACAAACTTTTGACTACTCCCCCTGATCTTTGGGAGCAAGCGCAACTTGTCCCGAAAGCTCTAAACCCCACACCCCAGATCGAACAAACCGCAAGCCCAAACCCTAAACTGAAACCGTACCCCTAAACCCTAAACCCTAAACCCTAAATCCTAAACCCTAAGCCCTAAACCCTAAACCCTAAACCCTAAACCCTAAATCCTAAACCCTAAGCCCTAAACCCTAAACCCTAAACCCTAAACCCTAAACCCTAAACCCTAAATCCTAAACCCTAAACCCTAAAGCCTAAACCCTAAACCCTAAACCCTAAGCCCTAAATCCTAAACCTCTCTACCTATAGTAATTTAAACCCTAATGACTTCGTGGCTTTGGATCAAAACTCGTGGCTTTGGATCAAAACTCGTGGCTTTGGATCAAAACTCGTGGCTTTGGATTAAAACTCGTGGCTTTGGATCAAAACTCGTGGCTTTGGATCAAAACTCGTGGCTTTGGATCAAAACTCGTGGCTTTGGATCAAAACTCGTGGCTTTGGATCAAAACTCGTGGCTTTGGATCAAAACTCGTGGCTTTGGATCAAAACTCGTGGCTTTGGATCAAAACTCGTGGCTTTGGATCAAAACTCGTGGCTTTGGATCAAAACTCGTGGCTTTGGATCAAAACTCGTGGCTTTGGATCAAAACTCGTGGCTTTGGATGTTTTCCAGTGTTTAGCGGCCTCGGGTTTAGGGCTCTAGGGTTTAGGGCCTAGGGTTTAGGGCCCCAGTGTTTAGGGGCCTCGGGTTTAGAGCCAGCCCCCAGTGTTTAGCGGCCTACGGTTTAGGGCCAGTGTTTAGGGGCCTCGGGTTTAGGGCCAGGGCCCCTAGTGTTTAGCGGCCTAGGGTTTTGGGCTCCAGTGTTTAGGGGCCTGGGGTTTAGGGCCAGGGCCTCCAGTGTTTAGCGGCCTACGGTTTGGGGCTCCAGGTTTAGGGCTCCCCTCCCTCCCCTTCCCTCCCCTCCCCTCCTCCCCCTCCCCTCCCCTCCCCTCCCCTCCCCTCCCCTCCCCTCCCCTCCCCTCCCCTCCCCTCCCGCCCTCCCTCCCCTCCCCTCCCCTCCCTCCCCTCCCCTCCCCTCCCCTCCCCTCCCTCCCCCCTCCCCCTCCCTCCCCCCCCACCCCCCCCTCCCCTCCCCTCCCCTCCCTCCCCCTCCTCCTCCCCTCCCCTCCCCTCCCCCCCTCCCCTCTCCCCCCCCCCCTCCCCTCCCTTTCCCCTCCCCCCCCTCCCCTCCCCCCTCCCCTCCCCTCCCCTCCCCTCGCCTCCCTCCCCTCCCCCCTCGCCTCCCCCCTCCCTCTCTCCCCTCCCCTTCCCTCCCCTCCCCTTCTTCCCCTCCCCTCTCCTCCCCTCCCCTCCTTGGCTTCCAGTGTTTAGCAGCCTCGGGTTTAAGGCTCCAGTGTTTAGGGGCCTGGGGTTTAGGGCCAGGGCCCCCAGTGTTTAGCGGCCTACGATTTCCATCTGACAAGGCAAGAAGGATGCTAGTTGACCATGCTGGTTTCCATTTTGCAAGGCAAAAACAAGGATGCTAGTTGACCACGCTGGTTTCCATTTTGCAAGGCAAAAAGAACTACTATTTGCTTAAGAAACCCCCAAAAAATAAAAATAATAATCCCTATATTACCCCCATAAGGAATATATTTTTTATTTTTTGGGGGCTCTTAAGCAAATAGTAGAGAAGGATGCTAGTTGGACACTCTGGTTTCCTCCTGCAAAAACAAGGATGCTAGTTGACCACGCTGGTTTCCATCTGACAAGGCAAAAACAAGGATGCTAGTTGACCACGCTGGTTTCCATTTTGCAAGGCAAAAACAAGGATGCTAGTTGACCACGCTGGTTTCCATTTTGCAAGGCAAAAAGAAGGATGCTAGTTGCACACGCTGGTTTCCGTGTGCCAAGGCAAAAAAGGATGCTAGTTGACCATGCTGGTTTCCATCTGACAAGGCTAAAACAAGGATGCTAGTTGACCTGTTTCCATCTGACAAGGCAAAAAGAAGGATGCTAGTTGACCACGCTGGTTTCCATCTGACAAGGCAAAACCAAGGATGCTAGTTGCACACGAAGGTGTGCTTGTTAGTGTGCCACGGCCAAGGTTTTGAGTCGTTCTTGATCAGTTGCTCAATGCGCTGCCTTGAACGGTCATCGCAAAGAAGCTTGATAGCTGCAGTTGCTACTGTAAAGCGATGGCGTGACCGCAGCCTCAGCTGCTGTGGGTAGTGCTTTCTTCTTACACTTTCAACATTTTAACGGTAACTTACGGTCTACTTGCGAATCGACGACGGTTGCAAATATGATAGATTCTTTGAGTCGTGAGTCGTATGTAAGTTAGTATTTAATAATTCAAGCCAAAAGAAATAAAACTATAATTCTAATGTGAGGGGATTCTCTGGGCGGGTGGGGTTTATTCTTGAAGATAGCTTGACTAGAAATAGCTTGACCTTAAATCTTCAAAGTCAGAGCTGCTGAACCCTAAACCCTAAACCCTAAACTGAAGCCGTCTCCCAAATCCGGAGTCCGAGCCCTCAAGCCCCGAGCCCCACCCTTGTGCCCTGCCCAGAGACTCCAATATCCCTTATAAATATCTAGGGACCTAGGGTTCCTTTAAGGGATCCTTTAAGGGTTTAGGGTTTAGGGCTTATTCCTTAAATTATGGTAGGATCCCTAATACTTGATTTGAGGTGTATTCCTCAATTAAGGGATATTGGAGTCTCTAGGTGCACCACCCGTGTTTTTTTGAAGGAGCCCAATAGATGCGAAGTTCGGCATTCAGATCTTAGGGGTACTTAGAAATACTTTTTAATTTTAGTTATTATAATCCCTAAGAAACAGCTAAAATCATAATTTTTGCTAGGGTTCTAAGTTCAGTATAGTGATCAAATTGTTGCAGGATCCTAAATCACCTTAGTTAGGTTCCTAGAAGTTATGGAACTCCTTGTGGATTGTTGTAAAGGTCGTTTTTGCAGGAGGGACCGTTGGGAGCACATTTCCGTACAAGTAGCCCGTGACGGAATGTTGAACAGCTAGCATCTAGCCAGGACAGTAGACGTAGGTAGCTGTCTTGGGTAGCGTGCTTTTGGTAAACCCCTGTGTTAGTTTTCCTGCTGGGTACCCCGATTCGAGGGTTTTGCAGGTGGCCACATTGTTGACCATACCCTTTAAAGCGCCGTAATGTCAACCGGCCCCGAACCCCAAACCACAGACCTTAAATCCCCCAACCCGTAAACCACCCTAAACCCTAAACCCTAAACCCCGAAACCCTGAACCCTAAACCCTAAACCCTAAACCCTAAACCCTAAACCCTAAACCACCCCAAACAAACCGGATCCCCAAACCCCTAATCTCCTAAACCCCAAAACCCCTACGAGCCGTAATCCTAGACCCTAAGAGCCTTCAACCCAGAGACTCCCATATCCCCTTAATCTTGTTGACTCTAAACTCAACTTTTCAACTTTGGGGTTCTTATAAGGTAGTCAATTCTGAAAGTTTCAACTTTTATTTCCTTGGGTTTTGGGCCAGTGAGTAATTTGGGCTGTACCTTAAATCATAGTAGGATCCCGAATATGATCTCAGGAATATTCCTTAAGTAAGGGATATTGGAGTCTCGGGAGCCTTCAACTCAACGCTTCGAACCCCCGTAGTAGCCCCAAACGAAAACCTCGAAACCCTTCCATACCTTTTCAAGGTTTCGGGTTAAGGGTTAAGGGTTTAAGGTTGAGGGTTTAGGATACTTTCTTGTAGGGTCCCTAGACAGTCCATTTTTGGTTTCTAATGAGAACCCACACAAAAAGGAGGATTTGGCAGTCTGCTTACAGGAAAGGCTCGGCTGATTCACTAAACTGCTAAACCAAACTCAAGGCCCTTTTCAAAACCTTAAGCAACCCATAAGGGGACTCCGATGCTACCCTTAAACTGAATCCCAAAGCATTAGATAGAGGCCATTTGGGTAGTTGTCAAAATTATGGACCCTTTTTGGGTACCTTAATTTTTAGGTGCCGTAGTATAATAGGGACCAAAAAAGGGACCCTAATTTTGACAACTACCCAAATAGACTCAGATCTTCAGCTCCTCCAGGCAACACCATGTCCGACCTCTGCAGAACCGCCCTCTACAGGCTAGAGGCGTGCCCGGAAAGTCCTGCGATAGGGTCTACCTTAACCCCATGTAACCTACCTTTTTAAGGACTTATATAAAGAAATCATATTAGGGAACCCTAAAAAGGTAGGTTCCGTAGGGTCTAGGGGTTTGGGGTTTTGTTTGGATTTTATTTAGGGTTCGGGATTTCAGTTCGGCCGCTGGGCTAAACAGTCCCGCAGCTGGCGTCGCCCTAAACCCTAAACCCTAAGCCCTAAATCCTAAGCCCTAAACCCTAAACCCCTAAACCCTAAAACCTAAACCCTAAACCCCTAAGCCCTAAACCCCTGAACTCTATATCCTAAACCCTAAACCTTAGGTTACTGGCTATCCTAGGCATGCAGGTCCTTCGGAACTCCGGTCTCGAGAACCGTAGACTCGGGCAGCGCACAGAGGTCTTCTGACTTGGGAATTTCCGAAAATTGGGGATACCTTTAAAGGGATCCTTAAAGGAACCCTTGAAGGGATCTATAAGGGTTATATGAAGGGTTTAAGGTTTAGGGTTTAGAGTTTCCCAAAATTGGGGTACCTTATTTTGGGGTCCTCCTAATAATGATCTTACTATTTAGGGTACTATATTAGGGTCCCCTACTTTCGGAAACTCCCACTTTGACTTGTTTGCATTCGACACCCAGGGGTTTGGGGTTTAGGGTTTTAGCTTTCAGGGTCCAGGATTAGGGTAGCGGTTTAGGGTTCAGGCTTCAAGGGTTATTTCTAAAGTGTTGGGTCTACTAGAGCTTTCCTCAGATTAACGGCTGTCGGCTTTAGTTCAAGGGTTCGTGTCTACTTAAAAGGGTCGTGGGCTTATATAGAAGGTTATAAGTAAGGTTTGAATCATTGTAGGATAACCCCACTTAGGGGATCTACAACCCCGCTTATAACCTACAATTCTAAGTCCCATGAGCGTCTAGATACCCGAAACCCTACACCCTAAAGTATATTAGGTCCCTTTTTTTGGGAAACTCCTACTTAAATGCCCATGGGACTACAACCAGTAAGGTTCTAAGTCAGGTTAACATTATCATAGCCCTACTTTTCGGACTGCTAATACCAAATACAGCCCTACTTACTACGTCCCTGGGCCTCGCAGTAAGCCAGGGGGTTTCATCTACCTTCCTGGACTCGCAGGGTCTGGGATTTGGAGTCAAGTTTTAGAGTTCGGGGTTTAGGGCACTGACTTAGTTTTTCAGGACTGCATAATGGGTCAATTGATTGAGTACATCGGCTGCAATGACAATCGGGGTCGTAAGTACCCTCGGCGGTGATATCCCAGTTATACATAGTCCTAGCTACCAGGCGTTCTTCCCTTCTTCTGATTCGGACTGTGATTGTTAAGGTACAGTCTTAAACCCTACGCATTATAGATATTTATAAACCTTAAACCCCTAAATCCCAAATCCTAAACCGTTACCCTAAACCCGAATTCCCTAAACCCCTAAACCCCAAGCACAGCTAAAAACCCTAGAAATCACGGCATTGCTGCGCAGCCCCTTAAACCCTAAACCTGGAATCCGAAACCCCTAAACCCCAACCCCAGCTAAACCCTGGAAATGACGGTATTGCTGCGCCACAGGCTGTTGCCATAACGGGCATCTACTAAACCTAAACCCTAATCCCTAAACCTTAAGCCCTTATAGAACCCTTAAAGAAACTGTTTTTTTGGTAACGTTAAATAAGCACTAAACCCTAAACCCTGAACCCTAAACCATAATGCCTAAATTCTAAACCGTAAGCCCTACCCCTTTAACAAGAACCCAGCAGGTCTCCTGCGATGCGACCTTCCAAAGTCCAGGGCCCAGCTTTCCCTAAAAATGTAGGTTCCTTAATCTGTTTAGGGTTTAAGGTTTAGGGTCATCTTGAAAAAGGGGTTAGGGTTTCAGGTTTAGTAGGGTATCAGGTTTAGGGTCCCCTTGAAAAAGGGTTTTCTTGATAGGAATCAAGGTATGGGGTTTAGGGTTCTTCGAAAAAGGGGTCCCTTGTAGGGTTTAGGGCTTAGGGCGAAAAAGGGGTCCCTATACTTGGATGCCCAGAAGACTCAGTAAGTAGGTTATAAGTAGAGTTATAAGTACCCTAAATGGAGATACCCCGATTATAACCCTACTTATAACCGACTCACTAAGGGCCCCGGGCCTCCCAGTAGGGTCCTTCAAGAATTCCACGGGGGTTGGGGCTGTTTTTCGCGGAGGTTTAGGATGCAGAGGAGGTGTCGGGTTTAGGGATGAGATTTCCGTGGAGGCTTTCGGGTCTAGACGAGAGTTTGGGCGTAGACTTTAGTGCAGGATTGTAGGTTTAGAGGAGGTTCGGGGCTTAGTCCTTGGAGTTCAGAGGAGGGTTGGGGGTTTAGCTTAGGGCGCCCGATTCCTAAGGGCTCCCGATTATAAGAAGACAATACAAGAGCCCAAAACCCTATTCTAATTATGAAGTATCGCCCAACTCGAACCCTAAACCACACATTACAACTTTAAGATAATACTCGTCCCACAACCATGAGCCTCTTAAAGCTTAAACATGTGTCCCTAGCCCTAAACCCTTGACTGCTAAACCCCAAAGCCCTAAACCCCAAAACCCTAAATCCCAAGAACCAAGACTCGAAACCACAAGCCCCAAAACCAGAACCCTAAACCCCTACACACCAGAACCCTAAACAACATAAACTCCCCTAAACCCCCAAACCCCAACACTCCAAACCCTAAAACCAAAAATCCCTAAACCCCAAACCCTAAACCGCAAAGCCCGAATCCTTAAAACATTAAATCCCTAAAACCCTGAACCCTGAAACTAAAAACCGCCAAGCGAGGCGTCTTACCTGCCGGATGTGAGAGCCTCTCTCCGCCTTATGGGTCTCTCGGATTTTAAGTTTTTCTCTTCACTTGGAGGGTCAAAGTATCATAACCCCATTTAGAATCCCTTTTCGGGTGCTTAGAAGTCTACAGCAAACCCCATAAACTTGGAAACCGGATCAAGGCCAAATAGTGCTGGGATTCCCTATACTTTACTCTTAGGGATTGAGGCTATCGGGTTTCCAACTTTTTGGCTTCGACTGTACTTACTACCTACTCACCAAGTCCCTCGACTCTCCACGCAAGAAGTAGAATAGGGGTTTAGGGGTATGATAGTGGAAGAGTTATATTGGGGACACTAGGGTTTCGGATTTTAGATTTTAGGGCTTAGGGTTTGGGATTTAGGATTTTGGGTTCAGGGTTTATAACGTTTCGAAGCTGCTAAGTCGTAGAGATTTGCGATTCGAGACGAGCCAACACCCCACACCAGAAGCCTGCACGCTGAGCCTCACACCCCACGGTTTAATTTTCAGGGGTTCGGGTCTAGGGTTTAGGGACTAAGTTTAGGGGTTACATAGGGTTTGGGGGTTCCCAGCCAGAGACTCCAACATCCCTTATCTAAGGAATATTCCAATATTCCTTAAATTATGGCAGGATCCTGTGATTTAAGGTATACCTTAACCCCAAGTAACCTACCTTTTTAAGGACTTATATAAAGAAATTATATCAGGGAACCTTAAAAACGTAGGTTCCGTAGGGTCCAGGTATTCCTTAATTCAGGGATAATGGAGTCTCTAGGTTTAGGGTTCACTGGTTCGGCTTTCGGGTTCAGGGTTTGAGGGTTTTATTGTTTAGGGCTTATACCTGAACCTACCAAACCCTACTTTTTTGTAGGTTCTTATTCTAAACCCTAATATGGAATTTATAGGGACCCTACTTTTTTGTAGGTTTTGGTAGGTTAAGGTAGGGTTCAGGGTTTAGGAGGTTAGGGGTTTAGGGTTCAGGGCTTAGGGCTTATAAGGTTCAGGGTTTGCGGTTCGGGGTTCGGGTTTAGGGTTTACCTTTACCCCGAATAACCTACCTTAAGGACCTACATAAGGAACTCAGCGTAAAAAGGTAGGTTCTTCAGGATTAAGGTAGGGTTTAGGGGATCATACAGCCTGAACATTAAGCGAAATGTAAGCCGTTCCAGTGTCGTAGCCCAGAAGCTCTGCATCCAAAAGGTCTCATGTGGAGGTCTGAATAGATAGTGGTAATGCTCCATAGTCTTCCGCAGCCGTTACTATATAGTCCTCTATACTCCTCATGTATACGGCATCCAGACATTTCCCAAAGAGTCCAATACTCTTTGATTATGGAATAGACTTAACTCAGACTATGAGGCCCCTCCAAAGTTTAAGGTTCATATTCCCTAACCAGGGCGTATTGGGTATTGGGCCCTCTGGGCGCCTAATTTAAGATCTGTTCCGTAATTAAGGGGGTATATGGGCGCTGAACAAGCCCTTCTACACCTTTTAACGGAGCCTTGACAAGGAGCCCTACCTTAAGGCTATAGATTCCTTAATTAAGGGGGTATTGGGCTCTCTGGGCTTTGCCTAGGGGTGAGGGTTTAATCAAGGTTTAATGTTTGGGATTTAGGGTTTAGTTAAGAATCAAGGTTTGAGGTTCCTCAGGATTTCTTTCGGGTTTAGGCAGTCTAGGGTCGCAGAGCCACACTGGCAGCAGCCAAGGTTCACCACGGGCAGTGCCATGAGAGATCTCTGCCCGCTGGAATGCAACGCAGCTGACGCCGGGAACTTAGTTTAGGCCACCCAAAACCACAGTCTCATTAGTCAGTGTTTGGCTTGCTACGATGGGAATCGCTTTATGTAGGAACCTGATTAAGAAACCCTGGCCCTATAAGCCCAGATGTTAGGAGTCATAGTCCTATTAAGAACCCTTATAAAGACCCAGGGTTTCTTAATCAGGTTCCTATATCAGAGCCCTTGTAGAACCCTATAGTTCCCGTAAAGGAACCCTCAAGCGAACTCTTAAAGGCACCCTTAAAGCCGTATTACCAGAGAGCAAGGTTCCGTTCTCAGGGAACCTTGCAGGAACCCTTAAAGAAAACCCAACCCTAAACCCTTAAAGGATCCATCAACCCAATTATCATCCTAAACCTTCAACCCTAAACCCTGCGGAACGATCGGGCCGACGGTTCGATGTTCCAGGTGTCCACGCTGGCGCAAGCTGTGGTCCAGCGACGACAGCGGAAGCAGCAGGCTAGTTCAGGGTTTAGGGTTTAGAAGTATTACAGAAAACACCCTAAACCCTAAACCTTCTTATTGTCATCATGATTAGTCATTTTCATCAGAAGTAGCGTTTTCTACAACAACTGACAGACTGCTCCTTCATTAAGGGATAGGATTTATGTAGGATTACGGCTCGATCCCCCTAGCTCATGGGGGTTTAGGGTTTAGGGTTTTAGGGTTTAGATCCTTGCAATATGGAGCGTTGTCAGAGCCTCATCACCGCACTTTGCCTCTGGGTCCCCCGAACCCCAGCTTCCAAACTCCTACAAACCTACAAACACCGATCGAACCCCCAACACCCCAACAAACCCGATGTGTCTGAAACACTTATGAATCCTGCCTAGAACCCTCATAAGCCTCCTTTTTAAAACTTTATAGAACCTGCTATAGAACCCTTTGAAGCGCTGTAAGACCCTTGTAGAACTGTAAACCCTTTAACCGAAGAAGGTACTATTAAGGATCCCCGAATAAAATAAAGCCAGTTAACAGTTGCTGAGTAGTACCCTTTTGCCCTTTTGATTTTGGGGTTTCCATATCAAAGCAGAATATTAGAAAAAAGGGTACCCTTATTATTAAAAGGCTACTCCGGAACCTAGGAGCTACGGTTGATGATATAAATCATGCATTACCCATAACAAGGAGTATGCCATTATTCCCATAGTTTAGGGTCCTTAAGGTAATGCAGGATTTATATCATTAACCTAAACCCTAAACCCTAAAATCCTATAGATCCCTTAAAGGAGCCCCTTAAAGGTACCCTTATAGGAGGATGTATATCATCAACCGTAGTACTATTGGACAAATCATTGAGGGCTCGGGTCAAGAGGGGCTCCTTCGGATCACGGGCTTTCGAGTTTCTTCTTCGGCCATTGCAGAATCCGTCTGGATGCGGGCAAACTCAAAAACATGTTTAGAGTTTAGGGTTTAGGGTTCCGGGGGACGTATCAACAGATGGAAGAGGGCCAACAAAAAGCCCCAAGCCCTGTTATAGAACCAATATGACCCCTTCAACGCTATAACCCTAAAGCCCTAAACCCTGAACGTCCCCCCAAACTCCGTCAAACCGTTAAGCAGCCCTTGAAGGAACCCCTTATTTATTTGTTTATACATATATATGTATATATATATATATATATACATATGAAAGGAACCCTGAGAGGGATCCCCAAAGCCCTCTCGGCAGGAAGAGGCCGCGGCGCGCCAACGCGCCCTGGAGGCCGTGCGACACCAGGCCGAGTGTTCCCATCTTAGGGGCCCAAAAAGCCCATAAGCATAAGCAGTTTATAGGGGTTTAGGGTTTAGGGACTTAGGGTTTAGGGATTTACGGTTTAGGGTTTAAGGTCTTAGGGACCCAAAAAAAGCCCATAAGCATAAGCATTTTATGGGGATATCCCTACCTTATATAAGGGGGTTTATATGAGATATCCCTATCCTTACCTTATTGGGCTCCATTTTAAGGTTGGGGGCCCTATCCATGGTTTCAGGGTTCAGGTCAGGGTTCCTGTAAGGGTTCGTGTTCGGGTTCGTGTTCGGGTTCCTGTTAGGGTTCCTGTTAGGGTTTAAGGTTTCGGGGTTTTAGGGTTTAGGGTTTAGGGGTTTTAGGGTTTGGGGTTTAGGGCTCCGTCAAAAAGCAAGTTTAGGATTCCCTTAATTTAGGGGTTTTACCAGGAAGATAGAGGCGTCGGGTTCAGGGCCCAGCGTTTTCGGGTTATTTTCGGTCTCTTGTAAGGGTATTACCACAGTTCTGTAAGGTTAGAATTTATCTAGGGTTTTCGAGTTTCAGGGTTCCTATAAGGTTTCAGAGGAAGGATGCTATGAGGGTTGCTACAAGGGTACCTACATTGGTTTACGGTTCCAGGGTTTAGGGGTTTTCAGGGTTGTGAGTTTATAGGTTTCAGCGTTTAGAATAGGGGTTTGGGAGATTGTTAGGGCTTCAGGGTGAGGTGTAGGGCCTAGGGTCTGGCAGGGTTTCGGGTTCTAGAGTTGGGGGTTTAATAAGGGTTGTCAAGGACAGTTACAAGGTTCCTTTAGATTTCTGTACACAACACGTGCTAGGTAAACAGCCAAGAATGCCAGGATCCATCCACGACGAATCTGAGATCATGGGCACACTGTTTACCAAGTACGACGAAACGAACACATATTATGTTCGGCATCGCGCCCGCCAGGAGGCTAAGAAAGCCTTCGTCCACCTGGAAACATCACGTAAGGTTGCGAAAGCACTCCAACGCAACGCAGCGCCAATTGACGTCGAATACAAAATCGGCGACTTGGTCATATACCGTAGAGACAATGTTCCCGGTAGTTCAGGCACCGTTTGGTCTACGGTAAGCCGCGTTATAGGACGCGAGGCAGAAAACGCATATTGGGTGTTGCATGAAAACATTCCTGTTTTAGTCCATGCCCGAAAAATGCGTCCTGCCGACGAGGTTGTGAGAAGTGCCTCGCAGAACTAGTGGGTGCATCCCTGTCCAGGCTGCCAGCATGGAACGCCTTCACCAGAGCTTTAAACCCTAAGCTCTAAGTCCTTCACTGTCAGCCCTAAACCCAAGGCCTATACGCCCTAAACCCGAAGCCCTAAACCATTTAAGCAATACTTCTGGGTCAACCCATATTCCTTCCTTGTGGATAAACCCTAAGGCCCTAAACCCTTGTAGCAATATTCCTGAATTGTGGGTAGGCCCTAAACCCCTTTAAGAAATACTTCTTGCCGAAAACCTTTCAATTAAAGCAGAATGTCTTACTAACGGTAAAACCCTAAGTGATTTAAGCAATATTCCTTACCCTAAACCCTCAACCCTAAACCCTAAATCCAAATAATTCTTACTCGCGGGATTCGGAGTCTCTGGGCACCGGCCGAACCGAAGGCTCGCCAGGAGGCTCGCCGGAAGGACGCCCTCCAAAAGGCGGCGCAGGCCGGTTTGGGGGTTTAGGGGGTTTGGGGTTTAACGGTTTCGGGTTTAAGGGCCATTTAAGGGTGTAGGGTTTAGGGGTTTTCTCGTTGAGCGGTTTTGGGGTTTGGGGTTTAGGATTTAGGGGTTTAGGAGTTTAGGAGTGTAGGATTTAGGGGTTTAGGGGCTTAGGGTTTAGGGCGCAGGCCGAGAGATAGGTTTCGTAGGGTTGAGGGTTTAATTTAGGTTTTAGGCTATGAAGCTAGGAATATTGACGGTTTCATCGGGGGTACTCATATCAAGCTATAGGGTTTAGGGTTTAGGTCGTAGGGCTTCGGTTTTACTCGCCACTACTATTCCTTACCCGGTGCCTGGTAGAATGCTAGTTTCAGGCGAAGGTCAGGGTTCCGTCTTGTTTGAAACTGCGAGTTTGTCTTCGGAGAGGATTTCCCAAATCCTACATCCAGAATTACTTAAAGGCTCATGGGACTTAGTAAGTAAGGTTATAAGTAGGTTATAATTAGGATTACCCCACTTAGGGACTCATACCCCCAATTACAAGCTACTTACTAAGTCCCATGATCCTCTAAGTAGAATTATGAGAATGCGATGATCATGACCATGGGTCGAGGGACGCACTTGAAGCCTCAGGCAGATGCATGATTTGGACCTTTTTCCCTTTCGCGGCGTTTCCATGTTCTCATGCCAGACAGCACCATAAGTCCGACCTGAGATCTGCTGTCAGCTTAGCCTTGCAATCTTGCGACGTCGACGACTATTGCCACTACATCATCAACGTTATCATCATCAGTAACGTTATCATCATCAGCAAGATCATCATCAATAGCATCATCAAGATCATCATCAGCATCGTCATCACCGGCATCATCACGGTCATCATCGTCATCATCCTCGTCATACTCATCATCATCTTCTTCATCTTCTTCATCATCGCCATCGTCATCACGAACATATTCTTCATCTTCGTCAACATCCTCATAACCATCATCATCATCATCATCGTCATCGGCATCATCACCATCACTATTCCGCTTACTACCCCTTGGTCTACGGCTAAACCTCGCCAGTACTACCGCCATCAAGTGGAGTGCTATCACCACTGCTACTCGTACATCCATTGACTGTGTATTGTCAATGCAGTGGTAGTGATTAGTAAACCATGTAAAGCCTCGTCACCAAATACTGTGGCCCTTGATCCCTGACTCCTGAACTCTACACACAGGCAGCAGCAACGGCCAAGGTTGCGCAGGCTCGGATGTGGCATAGTGGGTTTTGAACTTCCGGAGTTGGACGGTTCTCACACCTGAACTCTACAACCTAAACCCTACATCCAAAACCCAATCCAAAACCGTTACGAAACCCTACACTCCTGCCACGATGCTCTAGACTCTAAGCCCTGAACCTTGCATGAGCCTTTGGTGGACAAAGGGGCGTTTTCATGAAGGAACCTTGCATGAAGGTCAAGAAAGTCGTAGCTGGAACTGGAGTCCCGCAAGCCACAAAGGGCTCCCCTCCACCCTAGAGAAGCCCTACATCCACAAAAGCCCTACATAGTTGATGATATAAATCCTGCATTACCTAAGGGCCCTAAACTATGGGAATAATGGCATATTCCTTATTATGGGTAGTGCAGGATTTATATCATCAGCCCTAGCACCCTGGAGCCTAAAGGTTCTGCAGAGATTTAATATAGGGGCCTCAATAATTAGAATAGGGTGTTGGGGCCCATTATACTATACAGAGACCCTGCACCCACCAAAGCCCTACGGTTGATGGTGCATTACCCATAATGAATCTACCATAGTTCCCAAAGTCTAGGGTCCTTAAGGAAATGCAGGATTTACATCATGAGCCGTAGCAGCTGGGATCCCCAAAATTCCTCAGAGCTCGATAGTTCGAATCATCGCGGCCCCTAACCCTAAACCCTATATGGGTAGTTATCCAAAGTAGGGCCCTTTTTAGGTCCCCAAAATGGTACAGCACCCTTTTTAAAGGGACCCTAAAGCGGTCCCCAATCTAGAGAACTACCCATATCGTACCAAACCCTGTGCCTTATACCCTAAACCTTACACCCTAAACCCTAAACCCCCAAGACCTGCCCCCCTCTACCCAGACCCATGGCAGGATCCAGCAAGTAGATCCCTTTAAGGGGTTCCTATAAAGTATCCTTGAGTCGTAAACCCCCTATTTAGAGGCATAGCATCAGATCCGAAACCCTACTTAGAGGATCGTGGGACTTAGTAAGTAGGTTATAATTGGGGTTATAAGTCCCCTGAGTGGGGTTATCCGAAGTATAACCTACTTGTAACCCTACTTACTAAGTCCCATGAGCCTTTAAGTAAGCCCCAAATCAGGGGTTCTAAGTTAGATCCTCCGGGGAGTGTCTGGGTATTAGCCCCAAGTATCTTCGAAGCAAAAAGCGCCCTTTTTGAAGGCCCAGGGGACTTAGTAAGCAACGTAGGCTACAGGGTTATGGGCTTATAGGGTCATGGGGTTTAAGCTTTAAAGGGTTTAGGGTTTAGGGTTAGGGTTTTAGGACAGGGTTTAGTGGGTAATGTAGGTTATCATTAGTTTTTTTTAACAGCGTAGCCCTACTCAGTGCACTTCGAAACGCAGTTATGACGCTCTTACTACATCCCCTAATCCTGCATTCGATCCCTGACCCCGTGTAAACCTCCCGTAATCACTTACATACCGCATAAAAACTTATAAGCACTTAGCAGACCTTATGATGATGAAACCTTATAAAGACTTATTTGGGTGGTTGTCAAAATTATGGTCCGTTTTTGGGGTCCCTTTTTTAATACGGCACCTATTATTTAGGGTACCCAAAAAGGGACCTTCATTTTGACAACCACCCATTTAGATACTTTAAGCAACCTCGTGATCTGGGTGAGGCTCCTCCAAGTAGCCTAAACTCCCCTTGTAGAACCCTTATACATCCCTAAACCCTAAACCCGAAACCCTAAACCGTAAAGGATCCCTGAAAGGAGCCCTTCAAGGAACCGCTTTAAACCCCCTTATAGAACCCTTATAGATATCCCTTTTAACGATCCCTTTTAAGGAACCCTTTTATAGATCCCTTAAAGGAACCCTAAACCCTATAGATCCCTTAAAGGAACCCTATACCCTATAGATCCCTTGAAGGAACCCTTAACCCTATAGATCCCTTAAAGGAACCCTAAACCTTATAGATCCCTTAAAGGACCCCTAAAGGATCCCTTAAAGGAGCCCTACTAAGTCCTCGTGATCTCGGTGAGGCTCTTGCTGGGAGCCCTGCAGCTGCTCAGGTGGGCTCTCCGTGCCTTTCGGTTTTAGGGTTTAGGGTTTAGGGCTTAGGGTTCAGGGTTTAGGGTTTAGGGTTTTAGGGTTTAGGGTTTAGGGTTTAGGGTTCAGGGTTTAGGGTTTAGGGTTCAGGGTTTAGGGTTTAGGGTTTTGTGAAACCTGAAGCCGCAAGCCCTGCAGATCCCTGGGTTTGGAGCGCCATGCTTGCATACTTCTTTTCTTAGATAGCCAATGGGGGAACTTTAAACTTTTTGGCCTTATATTTTTGGTCTATCTTAGAAAGTTTAAACTTTTTTGGGCCCGGTTCTTGAAGGAGAGAGTTTTTGGTACCTATTCCTTCAAGGAACCATTATGAAACACAAGTCTGTATTTTTTCTCCCTGGTTACTTCAAAGCCCAGGATACCTTAAGCCGCAAGCCCTGCAGATCCCCATTCCGTACTTAGGAAGTAGATAACAAGTAGACTTATAAGTATGGATACTTATAAGTCTACCTAAACCCTCAAAACTAAACCCCTAAACCCTAAAGCCTACTTACCATCTACTTACTAAGTTCCCCGACCCTCCAAGTAAGCCGCCATACCCTAAGCCCTTCTGAACCCTAAACCTTGACGGAGCCCCACTGGAACCCCTAAACCCCCCTCAACCCTAAACCCCTAAACCCCCACTTAAAGGCTCATGGGACTTAGTAAGTAAGGTTACAAGTAGGTTAGAATTAGGCAAATGCCGCTTAGGGGGCTTCTAACCTCAGTTGTAACCTACTTACTAAGTCCCATGATCCTCTATGTAACTTAAACTCCCGCTTGTAGAACCCTTATAGGTCCCTAAACCCTAAACCCTAAACCATAAAGGATCCCTTAAAGGAGCCCTTCAAGGAACCGCCCTAAATCCCCTTATAGAACCCTTCTAGATCCCTTTTAACGATCCCTTTTAAAGGACCCCTTAAGGAACCCTAGTTACTAAGTCCCATGATCCTCCCAAACCGTTTCGCTCGCGCCAGGCCCTGGCAGCAGCGCCGGGAGCTGCGGAAGCCTGGCGCCTCAAGAGACTCAGAGACTCCAAAACCTGTTCAGGGCTCGGGTTTAGTGCTGCCGAGTCTGGGGCTAGGGATGGTTGAAGGGAGGTTAGAGTTTAGGGGTTTAGGAGTTTAGGGTTGAGTGTTTAGGGTTTAGGAGTTTCAAGTTTCGCGGTGTAGGGATTAGGTTTCGAAGTGTGCTTTTGAGGTTTAGGGTTTAGGGTTTTGGGGGGTTTAGGGCTTAAGGTTAGGCTAGAACTTACGTAAGGCTGTAGGGTTTAGGGTTTCGGGGTGTGCGATTCTGGGTTTAGCTGGAAGCCTCGTGGAAAGCCGATCGTAACGTCAAACCCTAAACCCTAAACCCGAATCCCTAAACCCTAAACCAGTCGGCTTACGAGGATGTTGGTATCATAAAGTCGGCAGTTCGTCACCCAGCGAATTCAACGGCTATTTCAAGTCCAAGCTATCCTATTCCTGGGGATCCAAAAACCCTACCGTTTGAAGGGTTCGACCCTAGAATTAAGGGGTCATAACCTACTACTTTGTAGGGTTTGCGGTCACAAGTTAAGGTCCTATTGCAACGCCATTTCGCTTGCACACAGCACACAATTGCTGTAACTCTACGAGGCATTCCATGTGTGGAGCCAAAGCCTAGCCTGGATACCAGAGGCAGTCGGACACGTTTAGGGTTTAGGTTTCAGGGTTTAGGGGGATTCCCAGGATGTGGTTTGGCACTTTTGAGACCACCACCACCTCAGCGTCCCCACTGAATTCCGCAGAAGAGCCCGTGCAAAATCCCTGTAACTTCTTTGGAAAACACCAAAACCGTTTGTAAAGGCTTCATTTAGTAAACAGCCTTATAAACACCCTTTTCAAGCATCCTTAAAAATCCTTCCTAGAGAGCCCTCAAGGCCCTAGCATACCCCACCAACCGTAAGTTTAAAAGGATCAAAATGATCCTCAAGCGCACTTAAAGCAACCTCAAAAACCACCCGCACCAAGATGGGAACGCTGCACTCTAGCCCGTAACCCTCACCCCCAGCCTTCAACCCTATCCTTAACCTCAAAGCCCGAAACCCTAAGGCCCTTAGCATCCCTTCGCCTTGAAACCTAAGCCCTAACCCTCAACCCCATAAAGGGAACTCCAGAAAGTTGGAATATGGATTAATGGTAGGATCCCCTATAATCTACCATAGAAGGGACGATAATGATATTCCAACTTTCTGGCTTCTTCTGTAGAATCCTGAAAGGAACCCTTCAAGGTACCCTTCAGAAACCTTTCAAGTTGGGAGGAACACTTAAAAGTACCCTTACAGGTACATTTAAAGGAACCTTTACAGGAATCCTTAAAGGAACTCGTAAAGGTACGCTTAAAGCAAAAGTACCCTTACAGGTACCTTTAGAGGTACCTTTACAGGCTGAAAGGGACGTTTAAAGCAACCCTTAAAGGAAATCTTAACGGTACCCTTAAAAGGTACCTCCCAAGAAACCTTTAGAGGAATCAAGACAGGAACTTTTAAAGGAGCCCTTCACAGAACCCTTAAAGGAGCCCTTAACCCTAAACCCTAAACCTAAACCCTAAACCCTAACCCTAAACCCAACAAAGCTGGGCCCCGCCTCGCGCAGAGGCCTTGGCCTCAGCACCGGGCGCGGCCTCGGTTCGGCACTCAGTTTGGAACTGTTTGTGCTTTGCAACTTGCTGTTTTGCTTTTGGGGTTTAGGGTTTAGGGTTTCGTTTCAATTTGGTATTTTGCTTGTTTTTTTTATAGGGTCCCTATAAGTTCATATAAGGGCTTATGACAAGTAGGTTATGCTGCTTTAAGGTACGTTGCTTTGCCTTTTTTTTCATTGGCTTGCTCCCTAAACCCTGAACCCTTTATTCAAGTTTAAGGGGTTCATTTGGGTCTCATGAGCTTTCTGTACTTAGCGGCTCATGGTACATAGTAAGTGGGGTTTAGGGTTCCTTTTAAGGGTGCTATGGGGGTCTATGGTAGGGCTCCCTTTCAGGGTTTGGGGCTTAGGGTCTACTTAAAGGCTCATGGGACTAAGAAAGAAAGGTTATAAGTAGTTTATTATTAGGATAAGCCACTTAGCGGACTTATAGCCCCAATTCAAGCCTACTTTGCTACGTCCAGCCTGTGATCCTTTAAGTAGGGCTGGAAAGGTTTTGATCGTGCCTTACTAATGTAGGGACCTTATTGTCGCAGCAGGAATTTGGGATATATGATCCCGTGATCAAAGGGATTAGGGCTTTGGCCAGGAGCTTGGGTGACTGTTATGAACTCGTTTCAGGGTGTAAGGCTTAGGGACCAGAGCCTGGATCAGTGTGTAGGGTTTAGGAACTGAGCCCTTTTTAAGTAAGCTGAGGCCCTTGCCAGCAGCCCTGCTGCAGCGCAGGTGCATTCTGCGGTCACATTGTAGTTAAGTTTGGCGGTTCAGGGTTTCTGGAACTGATTGTCGGAGTCCTTAAAGTTCTAGGATTGAGCATTTTCTTTGTAATTTGTAATCAAAAGTTAATCTGTCGGATTGTGGGAGTAGTTCAAGTTCGAGGGATTAGGGCTTTTTGGAGCTACGGTATAGAGCTTTGGGCTTTTGAGTTTTTCGGGTCAAGGAGATTCCTGCGTACCCTAAGCCCTGATGAGTTCGAGATTCCTCAAACAAAGCGGGGGAGGGGTGAAGCTTGTGGTCAGGGAAGGAACCCTAAAACCCCAACCGCTAAACCCCTAAATCCCCAACCCCTAACCCCCAAACCCTAAACCGTATAAATCCCCTAACGGAACCCCTAAAGGAACCCTAAACCCTACTTGGAGGGTCGGGGGACTTAGTAAGTAGATAATAAGTAGACTTATAACTACCCTAAAGGGATCCTAATTGGGGTTATGGTACTTATAAGTCCCTAAAATAACCAGTTGCTAAGTCCCCCGACCCTCCAAGTATAGATCCCTTAAATGGAACCCAAACCCCTAAACCCATGGAGGCATTGGCCGAGAATCCGAGCATCCTCGGGGTGACGCGGCTGTCAGATTGGAGGTTCCGAAAATTAGGGGTACCTTATTTTGGGGTCTTTATAATAAGGGCCCTATTATTTAGGGTACTACATTTGGGTCCCCTGTATTCGGAAACTCCCTTTTGAGGTTTTAGATTGGAGGTTTTGGGGTTCCTTTAAAGGTTCCTTTAAGGGATCTATAGGGGTTTAGGGTTCCTTTAAAGGTTCCTTTAAGGGATCTATAGGGGTTTAGGGTTCCTTAAAAGGTTCCATTAGGGGATGTATAGGGTTCAGGGTACGTACGGTTTCGGGTTTTGGGGTTAAGGTTTGAGGGTTTAGCTTTAGGGTTTTAGGGTTAAGGTTTGAGGGTGTAGTTTAGGCTTTAGTTTAGGGTTTTAGGGTCAAGGTTTGAGGGTTTAGTTTAGGGTTTTTAGGATTCAGGTTTGAGGGTGTAGTTTAGGGATAAGTTTCAGGGTTAAGGTTTGAGGGTTTAGTTTAGGGTTTTAGCGTCAAGGTTTGAGGGTTTAGTTTAGGGTTTTAGGGTTAAGGTTTGAGGGTCTAGTTTAGGGTGTTAGCGTCAGGGTTTTAGGGTTAAGGTTTGAGGGTTTAGTTTAGGGTTCAGTTTAGGGTTGTAGGCCTCCTTAGAGGGTTTTGAGGCTGAGGTAGGGTTGAGGGTCTAGGGTTTAGGGGTTTAGGGGTTTAGGCTTTAGGGTTAGGGTGCAGGCTCCCGGGTTTAGGGTTCAGGGTCATCCTTTATCCGAGCCTAAGCATTCAGAAGTCGCGGCAAAACCCGCGCAGACGTAAATCCTGACAAAAACCTTGTATTCAGGACCCCAAAAGGACATAAGCATGAGCATTTTATAAGGGATATCCCTACCTTATTGGGTTTCATTATAGGGGGGTTTATATGGGATATCCCTATCCTCATTTTTGTTTATGTGCTTGGTTTGGGCCTAAACCCCTAAACCCTAAACTCGTAAACCCAAACCCTAAACCCCTAAAGCCCGGGCCCTATTGTAAACCCCCCAGATATCCCAGGCGATTGCAAACGAGCCTGCCCTTGCGACAGTCGCGGGCCCAGAGCTGCCGCCTTGCCGAGAGAATGTGGGAGACCATGGGGATCCTTAACTACGGGTGATGATATCAATCCTGCATTACCTTAAGGACCATTACCTATGGGAATTATGGTATATTCCTTATTATGGGTAATGCAGGATTTATTTCGGCTTATAACCCCAACTATAACCTACTTACTCAGTCCCATGATCCTCTAACCAGGACCCAGAGGAAGGCCCCTATTCCCTTTTTTAGGGTTGAGGTTCCATCATATTTGAACTATACTGTGCCGTGAGGGTATGAGGATAATGATGTTCACACATTCTGGCTTCTACCATAAGGGTTCCCAGAGACTCCAATATCCCTTGATTAAGGAATAATCCTTAAATCATAGTAGGGATCCTACTATAATTTAAGGTTTATTCCTTAATTAAGGGATATTCGAGTCTCTGGGTAGGTCGATAACCGTAAGCTTGATAATGATAAGCGATCCGGATTCGGTACAGGGTTCAAGCCTTAGACCACAAAACCATAAAAGCAAAATTCCAAAAGAGGCCCAACCCCCCCCCCCCCCCGCAATCACAACCCCAAAGTGCCCGCCGATAGTCCCCACATAATTCTAGTATAAAATGGGTGCTTGTTAAAATTATGGTACCCTTTTGGGTCCTTAATATAGTAGGGCACCTAATATTCAGGGTACCCGAGAAGGGACCCGAATTTTGACAACTACCCATATGTACCAAACCCTATTCTCATTGTAAAGCCCGAGAGCCTTCCCACGACGCCGCAGGCTTTGGCGAACAACCCGGAGCTTTCGAAGGCCTTCTCCGAAGGGACTTGGTAAACGGGGTTATTAGTGCCTAAGTAGGATTATCGTTGGGTTTAGAGCTTAGAGTTTAGGGTTTACAGCTGAAGGGACTTAGTACATCGGGTTAAGTTGGGGTTTCAAGTGTCCGAAGTAGGGATATCCTAAGTATAGCCTTACTTATAAATGTACTTAGCTGTGGGGCTGGTTTTATGTAGGTCGGTGGTCTCCTTACTTGTGGTTTCTGTTTTAAGGGGCTGCATATAGGGATCCTTCTTCGGGCTATATTAGGCAGTAACCGGCCTGTTGAAGGCTGTATAGGGATATCCCTACCTTGTTGGGTTTCATTATAAGGGGGTTCATATGTATTGATTTTTGCTTATGTGCTTTTTTGGGGTCCTAGTAGGGTGGGCAGATTTTGCAGCATCTGTTCTAGTCTCAGGGCAATTGATGAGGGTCGGGTTGTGAGGGCGGGGCGATTTTTGTTGGGCCTTCATCTGCTTATTTGTTGTTGGTCTTTGGAAGCAATACATTTCGCAATGCTGGTGCGTCAGTCGGGATGGTTGTTGTTGCCCTCATTCTTGTAACTTTCCGTCGTCCTTTTCCTGGAGCCAGTCAAGACGCACAGCCCTTTCCCCCTGCCCCCGCCCCTTTCGGAGCGTGGTTGGGTGGGTTGCCCTACCGGACCACCACCGGCAATGTGCTCGACTGGTGCAGGGAGCACAGCGTGGAGCCGAAGTGGTCGCAGCGGCTACGTCAAAGATGGGGGCAGAAGCGACATCTATACTTAGAGGCTCATGGGACTTAGTAAGTAAGGTTATAAGTAGGCTATAATTACGATAACCCTACTTAGGGGACTTATAACCCCAATCATAACCCTACTTACTAAGTCCCATGATCCTCTAAGCAATCCCTAACCCCTGAACCCTAACCCTATAGATCCCTAAAAGGAACCCTAAACCCTCCAAAGACCCCTAAAACCTTAAGCCTTATAGATCCCTTACACGATCCTTTACGTAGCTTCCTGGTGTTTTTCCACAGCGAGGCTAGAACCCAGAGTAGGCCCTTATTCCCGTTTTTAGGGTTCAGGTTCCCTTATAAGCCTTAAACCAAAAAGGGCACCCTTTTTATTCCTAGGTTACTCTTGGGCTTAGGAGGAGCTCCGGAATGCTGCTATGAAAAAGCTTGAGGGTTTAGGGTTTAGGGTTTTCGATGGTTGGCGAGCAACCAGGAAGGAGCCCAGAGACCTCCAATATCCCTTCATGAAGGAATATACCTTAAATTATAATAGGATCCCTAACATGATTTAAGGAAATTAAGGGATATTGGAGTCTCTGGGAGCAGAGACCTCTACCAAAGGCAGCTGGGCCGAAGGTGCAGATAACTCCAGCAAAGGCAGCTGGGCCTGCGGTGGATGAGCCGAAAGCTGGCACTGCTTAGAGGATCATGGGACTTAGTACGTAGGTTATAATTGGGGTTATAAGTCCCCTAAGAGGCGTTATCGTAAGTATAACCTAGTTATAACCGAATTTACTAAGTCCCATGAGCCTTTAAGTAGGCTCCGTGGCAGGGCAAGGCGGCTGGTGCAGGTCGACGGTGCTCTTCAGCACCACCAGAAGCACAATTAGAGGCCAAGCAAGTTTTGCAGTTCCCCCCCCCCCCCGCCCCCCACTCCCTCCTGCCCACGCACCTCCCACCCCCGCGTCCCAGTCACCATCGCCGCATCGCCAAACAGCGCCCAAGACGGGACTCAAACCCTCCAACTGCCATCCGTCCAGGGACTATGAGTCCTTTTTGTTAACACCTTCACTGCCATTTGAGGCACTACATACTAAACCCTAAACCCTGGTTTGAATTTGAGGGATACAACCCAAAACCCAAAACCCTTCACTTTCTGGGTACTGGAGAACTAGGACTACTGAGGTTCAGAGCTTCAAACCAGACCTCCACCAAGACTCTTGCGCAGCTTAACGTTCCCTAAAACCGACAACCAGGCCAAGCCCTAATCCCTGAGCCCTACGCACTGAGCTCCCATGAGTTCAACACAACTTTAACCCACCCGGCCCCTGCACCACCTGCCCTAACAAAAGAAGAGGCGCAACACCACGCCCCCTGCCCCACCAGAAAACACAACAGACACCCTAGACCTTAGGTCTTGAACCTTTCAAGAACAAAAAGTCCCCAGAGGCATTGGCATCCGATCCAGCTTTGGCCGCGGAACTCCGCCTTGCATACAAGGGTTTTCATAGGGATCCCCACTGGGCTTATGAGGTTTTTGTCAAACAAAGGTGCTCAAGGTTTCATAAAGGTGCTCACGGTTTCATAGGCGGTCCATAACAAGATCTTGTAAGCGGGTATGCTCGAAGGAGTTGACACGGGCTCTAAAGCGGTCCTGAAAGGGTTTTAGATGGGGTTTCATGTGCCTAGTGTGGGCAGGTGAGTGGGAGTGTGTGTGTGTGTGTGTGTGTGTCTGTGTGTGTGTGCGCGCGTGTGTGCGTGCGTGCGTGTGGTTTTCGCAGGTTAAATTTGTGCGATTAGTTGGAACATGGTTTCACGATAATTAGTGTCAGGATTTCCCTATACTTTGCCGTAAGGGTATGAGGGGTAATGATGTTCCAACATTCTGACTTCTACCACCCTAAGGCTCCATGTAGCTATTATATAGTATACACGTAGGCCTCAAAGTACCTATCTAGGAAGCCCTTTAAGGCCTGAGTATATACAGTATGGGTACATGCCGGCTCCAAAAAGAATAAATTGTGGACAATGTGTCAGAGCTGTCGTGTCCTGATCTTGGAATAGATCAGTATGGTGTCTGCTATTTTGTATAACGTGCTGGACTTTCGTTCCGTGCTGGGTCGCCGGCTGAGTCATTCCGTGGACCCGCAGACATACACCAGGATCGGTCATGCATTTGGCCGCGTTCCTATGGTTCTGCATTTGGGCGACTTCTTGCAGCTGCGTCCAACTGCTCAGCTATCGCTCTTGGACAGCGAAATGGCGCTATTCCCAAAAATACACGACCTCACAGCTTCGTAGTCTTGCTTCTTGGTGTTTCGCCTTTTCAATTTTCAATGCTGAAAGATGAAAGAGGTTACCCACTGCTGCATTCCGATGTCCCACCAGAAGTCCAGCATGCACAGAAAGTGTTCGCAAACATCCATGATGTGTTTGAGCTGCGAGGGACGACGCGCTACAAAGATAGCGATCCAGGGCCATAAGGGTTTCTTTGGAGGGCTTTGAGGATTTCCATTTCGGGTCCTTTAATCGCTCGTTGCAAACTTCGGCTTCGCTGGGGTTTGGGGATGAATACTTTTTAGGGATTTAGGGTTTAGGGTTTTAGGGGTTTAGGGGTTCAAGGGTTTGGGGTTAGGGGTTTGGGGGTTTGGGGTTTGGGGTTTAGGGGTTTGGGGGTTTAGGGGTTTGGGGTTTAGGGATGTAGGGGTTTAGGGGTTCAAGGGTTTGGGGTTAAGGGTTTGGGGTTTAGGGCTTTGGATTCCTTGCTTCATGTGCAGCCAGGAAGTAAGCAAAACGAGCATTTTGCGACAATTGTTATAGTTGGGGTTGCCAGTATCGCCACAACATCGAGCTGAGAAGTACCCCCCCCCAAAGTATATAACAAATTCCCGAAACCTTAAACCCAAAACCCTAAGCTCTGAATGACCAACCCCAAAGTATCAAAGTCGAGAATCCTGCTCGACTTCGTGAAGACGTGAGGTTTGGGGTTCAGGGGTTAGTGACTAGGGTTTAGGGTTTTGGGTTTTGGGTTCAGGGGTTAGTGACTAGGGTTTAGGGTTCTGAACTTTAGGGTTTAGGGGTTAGTGACTAGGGTTTAGGGTTCTGAACTTTAGGGTTTAGGGTTTAGGGTTTTGGGTTTAGGGTTTAGGGTTCTGAACCTTGGGATTTAGGGTTTTAGGGTTTAGGGTTTTGGGTTCTGAACCTTAAACCCTAAAACCCCTGGTGTCGGGATTCTGGAGTCTCTGCAAATATGCTCTCTTTGGCCAAGGCTCTGGCAGAGAATCCTGGCTTGGCCAAGGCCCGCGGCTCAGCCACCGGCAGCCAGAAAACGAAAGCCTACAGTAATCCCCATAAAGTTGGAAACCGGATTAAGGCCAAATAGTGCTGGGATTCCCCATACATTGCTCATAAGGATTGAGGCTATGGGTTTCCAAGTTTTGGACTTATATTGTAAACCCTAAACCCCCTTTTAAACAAGCTCGAATCGCCTAGGCGAAGACCCTTGTAACACCCTAAACCCTAAACCTTAATCCCTCAACCCTAATTAAACCCTAAACCCCAAACCCCCTAAACCGTAAACTCCCAAACCCCTAAACCCCTAAACCTCAAACCCTATACCCCTAAACCCCCTTTTAAAGATGCCCGTTTAAGCGTCTACAACACCCACAGGTCTCCAGGTCTTGCATCAGCCAGGGGACTTTAATTCCTTTTTGACGGTATAGGGTTTAGGGTTTTAGGGTTTTAGGGTTTAGGGGTTTCGGTTTAGGGTTTAGGGTTTTTTGCACGGTTTAGGTTTAGGGATGTTTGGGGTTTGGGGCTGAGTGGGCCATTGCTTCCGGGCTTTGGGCTCAAGGATTTGGGCTTGGGTTTAAGGGCTTCGTGGGCGGTGGGGGTAAAGTTTAGTGTTCAGATTTCGGGGCAAGGTAACCCATGCCTCCAGCACTGAGCTTGACATGAGAGTTTAGGGTTTAGCGCTCAGGGTTTAGAGTTTAGGGTGGAAGGTTTGGAGTTTAGGGTTGAGAGCTTGCTGGTAGGTCTACTCAACTGAGGCCTTTCTAGCCTGCTGATGAACGTCGTGAAGACAGCAGATGATCGTGATGTGCATGGGTACATCGCGACGACGACGGCACGATGCCTGCTGCTCCCCCTCCTCCTCCTCCTCCTCCTCCTCCTCCTCCTCCTCCTTCGCGCCATCGACTAGACATAATTGCAAATAGTTATTGCAAGAGTGAGAAATAGTACGACAATATCCGAACCAGCATTGCTAATGATGCGCTTGCAACGCCCCGGCCCCCAAGGCCTTAGCCTCAAGCCCTTAACCGTAAACCCCTAGCTGCAGTAGTAGTATGACCACTAGACCCTCATGAGCTCGCATAAAGCCGTACTTCCTTCCAGATGAACAATCTTAAATCCATTCTAATGAACCCATAAAGACCTCCTGGAAATGCCGATAGAACTCTGCACAGCCCCGAACACCCCAGGCCCTCGCCGAGAATCCCAATTCTTTGGCAGCGCGGCTCCTGGATCATACGTTGCGGGCTTTCCGGGTTTAGGGTTCTGAGCTTGGAGTTTAGTGCTTTCTGGGTTTGGCGTTGCGCTTTGGTTGGAGGCTTTAGGTTTGCGGTCTGGGCCAGTCTGGGACTTAGGAATCGGGGCTTAGGATTTGGGGTTCAAGGTCTGGGGTGTTGCTCGTTCGGGGTCGTTTCTTTCGGTTTCTGGTGGTAGGTGTTTCTTATGAATTAAAAGGTGTTCTTTTGCTCTATTTTGTGCAGATGCACAAGATCTTTTTGCGGGTGTGGCGCTCTTGTTTGGGCTGAACCCTAAAACCCTAAAACCTTAAACTCTAAACCCTTAAACCTAAAAATGTAAAACCTTAAAACCCTAAAAACCCTAAAACCCCTAAACAATGTGTTGTATGAATTTGTTCAAACAGCCGTGGTGCGTCCTACAGAGCCTCACTGTGCGCAAGTTGGCACCTGGTTTGTGTTGCTACTTAGAGGATCATGGGACTTAGTAACTAGGGTTTCTTACATGGTTTCCTTTTAGGCTCTATAAAGGTTCTATAAGGGAGAGTTTGTATAGGTTACTTGGAGGCTCATGGGACTTAGTAAGTAGGTTATGATTGGGGTTTTGAGTCCTTTAAGAGGCGTTATCCTAATTATAACCTACTTTATAACCTTACTTACGAAGTCCCATGAGCCCTTAAGCGGATCTGTCTGAGTGCACAGAAACAGGTGTAGTCAAAGGCTCGGCAAGCCCAACACAGCGGTCTAAGATGTGATTACCAAGCTAGGCGCTTGGGGCTAGGGTTCCTGAAAATGGTTGGACTTCCCGTCATGGCTTCGAACTGGCACCGGTGTTCATATGGTCTGTGGCTGTGGGCCTCGACTGAAGGGAGCAAGAAAGCTGCTCTGAGTGGTTGCAAGCGATCTTACTGGTCCGATGACTCATTGATCTTGCGCCCCTGGCCAAACACATCGCAGGAGCGACTACGACAATCTTGCAGAGCCGTGAACCCTGAACCTTAAACCCTCAATTGTCAGCCCTGTAAGTCCCGAGCTCCATTCACACTGCAGTTCGACTTCGGCGCCTAGGTCTCTCACAGCCCTTACCTGCTGGCGCTGACTTATCTATAATTGTGATGCCTTGAACTGCCCATTTGCTGCTGAGAGCGAAGATGCTCGGCTACAATTGCACACTCCATTGCCGCAAGAACAAGCGTGGTACAACCACGGCGATGGTTGTTGAGGAGGACGACATCTCCCAAAACTTTATTCCGATTATAAAGGCCCCTATATTGTAGTACCCTTATGGATCCCTCCTAGTATCCCTTTAAGGAGCCCCTTAAAAGGGAATCCTATTCTAATTTCGGGAGTTTTGGAGACTAAGAGCTCTAGTGAAGTTGGGCAGGTTGAAGAAACGAGGAAGCTCGCAGCAAACATCGTGGAGATTGTCATCCGCTCAAAAAAAGCTGCACCTGTGCCAGAACCCTTTCAAAAGATTCGCTTCAAACAGGGTCAAACCTGATCAAACCAGCCCAAAAAGCAACCCTTAGCCCCAATCCCTAAGCGAAAGCCAGACACTAAATCACAGCGACACCGCAGAACCTCCCCAAAACGAAACCCTCAGCCTTACGCTAACCTGCTTGCTTTGCCGGTTCTTTTGATGAGCCCTAATATGGAGTTTATACTTGCCCTGCAAAAAAGTAGGTTCTGGCCGGTTCAGGTACACCTTAAACCCTAAACCCTAAACCCTACATAAACCCTAAACCCTAAAACCCTGCCTTAAACCGACCCACACGACCGGAGGCCGTAAAAGCCATGGCGTCGAACCCCGCACTTTCTGCGGCCGGGGGGCCCAAAAAGATTTTTCGCGTGGTGGTTTAGAATTTGAGGGTTTAGGGTTTGGAGTTTAAGGGTTTAGGGTTTAGGGTTTAAGCATTTGAAAAGATGCTTTAAGTAGCTCATTGTACTCTTGTTGTAACCTGGTTTTCTGTCTGAAGACTTAAATAACAGTTTTGCAGGTTGTTTTAGAAGAGTCTTGTAAGGGTCCTGAAAACGACATTTTAAGATTATGTAGCTTTTGTCAATTATGCAGACCTCATAGCCAGTTTGTGGTTTTCTCAAGGTTTGCGCGAGAGGGCTTTAGGGTTTGTCCAGGACTAGGATGTCAGGGTCCTCAGTTCATTGTACTTAGAGGATCATGGGACTTAGTAAGTTGGTTATAACTGGGGTTATAAGTCCCCTAAGTGGGGTTACCCTAATTACAGCCTACTTATAACCTTACTTACTAAGTCCCATGAGCCTTCAAGTATCCCCTGCAGACACGGCAAAGTTGCGGGACGGAGGCGGGACATTCTCACAAAGCGTGTTGTCCCGGCAAAGCTTCGATCCTGCTGGAGTGACAGCAGGAAGTGTCACAGGATGGAAGACCGCATAAGGTCGCAGAGGTCTGGAAATTGCGCTCTAACCTGGAGGCTGCTAGAGTTTTAGCAGGAAGCATCACAGGCTGGAAGACTGCATAAGGTCGGAGAGTTGCTGCGGCCAGCGTAAGATCCCCACTTGAAGGCTCATGGGACTTAGTAAGTAAGGTTATAAGTAGGCTGTAATTAGGGTAACCCCACTTAGGGGACTTATAACCCCAGTTATAACCAACTTACTAAGTCCCATGATCCTCCAAGCATAGCAGGTGTTGGAGTTGCGTGGCCGAGTCTGTGAGTTGGAGGCCAAAACCTAAACCCTAAACCGTAAACCCTAAACCCTAAACTCTAAACCCTAAATAAACCCTAAATCCTAAACCCTAAACCCCAAACCCTAAATCCTAAACCCTAAACCCCAAACCCTAAATCCTAAACCCTAAACCCCAAACCCTAAATCCTAAACCCCAAACCCTAAATCCTAAACCCTAAACCCCAAACCCTAAATCCTAAACCCTAAGCCCAAAACCCTAAATCCTAAACCCTAAACCCCAAACCCTAAATCCTAAACCCTAAACCCTCTCTACCTATGTTATTTAAACCTTTAGGGGATTCACCGGTCAATCCGGACCAATGATCTGGGAATTCACCGGTCAATCCGACCAATGATCTGGGAATGGGCGGTCAATCCGACCAATGATCTGGGAATTCACCGGTCAATCCGACCAATGATCTGGGAATGGGCGGTCAATCCGACCAATGATCTGGGAATTCACCGGTCAATCCGACCAATGATCTGGGAATGGGCGGTCAATCCGACCAATGATCTGGGGATTCACCGGTCAATCCGACCAATGATCTGGGAATGGGCGGTCGATCCGACCAATGATCTGGGAATTCACCGGTCAATCCGACCAATGATCTGGGAATGGGCGGTCAATCCGACCAATGATCTGGGAATTCACCGGTCAATCCGACCAATGATCTGGGAATGGGCGGTCAATCCGACCAATGATCTGGGAATTCACCGGTCAATCCGAGCAATGATCTGGGAATGGGCGGTCAATCCGACCAATGATCTGGGAATTCACCGGTCAATCCGACCAATGATCTGGGAATGGGCGGTCAATCCGACCAATGATCTGGGAATTCACCGGTCAATCCGACCAATGATCTGGGAATGGGCGGTCAATCCGACCAATGATCTGGGAATGGGCGGTCAATCCGACCAATGATCTGGGAATTCACCGGTCAATCCGACCAATGATCTGGGAATGGGCGGTCAATCCGACCAATCTGGGAATTCACCGGTCAATCCGACCAATGATCTGGGAATGGGCGGTCAATCCGACCAATGATCTGGGAATTCACCGGTCAATCCGACCAATGATCTGGGAATGGGCGGTCAATCCGACCAATGATCTGGGAATTCACCGGTCAATCCGACCAATGATCTGGGAATGGGCGGTCAATCCGACCAATGATCTGGGAATTCACCGGTCAATCCGACCAATGATCTGGGAATGGGCGGTCAATCCGACCAATGATCTGGGAATGGGCGGTCAATCCGACCAATGATCTGGGAATGGGCGGTCAATCCGACCAATGATCTGGGCATTCACCGGTCAATCCGACCAATGATCTGGGAATGGGCGGTCAATCCGACCAATGATCTGGGAATGGGCGGTCAATCCGACCAATGATCTGGGAATTCACCGGTCAATCCCTAGGGTTTGGGCTTTAGGGTTTAAGGCCTAGGGTTTGGGCTTTAGGGTTTAGGGCCTAGGGTTTGGGCTTTAGGGTTTAGGGCCTAGGGTGTGGGCTTTAGGGTTTAGGGCCTAGGGTGTGGGCTTTAGGGTTTGGGGCCTAGGGTTTGGGCTTTAGGGTTTAGGGCCTAGGGTTTGGGCTTTAGGGTTTAGGGCCTAGGGTTTGGGCTTTAGGGTTTAGGGCCTGGGTTTGGGCTTTAGGGTTTAGGGCCTAGGGCTTGGGCTTTAGGGTTTAGGGCCTAGGGTTTGGGCTTTAGGGTTTAGGGCCTAGGGCTTGGGCTTTAGGGTTTAGGGCCTAGGGTTTGGGCTTTAGGGTTTAGGGCCCAGGGTTCTCCAGGGTTATGTGTCATGCTTCTTTCTGTAAGGCGGAAACGATGACACATTTCCGGCCTGAAATGTGTCATGCTTCTTTCTGTAAGGCGGAAAAGATGACACATTTCCGGCCTGAAATGTGTCATGCTTAGCATTCCGAACGCCCCAATAAGCGAAACAACTTTCGCAAGAGGTATTCCTTCCTAACGCCCCAATAAGCGAAACAATTCTGCAGGAGATTTCCACTCGAATGCCTCAATACGCGAAACAATTCTGCAAGAGGTATTGCTTCCTAACGCCCCAATAAGCGAAACAATTCTGCAAGAGATTTCCATTCCGAACGCCCCAATAAGCGAAACTGTTTTGCAAGAGGTATTGCTTCCTAACGCCCCAATAAGCGAAACAATTCTGCAAGAGATTTCCATTCCGAACGCCCCAATAAGCGAAACAATTCCACAAGAGGTTTGCCTTCCAAACGCCCCAATAAGCGAAACAATTTTTATTAGCCCTTGCTTATTATGGAAGTGGTGGGTGCTTAAGCAAGGGCTAAATTATGAAGAAATTTGTATATCCTAGTGTTATGGGGATCTTTGGGTGGCTAGATTCACAACTTTAGTTTATGTTAATGCTTTTAGTGTTGTATAACGTTCGGCGATAATAGTTTTAAGCTGTGAATGAATTGAAACTTTGTATGCTCTTAATGTTGTGGGATTCTAAGGGTGGGTGGGTGTTATTCCTACACCGTAAGCACAACCCTACTTTAAAACTGCTCGACCCGGAGCTGCTGAACCCTAAACCCCAAACCCTAAATCCTAAACCCTAAACCGCGTGTTTGCGCCTGTGTGCATGTTTCAGCTCTGGGCGGCTCCGAGGTTTAGGCCGGTTTAGGCCGATAATTTACTATCTCTTAATTAAGGAATATTCCTTAAATTAAGGTTTAGGGTTTAGGGTTTAGGGTTTAGGGTTTAGGGTTTAACTAAGATGCCCAGTAGCACCCTTGTTCCCTTTTTGTAGTCCTAGGTTCCTTATAAAGTTACCCAATACCAGAAAGAGAGGCCTTTTTATTCTTAGGTTACTGGGTATCCTAGGCGTTTAAGGCGTCAGGGTTCATGTTTAAATGCCTTTTTTTGGGGCTTAGGGTACCCGTAAGGGGTTCCTTTAAGGGATCTATAGGGGTTCGATAAGGGGCGTTTTAGGGTTTAGGGTTTAGTAGTAGAATAGTAACCTTTAACCTTTGTTGGGTAGTATAGCCCCTATATAATCCCTATATAACCAAAAAGGTTAACTTTTAGTTCCCCATGATACCCGACGAGCAGGATTCGGGTTTAGGGGAAGCTTCAGCGAAACTCAGCCAAAGCTCGAGTCCTTAACATAGACCTCAAACGCCTGAAGCCTCAAACTTCGCAAGCCTGAGTTTTTAGCTTCTGACGCCTCGGAACCTGAACTAACCGCGACCCTCAAAACCTTGAACTTTAAGCCGCCTACAGTTTCTTAACCGAAAGCCGTGAGTTTGTATAAACCTTGGGGTTTAGGGCTCAGGGGTTTAGGGTTCAGGGTTTAGGGTTTAGGGTTTAGGGTTTAGGGTTTTCGCTGCGAGTGCGCTGTCGACCCCTCCATGAAGTGGTTGGGGTCGGCGCATGAGCTGCAATGCCCGCCCTCCCACCCTAATTTCAAACCTTGAACGGGTTTAGGGTTGTCTACCCCCCCAACCCCCCCTAGCAAGGGGGGCTTATATGGTTTGGAAGCAACAACAACAAACAACTTTTCCACAACGCCAAAGTGACAATCTCCAGGCGCAAAGTGACAATCTCCAGGCCCCAAAGTGACAATCTCCAGGCCCCAAAGTGACAATCTCCAGGCCCCAAAGTGACCCAAAGGGCCTTCTGGGTGGCTTCGGTGGGCTTGTGGCCTCTGGGGCCTTTGCAGGGTTTACGGGGGAGGACCTTCTGCAGGCTTTGTGGGGGCTGCGCGGCCTTCTGGAAACCTTCTGGACACCTTTTTGCCCACCTTCAAAACTACTCAAAACCTATTGAAACAGCTACAAAAACCAGATAAAACTTTTAAAAACCATTCTGAGCCTTTAAGAACCTCGCAAAACCTGCAAAAACTTCAACCAGACCAGGCCAACTTTTCCACAACACCAAAGTGAAAAACTCCAGGCGCAAAGCGACAATCTCCAGGCCCCCAAGTGACAATCTCCAGGCCCCAGAGTGACAATCTCCAGGCACCAAAGTGACCCAAAGGGCCTTCTGGGTGGCTTCGGTGGGCTTGTGGCCTCTGGGGCCTCTGCAGGGTTTACGGGGGAGGACCTTCTGCAGGCTTTGTGGGGGCCTGCGCTAGGCTCTGGGTCCTTAATTTTAATGGTCGGGGCCACATTCTGCAGCAAAACAGGGCCGTTCTGTATGTGTGCCGCCACTAAACCATCCAGTGTCCATGTGGGCCCAAAGCGGTCAAGGCCACATTCTGCAGCAAAACAGGGCCGTTTTTTTCGTGTGGCTCCACTAAACTTGTTAAATTCTTTATATAAAATGTGCATTTTAATTAGGGCCAGGTGCCCAAGTCGAGGTCCCCCTCTTTCTTTCGTGTGGCTCCACTAAACTCTGCCCTGGGGCTCCTCGGTCCAGGGCTCGGAACCGTCCCTGAGCGTAGGATCGAAAAATGGACCCTCGAGTGCTCGTGTGTGCCCAAAGGGGTCGGGGCCACATTCTGCAGCAAAACAGGGCCGTTCTTTATGTGTGCCGCCACTAAACCATCCGGTGTCCATGTGGGCCCAAAGCGGTCAAGGCCACATTCTGCAGCAAAACAGGGCCGTTCTTTTCGTGTGGCTCCACTAAACTCTTCCCTGCCCTCCAAAAATTTGGAAAATCGCTGCTGATTTTGCCTTGTTAAATTCTTTATATAAAATGTGCATTTTAATTAGGGCCAGGTGCCCAAGTCGAGGTCCCCCTCTTTCTTTTCGTGTGGCTCCACTAAACTCTGCCCTGGGGCTCCTCGGTCCAGGGCTCGGAACCGTCCCCGGGTCTTTAATTGAAGGCTCTTTAAAGGCAGCAAGGAGGAATCCAAGGGTGCCCGGCCATTTGCACTAAGGTTTACCGGGGCCCAGAAAGGAGGAATCCAAGCGTGCCCGGCCGGTTTGCACCAAGGTTTAGGGTTATTACTTTATAGGCTGACAGTAGCGGCCTATTCACTGGAGCCGCGTGGACCTGAGGTCCAGGACCTACGGCTTGCCTTTCGGCCATCGCCTACGGTCCGGCAGGCGCCTTCCGGTCCGCCTGCTGCGGCCGACCCCATTCGCTGCGGTGGGGGGTCGGCCTTCAGTTTAGGGTTTAGGGTTTAGGGGAGTTTCGAACGTCAGAACCCCCGAGCTTCAAAGCCCGTCTACAGCCTACAACACCCTTGTCAATCTGGTTTTACACAACCCGAACAAACTCCTTAATTAACCGTAAACCCCTAAGCCCAAAACCTGAAACCCCAAACCCTAAACCCTGGACCTTAAACCCTAAATCCTAAACCCTGAACCCTGAATCTTAAGCCCGAAATCCTAAATGCTCCAGCCCAAACACTAAATCCGAAACCCTAGAGCCCCAAACCCCTCCGAAGCTGTGAGCCCAGGCTGCGAAGAACAGCCCTTCCTTGGCAGCGGCTGGAAGCTCATGGAGTCAATAGGGCTTGTTAGATCGAGGATTTACGGTTTAGGGTTTAGGGTTTACTTCAAGGCTCATGGGATGTCGGTTGAGGGCTTAGGGCTAGGGTAAGGGTTTGGGGTTGAGGTTTGAGGGCTTAGGGTTTAGGGTTTAAGGGCTTTTACAGGTTACAGTGCTGAGCTCAGGACTTCGCGCCTGGAGTTTAAAGAGAGTAGGATGTCAGGTTTCTATGGGATTCTAGAGGGGTTTTGTAGGGAAACAAGCAAGACCAATGCAAGAGTGGTTGTACCTATTGACACTCGAAGCTTTCGGGTAAAGGGTGTAATTATGGTTTTTAGGGGCTTAGAGATTCAAGGTTTTGGGGTTTTTAGACTAATGGTTGAAGGGGTTTGGGGTGTAGGGTTTGGTCTGTTGATTTGTTTTACATATTTAGGCTTCAGGGTTCTGCTAGGGTTTCTGAGTTTAGGTTTAGGGCCGAGGGCTCCGAGAGGGAGGGGAGGGGGAACGGGAAAGGGCCCCCTTTCACCAAGCCGCCTTTGCAAGTCAGACGCGCACCCCCTCTAGGGTTTATGGTTTAGGGTTTAGGGTTTGGTTTTAGGGTTTAGGGGTTTAGGGTTTGGGGCTTGGGTTCTGGCGTTTAGGGCTTCAGGGTCTTAGGATTTATGGTATAGGGTTTAGGGATCCTCTCCCATTCCAGACACATACCGGTACATACAGATACATCAACGGCAAGAGAAACAGAGTAACAGAGAGGGTGGGAGAAAGAGGGAGAGAGGAGCAGCTCCGGACCACGTCGCAAAGGATGGATGAAGTTCCTCATGACCTTGCCGGATAAACCCTAAACCCTAAATCCTAAACCCTAAACCCCAAACCCTAAATCCTAAAGCCCTAAACCCTAAACCACCCTCCAGTGAGATTTCTCGAGCAGAGTGAATCCAGTGAAGCTCCCAGAGCCCCGAATATCAAAGGAGGCCAAAACGGGTTTTAGCCTACTGTTGATGGGCAGAACTATGGTACTCTACTACATTTAAGGTAATGCAGGATTTTGTCCATCCACCGTATGGGGGTTTAGTAGGGGTTAGGGTTCCCATCACAGGGTTCATATCAAGAAATCCCTACCCCAAGAATCTTAAACCCCTCCTTCTGGCCTCCCAGCAGAATATAACCCGTCGAACGTCCTGTGGGAGCCGAGGCCCTAGCGGCAGATCCCAGCAAACTGGCGGCCGGGTCTTTGTTTTCTCGGTTTTTTCTGGCACTGCGTATTTTAGATGCTTGGGGGTTCGTTTGAACGAGGGTTTATGGTCTTCTTTTCGGGTTTGCAGTAGAAGCCCAAAAGTTGGAAACCCCATAGCCTCAATCCTGAAGAGTAATGTATAGGGAATCCCAGCACTTTTTGGCCTTAATCCGGTTTCCAACTTTCTGGGGTTTGCTATGAGTCCTAAACCCTAAACCCCTAAACCCTTAGCCCTGAACTCCCCCTGTTGATTTGGGGTTACTGGGGAACCCTAAATCTTTGGGTTGCTCTTGGCTGGGGCGGTTTATGGCTTGAAGGAGGGCCTAGGGACTTTTTTTCCAGAAGACCGAGCCTAGGCCCCACACACTTAAGCCTCGGTGCTGCTGAATACTGAATACCCATAAAGCCAGAAAACTCAAGGTTTAAGGTTTAGGGTTTTAGGGGTTGGGGGTTTAGGGTTTAGGGTTTATGGTCTTTTGTTGAGGATTTCAGGGCTGTTTAGGTTTTGGAAGTTTCCGGGCTCAAAGCTTGATTTCAGCTGCAAGGGCTCTAGCCGGTTTAGGGCTTAGGGTTCCAATTTTTCAACAGACCATAGACCCTACAACTTAACTCGGTGTGCAACTTGAAGAACAAAAAAGCTAAACTGTCCACTGGAACCTGTAAAGAGTCTAGAGTCAATCAACACCAAACCCTTGAGCGGCGGCGGTGGCTATGCAAATGACGGTATTGATTGAAGGGTTTAGGGTCGAGGTTGTAGGGTTTAGGACGGAAGGTAGCGGAGTTTTGGTTTTGGGTTTCGGTATGCCGCACCACCCACCATCGTCAACCCAGGCAGCAATCCTACTTCATTTGTGGATGCTCTTGCCAAGTGGTTTACAGGCCTCAGTTTTTGTATGTTTCTATTAGCTTTCAGTTTTGGAGTTTAGGGTCCAAGGGCCAGGTTCAAGACTCAGTGATTAGGGTTCAGGGTTTTGTAGACAATGATTGCTTGAAGGCAGCTGCTGCCAATTCCGCCGTCTCGCAGGCAGGTCGAGTGGGCGCACGGCTCTTCTTTTTGGGGCTCCGGTCTGTAGACGACTGATACCGGAACGAGCCATATTGCCAACTACTTCTTCTTCTACCTCCAGCACTACCAGCAACGACAGAATTACCTTGATCATCACCATCATCATCATCATCATTATTTCCAGTAGCAGAAGTGAGAATAAAGCATTATGACGGTCATTCCGAGTCCTCACCGTTGTAGGACTGGTCGTATGTCGATTATGTATTCTGGCTTTCAACCATAATTCATAATCCTAAACCTTGCGTTTTAAATCCTAGAATCCCCAACCCTAAAGCGACTGAGTTGACATCCCACCGTCCAAAGCCTCCGCTTCTTCGCCCGCAGTTGGGCGTTGACTTAACGTGTCTGGCTTTGGGCTGATACTGAGCTTTGGAGTACCATGCATTAATACTTTTTCTTAAAGGAACCATTATGAAATAACAGTTTATACTGCTTGGTTACTTAAAAGTCCAGGATGCGTTGGAGTTTAGATTCATAATTTGAAACGCTGCGCGTCGTCCGCCTCGGCCCGGCTGTACGCGAGCCCCAACACATAAAGATGCTACGTTGCAGTCCCGTGTCGTCGAAAACTCCAGAAAGCTCGCACCTGTCAGCGAGCGGAGGAGGGGCGGAAGGGAAAGGGGGAGGGGGGGGAAGGGGGGGGGGGGGGGGGGGGGGGGGGGGGGGGGAGGGGGGGAAGCGGGGGAAAATTGGGTGGGGCTGCCCACAGAAGCCAAAATCCGTTGGAGGGGGCGAATTCACCGCCGTACCTTGGAGCTCAGTGACACGTTTCCATTTTTAAGGGGGGGGGGGGGGGCAGTGGCCCCGATTTGAATAGAGGGAATCCGAATAGGAACCTCTGACCGCTTCGGCCGGGGTCGAGGCGAATTTTTAGGTAGGGCCCCCCGAAGAGCACATAAGCAAGTATTAGGATAGGGATCCCATCTTGGCCCCCTTATAATGAAGCCCAATGGCTCCGCGTCTAAGTTTGCTTCAACATCAATCTGCGGGTTCTGCAGCCCTTATGGCACAAAGTCGCAACCCCGAAGCCAAAATTTCAGACCACATCCACAAAACAGAAACCTTATGTACACCCTAAGCTCTAAAGGGTCTACGTAGCATCACCTAAACCCCAAGCCCTATAGATTCTGCTCAGCAGGCTTAAAGACTGAATGAATTTTGGAAGCGAAGGCCCTAGCAGCAGATCCGGCGCTTGCCGCAGCTGCTTCCTCGGTTTGTCGCCGGCGAAAGCGACAGATTATAATGGCCTTGACTTTACTTATACATAGTGGAGATACTGTCACGGATTCTAACTAGCAATGTTAGTATTACCCTTACTTGTAGCAGTACCATTCTTTGCCTTATTGATGACCCTACTGTTGTCATTCATTGTATTTTTATTTTTCTGATCCTGCAACCTCAGCCATGCACCCCAAAGCATCAACGTTTGTTTCTCTCGGCTTCTCAGCTTCTTGTGACCCGAGGGTTCAAAGCTTGGGGTTTAGGGTCTCGGGTTTACGGTTTCGGGGTTTGGGCTTTAGGGTTTGGGGGTTTAGGGTTTGGCGTTTAGTATGTTGGGTTCCGTAAACCCGAAACCTAAAACCTCTGCACTAAGCGCCTATGCGCTAAACCCTAAACTCAACCGGCTCTGGCCCTAAACCCTAACCCTAAACCCTAAACCCTAAGCTCCACCAGCTCTGGTTCGCGTGGGAGTTGGTCCACCTCCGCTTTCACCCTCAATGGGTTTAGGGTGTAGGGTTTAGGGTTTAGGGTTAAGGGAGCTTCCGACTTGACAAGTAGGTTAGGGTTGCGATTGGAAGTCCCCTAAGAGCTTAGGTGGGACTATCCCACTTATAGCAATACTTATAGGTTGCATACTATATAAGTCCTCTGACCCCTAAATCTTAAACCCTTAACACTTACAGAGACGGCAAGATTCCCCGACATACGGTTGATGACGTCCATTATTGGGTTCTGCTTGACTTTGATCACTGTTCCTGATGATCCTTTTGCTGTTGTTGCTGTGATTGTACTATTCTTCCTGTCGACGAGGGACTGTGTTCTTGGTGGGTCCAAAGCCAGCACTTACAGAGTTGGTTCTCAGCGTATTTGCCGTGCTGGCCAATGGTCTAGCTCAGACCACTTCCAGCGGCGGACTCGTATCGCTGGCTATGCTGGGGCATTCACTCTTGACAGTTTTGGGTCTCATCATGCAAGATGTTGATCGCAGCTATGTTACCTGGCTTTCCGCCTCCTCTTGGGCAGGGGGAGCGTTTGCTTCAGTTAACGCGGTCAGCATCGTCCAGAAGGTGGCATTCGCACCAGCTGATTTCCTTGTCGTGCTCAATTTGGCTGGAGCTTTGTATGACCTTTCGTCGATTGAGTCCCACCGCGTCATTCCCAGTGTCATTGTGACCTTTGCGGTGATGCTTGCGGCTTTGGTTTAGCGCTGGGCACACATCTTGGAATCTTGGTGACGACATCTGCGGTAGTTCGCCGTTCGCCTTAGGTCTTCACTGGCGGTGCTCACATTGATCATGCCTTCTTTGCCCCACTTTCAAACCATTTTCGCGGGAAGGGACGGGTTGCCTCCTCTCGTACTGATTCGGTTCTCGTTTATTGCCCTAGACTATAGGAATTATGGTATATTCCTTATTATGGGTAATGCAGATTTATATCATCAGCAATAGGGTTTACGGTTTAGGGCTTCTAGGCGTTTAGGGTTTAGGGAATGATCCGAGTCCAGCTGCGGTTTGGGCAATGTTGTTTCGTGGTTTCTCCGGGAAGCCCTTAACCGAAACATGAGACAAACTCCTGAAAATCTCTATGACGTATACCTTGACGTGCTTCGCTAGGAGCTTTAGTATAAAATCCTTCCCACCAACCTTTCAGCACCCGTAATAACTGTTCCTTTTAGTAAGTACGTAAGGGCACATATTTACAACCTGACCCTTAATGCTCAACCCTACCTAGACCCCCCAACTACCCCATATTGCAGCCTAAATACCCACTCTTAAAGACTACCAGGGCCTCTGTTAGAAGGGTACTTGAACCCACTCCTGGTAAACCCCCCCAAACCCAAAGCTCTAAACCCAGCTGCCAGCGATTGAGTCAGGCTTTAGCCAAGAATCCCGAGGCGGTTGCCGCGGGCAGCTGAGACGGTTTAGGGTTTGGGGTTGGGGGATTTTATTGCCATGGATACCTTGGGTTGTGGGTTTAGGGTTTAACTAAACGGGTGCAGAAAAGGGGGTTTATTGGCGTTTTATGGGTTATCGTTGTACCTAGGGTTATATTGGGGGCAGTGGTGTGGGACTTCCGCCCCCCTAAACAAGACCTAGCGAAATTATTAAGGCACCCATTTTGATTTGTTTGGTGGGTCTTCGGGCAATTCGGGTTGAGTTGGGGGGGGTTGTGATGGGTTTCCCGTCCGCTCCCCTTCGGCATGCCTGCGTTTCTTTTCCTTTTGTCTTGATACCCGAACCCTAAACCATAAGTCTTTAACCCGATAGCCTAAACGGTGGAACCTGGTGTCTGTTAGTAAGGTTTTCGGGTTTTAAACCCTAAGGCTTCATGTAGCCATATAGTACACACTCAGGCTTTAAAGTACCTACAGAGGAACCCCTTTAAGGCCTATGTAAGGCCTCAGGTCGGTAGCCCAAAAGCCCGAAATTCAGAGCTTGAGCTGAAGTCCTATACTCTCGTTACACTCTTTCACCAACCCAGAGAGACTAGGTTGGATTTTGGGACATTTTCATTAAGGGACCCTATATATGGCCACGCGCTCCGCAGCCCCCCCCCCTCCCCCCCCAAAGGTCAATGGTCCGGATATAGGGTGGGGCCCCTCTCCTGTGGTGTGGGGTGTGGGGTTCCTCTTCCTCCTGTGGGGTGGTTGTGGGGTTTTGGGGTTTAGGGTTTAGCTTATGCTTTTGAGTTTTGGGTTTACGGTTACAAGGTATAAGGCTTCGAGTCGACAAGGGCTTACGGAGGATTTGCGGTGTATGCTCTGCTTTAGGCTTAGAGCCTGCAGTTAGGTGGTGTTTAGGGTTGGGTGTAGCGTTTTAAGTACAAGTTAAGGTAGCTGAAAACAGGGGCACGCGCTGCGTCATAGGGTTTACGGCTTGCTTGCGAAGGGCTTGCGCGTGAGCCCTGGCCGCCAGCACCACCCCACCATCCAGTGGCACCTCCAACGGCCCCCAACCCCTTTCCGCACACGCCAGCCCCCCCCCCTCACCCCTATCAGACCATACCATTGGGGGGGGGGGGCTGGGAACGCCAGACGCCTGACCGTATATAAATATTTTTCAGGGTGTTTAAAGGCCAACCCAGGAGACCAATACCCCTTACCAGTAACTCAGGAAGCCAACTGAGGGATGCAGACAAAGCGGCCCCTTCGAGTTGGAGATAAGGGGGTTGATGATATAAGCCCTTAATTACCTTAATGACCCTAGACGGTGGGAATTGTGGTACGGTTGATGATATAAATCCTGCATTACCCATCATAGGGAATATACCCTTAAGTTAAGGTAATGCAGGATTTGTATCATCAGCCGTATATTCCTTGTTATGGGTAATGCAGGATTTATATCCTAAGCCCTAAACCCCTATATCGATCCCTTAAAGCAGCGTTTTAAAGGTACCCATGTAGATCCCTTTAAAGGAACCCGAGGATTTATATCATTAGGATTGGAGCTACAGGAGACCCCTAAGCCCGTCAACAAGCTGCAGGGGTCGTGGCGAAGGTGATTTGTGCAAACCCCCACGAAGCCTTTAAACAGCAACCTACAAAGCCTAAACGGCCCCACAAAAAGTCGAGGAGCAGAAAAAACAAGTATTGAATATTAACAAAACCAAAAGCTGAGAAGACACCATAAACCCTAAACCCCCCAAACCCGAACCCCTAAACCCCTGCACCCTGAACCCAAACCCACACCCCCAAACCCTAAACCAACACATCCCCGAACTTTAAACTCTAAACCCCCGAAAACCTAGACCCCAAAACCCTAAAACCTTAAACCTGCTGAGGACTTGGCCCAGACGCTGCAGCAGCCAGGGGCTACGGTGGCCGATGCTGGAGACCCGGGATGTTCCTGAGTTCTTGTTTAAGGAACTTAACTGAAGTTTGGGTTTTGAAGGGCTTAGGATTTTAGGGTGTAGGGTTTAGGGAGTTTCCTGGGATCTTGTCTACTTATACTTGGCGAGTCAGGGGACTTTGTGAGTGCGTAATACATAGAGTTATATGTGCCCTGAAAGGGATTTTCATTGAGGTTATGGTACTGGTTTCGTAGATAGCCAACGGGAAAACTGTAAACTTTTTGGGCTCGCATGTTTGGTCTACATAGAAAGTTTGAACTTCTTTGGGTCCGGCCATGGAAGAAGAGATCAATAGAAGTTGCTAGGTTTTGGAGTACCATACTTTTCTGGCTTTTGTTGGTTCCTGTCCCTTCAAGGAGCCACTATGAAATACACGATTGTACCTTTTTCTCCTTGGTTGCTTCGAAGCCCAGCTTAAGGAACTTAATCTAAGTTGCCATAATTTAGGGTTCCTCTAACTGTTCTATAAGCGCCGGAAATCACCTAAACCCTGCACCTGTGCTTGTTTTGTGTGCCTTTCTCCGGGTTGACGGGCAGGATGAGGTACGATTCGGCTGACCTTTGGTTAGTAGGGAATGGAAGAGTGGGGTACAATTATAACTTCCTTAACCCCAAGTAACCTACCTTTTTAAGGACTTATATAAAGAAATCATATTGGGGAACCCTAAACAAGTAGGTTCCTTAGGGTCCAGGTACTATTACTGCCATTCTTCCATTCCCTACTAGCCAAAGGTAAGGATTCGGGGGCTGGCCGTTTGCCGGTTGTCCCAGAAGTCTGGTCTAATTTAGAAGGGGCCCCCACCCTGTAATAGTGGTATAATAGGAATATAGTAGGGCCCTATTATAATCCTTATAGTCACTATTACAGAGTGGGGGCAGCTTCTAAGGTCTAATTATTCAAGGTTCTCACCTGTTTGTCTGTGTGGGTGGTTGTCATCATTATGATCCCTTGTTGCGTACCCTAAATAATAGGTGCCGCGTTATAATTTGGCCTTTAATAGGGACGGGGTCCTAATTTCTGCTCTCTGCTTTTCGCATGTTGGCATACGTGTGTTGTTCTTTCTTGCTACTGACTCTCGGCTTGTAGGTTTTTGTGTTTGCTCGTTTCGTTCGTTGGTGCTTTGGCGGCAGACACTCTATCTCTCCAAGCCAGGGCAGTGCATTAGGGTTTAGGGTTTAGGGTTTCCCAATAGCTTGCCACGGAGCAGGATACTAGTGTTGTGGTTGAAGCAGCTTTGCCCCGAAACTCTAAACCTTAAGTTCTAAGCCGAGACTACGAAGACTTTTGGCTTCTGCCTGGTAAACCGTAAAGTCGTGTCTGTACTGCGATCGTGGTCATAATCCTCCATCCATCAGCTTGAACCTTGCAGCCCTGGACCGCAATTTATAACCTACTTGCTCTGTCCCCTGAGCCCTGAAGTAGAAAACCCCTATATAAGCCCTCAAACCCCCAACTCTAAACCCTAACCCTACATGAACCCCTAAAGGAGCCCCTTAGTGCAGCTCCGGAAAAACCTTGTAGTAGAGCAGGTAACCATTAACCTTTTCCGTAATCTCCATTTAATCCCAGTGTACTCAAACCCCAAACCCTATAAACCCCAAACCCCTAAGCCCTAAAACCCCTAAACCCCTAAAGCCGAAAACGCTTAAACAACCCTAAACCCTAAACCCTACTTAAAGGCTCATGGGACTCAGTAAGTAAGGTTATAAGTAGGTCATAATTAGGGTAACCCCACTTAGGCGACTTCTAACCCCAACTATAACCTACTTACTAATTCCTGTGATCCTCTAAGTATCTTAAACTCCCCCTTGTTATGTAGAACCCTTATAGATCCCTAAACCCTAAACCCTAAAGGATCCCTTAAAGGGGCCCTTTAGGGAACCCTACTAAGTCCCATGAGCCTTTAAGTAAGACCCTTCTGAGTTAAGTCCCAGGCTCTGCAGAAGAACCCGCAGTTGGCTGCGGTCCGGCACTTGATGCTGCCTTGAACGGATCTTTAGAGACATGTAGGATATAGGCTTTAAAGGTTTAGGGTTTGGGGTTTAGGGGTTTAAAACCCTAAACCCTAAACCCTAAACCCTAAACCCTAAACCCTAAACCCTAAAACGGCTTTAGGGGTTTAGGGTTTAGGGGGCTTGGGGTCTCCCTGTGGGCCCTTTTTTCCCCTTTCTTGTAGTCTTGGGTTCCTTACAAAGCTACCCTATACCAAACAGGGGAGCCCTTTCCCTTGCTAGGTTACTGGGCTCCGAGTAGAGGGGTTTGAGAAAATCTATATGGGTTTGATAGGGTGTTTAAGATCTTTTGACGGGTTCCCTGGTCTTTCAAGGTTTGTAGAAGGTTCTTTTGGGGGTGCGTTTGATTTTCTAAGGGGTCTATAAGGGTTTTTTATAGGGTGGTATCAGGGCTTAACGGGCTTCATAACGGAGGTTTTTCCTAAGCCTAAGGGTATAATTGACGCGGCGGTCTTCATAACTTACCCAGAGAGCCCCTTATCCCATATCCCTCAATGAAGGAATTTCCCCTTCATAGGTTAAGGCCCCTAAACCCACAACCCTAAAAACCCTGCCGCCGGAGACTTCCATGTCAATCGCGGACCTAAGCCCTGCCTGAACCCCGAAGAACCTACCTCTCCAGAGCCGGGGCTGTGGGGGTTAGGGTTTAGGGTTTAGGGTTTAGGGTTTAGGGGTCAGGGTTAGGGTTTACTAGGCAGGCCTCTGAGATACTGTATATTTCCCTTTATTGGGCGCAAGAGGATCATATCTAGGAACACTTTTTCAGAAGCTTTCATAGGCCAGCCTAGTTCGGCGCCCTGTTGAGAAGCACCGGGTATACGGGTATACTGTAAGCCCTAAACCCTAAACCCTAAACCCCTAAACCCTAAACCCTAAACCCTAAACCCTAAACCCCTAAACCCTAAACCCTAAACCCTAAACCCTAAGCCACGAAGGAGCCTCACCCTTGAACTAGAGACCCCTAAACGATACAATGAGAAACTCCAAGCCCTAGCCTACGCAAAGGCTCATGGGACTTAGTAAGTAAGGGCTTAGGGTTCCCTTTAAGGGTGCTATAGGGTTCTATAAGAGGGGTTTAGGGTTTAGGGTCTACTTAAAGGCTCATGGGACTTAGTATTTAAGGTTATAAGTAGGTCATATTTAGGATAACCCCACTTAGGGGACTTCTAACCCCAACTATAACCTACTTACTAAGTCCCGTGATCCTCTAAGTAACCTAAGCTCCCCCTTATAGAACCCTTATAGATCCCTAAACCCTAAACCCTAAACCCTAAAGGATCCCTTAAAGGAGCCCTTTAAGGAACCCTACTAAGTCCCACGAAGGCTGTGGAGACTGCGAAGAAGGAGCAGCAGGTTGCAGCACGAGTCTCAGCGCTGGGCGCTGATGGCAAGAAGATCAGAGCCGGGGTTCTGGAGCGCCTTAAAGGGAACTCCAGAAAGTTGGAATATGGTTTCATGGTAGGATCCCCTATAATTTACCTTGAAGGGGTTACGATAATGATATTCCAACTTTCTGGCTTCTACTGTAGTATTTCCTTTTTTGGATTACCTTATAGGAATATATATATATATATATATATATATATATAGGAACCCCAAAAAAAGAACTCCCTTAGGGCCTTTGGGTATGCTTAATGGAAGACTTTTCCTGGACCTGTCCCGAAACGTGAACCCAGAATGAAATAAGGGTCTATCTTTTCTTCCTTGGTTAAATCAAAGCATCTTCAAAGTCCAAGAGCTCTAACAGACATCCATGAGTGGTACTGATTAATACACAACAAGGATACGTTTCAGGCTCTAGGCTTGTGAGATTCGGTAGTCCGTCTGGTAGGTTTGCCCTAAACCCCTAAAACACCAAGCCCCCATACTGTAGGAACCTGATGTAGAAACCCTGGCCTTATAACCCCAAAATAGTAGGACGCATTTAAGGAACCTAATAAAGGCCCAAGGTTTCTTAATCAGGTTCCTGCATTACACCATAAACCGTACACCCTGAATGACTTGAGGTTTCGGGAATGACGGCCGTGCCTTACTCTAGGCCGTGTTTGATAACTTCCAAAACGGCTGACTGTCATTCGGGTCTTAAGAAGGCGCAGGAATGTCATTCCTGAAAGATCCAACTAGAGCCGGAAAGGCATCCGCAGATGTCTGTCCTTGTCGAATCAAGGTAGATGGTATATAGGCCCTTGTGGAGGGTATTCTATACCCTAGAATATGTACTTGAGGGGTCTGAATACTTGCCAATGCTATTTTGGGGGATGCTTATGATAACCGCAGTATAGAGGGCCCCAAGACCCTTTTCTAATTGTTATGGCTCCCACATGTGCGGTCATGAGCACCTCTGTCCTGGACTTTAGTTCTAGGGTTCCCCTTAAACGCCCACACCGTCTCCCAGCCCCACTCGATCGGTTTAGGGTTTAGGGTTTAGGGTTTAGGGTTTAGGGACACAGACTGTGTGCTGCTGCCGAGGCACCTGTTGCAGATGCAGCTGCCCAAGGTGGGCGCTCATTGAGCCTTCTTCGCCGTGGTCCTGTCAGAATGTATTGAGTTCTACGTGGCAGGAATGTATACCTTAAAGCCCAAAGCCTAAACCCTAAACATGAAGCTCCTTTGTCCGTGAGGCTCTGTACCTCCAGCTGCTCTGCCCCCCAGCGCTCTGCCCCCGAGCGCCCTCCCCGCGGGTGCGCCCTCGGCGGCCGCCGCCGCCTCGCCTTTCGCGGCGCCGATTCCCCTGGTTCCCCGCAGGGATCCCAACTCTTCTAAGATGTCTGATGGGAGAGCTTTAAACTTTTGGCTTCTACATATTTGGTCTATGCTAAACAGTTGAAACCTTAAACCCTAAACCCTAAAACCTAAACCCTGTTAACAAGTGTGAACTTTTTGGGGCCCGGCTATTGAAGAAGAGAGTCTTACAGCAGGCTAGTTTCGGGTTGGTGTTTGGGATGCGCATTCCAAGCCACAAGGGATTGTTTGCAGCCCGAGGCTTTTATTGCGGGTTGAAATATATGAGCCTTTTTTCAGAGTTAATTAGACGAGTTTGTATGGGCTCCTGCATGTAATTTCATGTATAATTCACCGCAGCAGCCTATTTCAATAAGTTCAGGCCCTTCTCTCACGGGTTTCGCATTTTGCCCAGAATGCGCAAATAGATTAAAGAACTATGCGCAACTAGAAACTAAAACGATAGAGAGAGAGAGAGAGAGGCAAATCTAGAGTTACGTGGTCAAGGCAGATATTTGCCGCCAGCCTAGAGTGTCGACTTTTGGCTTCGGGCTTCGGTGTTTCAGGGCTTTAGGATTCAGGTTGGTGGTTTTGTCCTTTAGCGTTCAGCGTTTTAGGGTTGCGAGAAATGGTGTTATATGAAGGCTTGGAAAACTGGAAACATGGAATATGGCCCTCTCATGGTGCCTAAATTGAGACCCATGACAAATGAGTCTCAAAGCTGTAGTCCAACTTCCGGGGCCCCGCTGTTGGGCAACAGGGCCGCGATGTTGAGTCTTTAAGACTAGCGTATTTGTCAAGCCTAAGTTTCGGAGGCCTCCAAAGGTGGGATGAAGGTAGGTAGGATTAAGGATCCCTTATATAAGGACTCGGGATTGCCCACCTATCTTCATCCTAATTACCCAGGCCTCTGACAGTTCTGAATATTATAAACCTGGCCTCTGCAGGTCTACTTGAAGGCCCCAAGGACGGAAGGAGCTATTGTCAGGGTTGCTAGGGGAAGTACTTAAAGGATCATGGGACTTAGTAAGTAGGTTATAAATGGGGTTATAAGTCCCCTCAGTGGGGTTATCCTAATTTAAACCTCTAACCTTACTTACTAAGTCCCATGATCCTTTAATTTAAGTATGATATATCCCATACACCCCAGTTACAACCTACTTGCTAGGTCCCCTGGTCCTTGATCTACAGGGAACTCCAGAAAGTTGGAATATGGATCAATGGTAGGAACCCCTATATTTTACCTTAGAGGGGTTACGATAATGATATTCCAACTTTCAGGCTTCTACTGTAGAACCTAAACCCTGGAACTCCTTATAGAACCCTTAAAGGAAGCCTTAAAGGAAGCCTTAAAGGAAGCCTTAAAGGAACCCAATTCTAAATCCCCGGAATCCGGAATCTTCCTGCCCCCGAAGCCCGAAAGCCCCAAACCCAAATGCCCACTCAAACCAGAAACTTCAAACCCCCCATAAACCCTCAACCCCTAAACCCTAAACCCCTAAACCCCTAAACCCCTGGACCCTAAGCCCTAAACCCCTAAACCCCTAGACCCTAAACCCCTAAACCCCTAGACCCTAACCCCTAAAACCCCAAACCCCTAAAGCCCTAAACCCCTAAAGCCCCAAACCCCTAGACCCTACACCCCTAAAGCCCCAAACCCCTAGACCCTAAGCCCTAAACCCCGAAACCCTAAACCCTAAGGAAGCCCTCAGGGCCCCTTCAAGGACCTCTTTAAAAAGGAACCCTAAACCCTAGAACTGCTTAGGGATCCCCTTTAAAAAGGAACCCTAAACTCTAGACCTCCTTATAGATCCCTTAAAGGACCCCTTTAAACAGGAACCTTAGACCTCCTTAGGGATCCCTTAAAGCACCCTTTAAAAGGGAACCCTAAACCCTAGACCTCCTTAGGGATCCCTTAAAGGACCCCTTTAAAAAGGAACCCTACAACCCTAAGACTTCGGTTGCCGAGGTGTGGTGGAGGCAGCAGCGGACCCGAAGACAGAAGCTCTGCAAGCCAAGGCGCGCTCGCTTATTAGTGTCATTTCGAATATTGTTTTTAAAATTAGTATAAAAGTATCAATACATACAAATACATATATATATATATATATATATATATATATATATATTTGGGAATATGGGAATATATACAAATATATACAAATATATATATATATATATGTATATATATATATATGAACAAATACATATATATATATACACACACATTCGTTTTTATCAGTACTAAGATTCGAATATTCATATGCATAGTTTGCTAGTTGGCGATTCGAAGGGTTTAGGGTTTAGGGTAGGGTGCAGAGTTGTCCTTTAAGTAGTCTCTTCTTTGTATGAGTAGTACTTTGTACAGGAAGAGGTATTTCTGGGGGCTTGCGTCAGGGTCGCGAAGGCCTTCAACACTGAAGTCACGGTAGTTGCTATTGCTGTTCGTTGTAACATTGCATAGATACAGTGTTCTACCCCACCTTCCAACAAAAAAAACTTTTGAATCCTTTAGCGCCCTGCATCTAGGCCGCTTGCCCCATGAAGGGTTGAAAGCTTGTGAGGTGGAGGTCTTAAAGTCTTAAGTCCAAAACACCTCAGATCTAAACCCTCAACCCTGCGTCCTAAACCCTAAAGCCTATACTTTTCACCCAAAACCCTAAACCCTACACCACGAAACCCAAAAGGCCCACCCCAAAAGCCCTGAACCTTGAGCCCGAAATCCCAACCCCTCTTTCAGGATCCGGGGACCTAGTAAGCAGGGTCATAAGTCAAGGTAACTATACTTGCTTGCACTTATAACCCCAATTAGGGTACTTTTAAACCAAACCTTGCTTGCTAAGTTTCACGACCTGACAGGAACCCGAAAAGCAAACTGACGCTTGTTCAAGCCTCAAAAACTAACCATGTAACAACAAAAAGCGACCCTTCAAGGAACTGCAAACCTCCCCTAAACCCCTAGAGCCCTAAAGCCATAAACCCTAAACCCCTAAACCCTAAAACCATAAACCCTAAACCCCTAAACCCTAAATCCGAAATCCTTTAAACCCTGAGCCCCAATCTCTGAAGCTCGTTTGAAAGCACACGCACGCACAAAAACCCTTACCCAACCTCAAACCTAGTAGCTGAGTGGATGCACTTTACACTTTTTTGGGATAATATTACCCACTATAAGACTAAACGTGTACACTTCTTGGGGGCTTATGAACTCAGCAACTAAGCTACAGCAAGAAGAGCCAAACCCTACTTGGAGGATCATGGGACTTAGAAAGTGTAGGGTTCCTTAAAGGGCTCCTTTAAGGGATCTATAAGGGTTTTAAAATATGGGGAGTTTAGGGTACTTAGAGGATCATGGGACTTGGAAAGTAGTTCATAACTTAATTGGCTTTATAAGTTTCTGAAGTGCGGTTATCCTAATTCTAACGTACTTATAACCTTACTTACTAAGTCCCATGAGCCTTTGGATACAACCTTAATCGCGGCCGTGCACATCTTGCGCCTGAGGCTCTTCCCAGTCAGAACCTTTCCTTTTTACTTTTAGAAACGTAAGTATTGTAGGGGTTTAAGGGGTTTTGAGCCCAGAAATTTACTAAACTCTTCCTTTGGGTCCTGGTTGGAATTGTAAGCGCTTCGCACCCGAGCCGGTTTTTCGGTTTTTGAAGTTTTTGGAGCAAATCAGGTGGCGTTCCCCCTCACCACGCCACATTCCGCTATCTCAAGTATGAAGGCCCCTATATGTGGCATCCCATCTAGCGCCCCTTGAAAACCTCAAACCCACCTCACATCATCAAACCCAATCTAAATCATGAGCTCTCTGTAAAAACCAGTAGAATACCGACCCAAAAAACCATTGTACACCCCTAAAGCATAACAAATCCTTTGCCAAACCTAAATGAAGCCCTCAAACCCTGAACCTCAACCCTAAACCTTAAACCCTAAACTCCTAAACCCCTACCTTAACCCTAAGTAACCTACCTTTTTAGGGTTCAATTCCCTAATATGATTTCTTTATATACGTCCTTAAAAAAGTAAGTTACTTGGGGTTAAGGTAAACCCTAAACTCTCCAAAACAGACTCCGTCACTGCGGAGGTCACCTAAATGAAGCCCCCTCAAACCCTAAACCTTAAACCGTTAACTCCTAAACCCCTAACTAAACTCTCCAAAGCAGACTCTTTCTCTGCGGAGGTCGGGGACCTTCAGGCCACAGTGGAGGAGCTTAAGGCCCAGTTGCAGAAGGCCCGCGCCGGAGAGGCTGCAGGGAGGGGAGGGAAGGGGGGTTTAGGGTTTAGAGGTTTAGGGTTTCGGGTTTAGGGTTTAGGGTTTCGGGTTTAGGGCGAAGCCTTAAGGACAAAATGAACCCTAAAAGGGTTAAGGTTCATATATCATATATAGGGATTCATAGTAATTATATGGGTATAGGGCCCCCACTTTTAAGGGTCATTTGGTCCTTCAGGAGGGGGGGTTTAGGGTTTAGAGGTTTAGGGCTTAGGGTGCATGTATTTTCCAGTGCTGAAGAAAAGGGAGGGGGGATTCGGATTTAGGGGTTGTGTGGTTCAGAGTTCAGGGTTGAGGTTGCGTGTTCAGCATTTCAGGATGCAAGCTGCTTCGAGGTCAGCATTCTCAGGGTGTTGGAAAGCCTTGGGAAAGGGGGAGCTGGTGTTTTGAGGTCTTCTTCTCGGTTTGAGACTGTCAGCAATCACGGGTCTACATTGCCCCTAACTTTTGGCCAAACTGGCCGCATGTCGGTTCTTGACTAGATTGGGTTCTTGCTAGGGTTCAGGGCTTCGTGTTTGGGGCTCCTGTGGGAATTCAAGCTTGGCTGTGACAAGCTACGCATGCCTTCCGTACTACCGTACCTTAAAGTGAGATTTCATGTATCAAGAAACCCCAAATCCAATCCTAAACTCCAAGAATCGCCCTGAACCCCTGCGACACTCGCACCGTGGTCACCATAGCATTGATGAAACTTGCGTCCGATCCAGTTTCTCAGCACCGCACTGCAGTGCCATGAAGAGAACCGCGGCTGAAGCAGGATTCCCTGCAGAGTCACACATCATTCGGGTGGAAGTTCATCTAACAGAGGATACCTGCACCAGATGATTGGCTGTCAGACTACCCGCAGGCCCCATAGTAGTTCCTTTTTGGGATTACCTTATAAAATTCTAGATATACACACTAAACCCTAAACCCTAAACCCAAAAAGGAACTACTTTGGGGCCTTACGGTAGCAACCATGGTCAGTCACACCGGGAGCTGCCCAGGTCCGAGTCGGGTGGCACCGGGCGGCTCTGGTAGGGGGCGAGATACGGTTGATGATATTACTCCTGCATTACCTAAAGGGCTCTAAACTATGGGAATTATTGTATATTCCTTATTATGGGTAATGCAGGATTTATATCATCAACCGTAGTCTTTATGATTATGACTTGCCCTTGCTGCACCAACACCTGCCCAGCATGACAACCACTAAGGTTTCACTTAACTTGCCACTCGTCAGACTTCATCGACCACGTGAAGAAGCTGTTGCAATACCGTGTCTTGGAGGCTACGGGACGCAAACTGGATGTCTGGAGCGTATGCATGTGCATGCAACAGCTGTTCACAGGCCGAACATTCCCCTGAACCCTAAACCCCTAAACCCCTGCACCCTAAACCCCTATACCCTAAACGCCTAAATCCCAAACCCCGAAAACCCTAAACCCAAAGCCCTTTAAACCCTAAATGTCGAAACTCCCGAGCCAGAAGCTTAAAACCTTTATCCCGACACCGTCACACGCCTGCAAGCAGGCCACTCAGTTGGCTGGCTAGTGCCCAGCCCTGCTTGAAGGTTCAAGGGGCCTATAACCCTAAACCCTAAACCCTAAACCCTCTATAGAGGCACTTAGACCCCAACTACTTACTAAGTGCTTTGAGCCTTCAGAACCCTCCAGAACCCTCCAGAACCCCAAGAGCCTTATAGACAACCGTAAGCGCCAAACCCTAAACCCAAAAAGCCCTGAGACAGGTTCCTCCCGCTGCGATTGCCGGAGCTCCTGCGCCGGCCCACATTGCTTTCGGAAAACTCTGATCTTGAGGGTTCTTTTTGGACGATTAAGGTCTGGGGTTCAGAATTCGGAATTGCGGAGTTGGGTTATTTTGGACCTGTAGAGATTTTATGGTCGAAGGGTTTTAGGGGCTTAGGAGTTTAGGGTCAGGGTTCTAGAGAGTTTAGGGCTGCGGGCTGCAGGGTTTTGCATGGTTCAGGGTTTAGGGTTTAGGATTTGCATGGGTATTCGGGCAGAGAGGAAAGATTAGTATTTTGGGGTTTCGCTGTTTCGGGTCTTGGGTTTTTGAGGTTTTGTTCGTTTAGGTTGGAGCGGCTTGGGGAGGTGAGGAGGCTTTTGAGTCTAGGGTTTGTGGTATAAGACTTTGGGTTTGGGGTTTAGGGTGCACGGGTTTTGTTTAACTTGGCATGCTTCCGGTTCAGGGTACATGATTGTATGAACACAATATCCCCCTCCTTAAGACTTCGAATCCCATTGATAGCCTGCTTAGTGGACCATTGTACTTCAACGCTGAGCCCAAAGCCCTAAACCCATGAACCCGGCTGTCTGCTTGAGATTGGGATGGAAGCTGTCGCTAAACCCAGGTTGTAAATCCCGTCCCCTATGTCCTCGTAAAGAAGGCAGACAGGGCCTTATACCCCAGTCCCTCAATGGGTACGCCTTAGAGACAGAAGGCACCTCAACCTGTGTGCCGATCTTTTTCGGGGACCTATGAAGAGCGAGAACCCTCAAGCCCCAAACTGCGAAACCGTGTAGAGGCCCTTTAAAATAAAGCCCTTTAAAGGGAACTCCAGAAAGTTGGAATATGGTTTCAGGGTAGGATACCCTAGAGCACATCATCAAGGAGGAGGCGGAAGTGAAAGAGGAAATGAGACAGATTGCCGAAGAGGCATATGTGGAAAAAGAGAAGATCGAGAAGCAGCTGGAGACGATCCGAAAGGAAGAAGAGATTCAAGAGGCCGAAGCAACGCAGGTGATGGATGAAGAGGCTGAGCTTATAGCCGAGATGGATGTGATGCGGCCAAGGCTTGCACAAGCGTTGCGAGAGCTGCGCGAGAAGAGCAAGGAGATGAAGCTTCCGGATGAGAAGCTGGAATTGGGTGAAGACGAAAAGACAGTGTTGGAAGAGTTCGAAAAGGGAAAGGCCAAGGAGATCAGAGAGACCATAAAGGGTTTAGGATAATCATATTCCAACTTTCTGGCTTTTACTTTAAGAACCCAAGCCTGCAGGCGGCGTTCAAGGACCTCCAAGCGAAGTTGCTAGTGGAGAGTGGACTGGGGCAGGCGGGTGAAAGGATTTGCGGGTTCAGGGTTCATCATTTCCATGTTGCCTCCTTGTTTCAACACACTAAACATCCCCCACAAACAGCAGAACACACACACACACACACACACATTTCCCGGCAACAACCAAGAAGCATGAACCCGCAGGAACAATACAACATCGGCAGCAATACAAAAAACCACACTCTTACCAACTGAGTGTGGGTAGATGGTTGAGGTACCATAGGACGCTATACGGAGGTTTCCAGAAACCCTGAATGGCGAGATCTCATGCTTGTATACATAGGTCGGAGGAATTAATGAAAGTACACCGTCTCTAAATTCATCAGGCCGACCCAAACGCCCCAAAGCTTAAATGCTCTGAATCTCTAAAGCCGTACCAGAATCCTTTAATGAAGCCTCGAAGCCCCTAGGCCTGTTGCCGCTTACGTAGAATCTTTATATAAGCCCTTAGTATAGTATTGATAGGGATCCTACCAAAAAGTGGGTTCGGCGATTCGGACAGGTTCCCTAGGGATCAATCTAGCCCAAAAGCCTCATATAGTATGGTCTTTGGGCCCAAAAGCCATAATATATGAGTCCTTAGATCTCTAGGGGATGAGGTACCAATTCAAAGCCTTATGAACACAACTACAATACCCCTTTTTGGCCTTATATATTAGCTCTATTTTAGAAAGTTTGAACTTTTTGGGGCCCGGTTGTTGAAGAAGAGAGGAAACGATACATCGTTAACAAGTCGCGTACACAGCTTTTCCTAATAATCCTTACCAAACCCGATTTCCCAAACTCTGAACCCCTAAACCCTAAACTTTTAAACCGTATACCCGGATCCGACAGTCACTGTCCCCTTGCTCGAAGCAGGCGCCTGCTCCGGCGGCGTCCTCAGCGTTTGGCTTTTTGGTCTTGGGCCTTTCGGGTTTCTTTAGGGATTAGGGGTTTAGGGATTAGGGGTTTAGGGTTTAGGGGTTTAGGGTTTAGGGGTTTAGGGTTTAGGGATTAGGGATTTAGGGTTTAGGGTTTAGGGTTTCCTTTGCAAGGGTTCCTGAAGGGTTTCTTCGAAAAGAGTTGGAGAGGGGATCAGGGTTTCTCGGGTTCCGGGCTGTCGGGGTTTAGGGGACATTATCTTTCTTCAGTTCTTTGGATAAATTTTCAACAGTTTGAGTTTATATTGCTGGGCTATGCGTTTTTTGTGTCTGTAGTTTGACGATGTAGAATAGAATGAGCTTTGTGGAGGTTCGGAGCTTAATTAGAGGTTAGGGTGTAGGTTGTAGCATTCAGCGGTTTGAGTTTGTCAAGCTTCTCTACTTGGAGGGTCGGGGCACTTGGTAAGTAGTTATAGACTGATAAGCATCATAGTGTACTTACAACTCTACCTTAAACTACCAAACCCTACTTTTTTGTAGGTTCTTATTATATAAACCCTAATATGGAATTTATAGGGACCCCACAAAAAAGTAGGTTTTGGTAGGTTAAGGTACTTACCAGCTATACGAAGTCCGCCGACCCTCCAAGCATAAAGTTCCGGACCAGGTTGCGGTCGGGGAGTTGTCCGAAGAACGGATTAGGATTGCCGGTGTCGGGTTTAGGGTGTCTCACCCCCCGAACCCCCTACACTGCCTTCACCGACCAAAACCTACTTTTTTCTGGGATCCCTATAAATTCCATATTAGGGTTTATATAATAAGAACCTACAAAAAAGTAGGGTTTGGTAGTTTCAGGTAGGGTTATAACTGAAGGTTCTAAGGGCTAAGTAGGGTTATCCTAATGGCAGCTGCTCGACGAGCTGCAAACGAAAGCGCAGATGTCCTACGAGCGCTACGAGAAGAAGAAGCTAGAGTATCAGGACTCCATTCAGTCCTTTAAGGACTTCATGGAGAAGAAGTTTGCGAGCATCCAGGATGCTGCCGAGGAAGACAAGAAACAGATCGCCGAGCTGTTCAAGAAATCGGAGCAGGAGTTTGACAAGAGAAAGCAAGAGTATAAGGACTCCATGGAGAAGAGGCTTGGGAATGTGAAAAAATCTTCCGTGGAAGACAAAAAGCAGCTTTTACTGAATTATAACCTTACTTGTAACCTTACGTACTAGTCCCATGAGCCTTTAAGTAGGCAGGTTGTAGGTTCAGTATAAGGTAGTGCTGACTCTTCAGACTCCGACCGTGCAGGGAGCATTCAAGCCCTAAACTCCGAAACCCGGCAGAGCCCCTCCTTACGGAGCCCCTTGAAGAACGTAAGCCTAAGCCCTATAGATCCCAAACCCCCTAAACCCTAAGCCCGAAACCCCAAACCCTTCTTAAATCCTGAACCCTAAGCCCTAAACCCTAAGTGCTAAACCCTAATATGCTCAACCTTAAACCCTATACCCTAAACCCTAACCGCTTATCCTTAAACCCTAAGCGCTTAACCTTAAATTTAAATTGAACCCTAAACCTTAAACACCGAAATTGCAGGCAGCTTTCAAGGACCTCCAGGCAAAGTTGCTCATGGAGGGCGGACTGGCGCAGGCGGGGTAACTATACTTGTTGCAACCCGTATTAGGGGACTTACAACCCCACTTATAACTACCCATGAACCTCCAAGTAGGCCTCGGATCCTTTCTTAATGGTGTAGGTTTTAGGGGAAGGGGGGTCCAGGGCTTCCCAGCTTTGCTGGGCTTAGGGGTTCCTTTAAAAGGGTTTAGGGTTTAGGGGTACGGGTTCCTTTAAGGGTTCGAATGTAACCGTTACTAGGTCCCACAATCTTTCAGGCAGGGGGGTTCAATAAACTTAACGTTTCTTGCGGAATCAAAGGTTTTGGCAGGCTTGGAGGCTCTGGGTGGGTAGGGTTTGGGTACTGCCCCCACTCAGTAACAGTTGGAGAACATTCATAGTATAGATATATTAGGCCCTTAATAGTAGCCCTATTATAGACTGTTGCTGTATGGGGTTGGCTTGGTGGCTCTGGGGTTGCCTGGCTTCACTGTGACAAGCCCAGAGAGCCCAATACCCGTTATAATAGTTTAAGGCATATTTCTTAATCTAGGACCCAGAGTAGGCCCTTATTCCCTTTTTTGAGGCTTCGGTTCCCTTATAAGCCCCTTTAAACCAAAAAGGGCACCCTTTTTATTCCTAGGTTACTCTTGGGTCTAGTTTTGGATCCTCCCCGAAGCCCTAAACCCTAAAACCCTATAGATCCCTTAAAGGGACCCTTAAAGGAACCCCTAAAGGTAAGCTACTCTTAGGTCTAGTAATTGAGGGGTATTGGGCTCTCTGGGAGGTTTGAGGGCCTCGATCCTGTGGACAGCAAACAGGCTTACTTGCCGTTGAATGTAGAGAAGGGAGTTTCCGAAAAAGTAGGGGCACCTTATTTGGGGGTCCTTGTAATAAGGATCCCAATATTTAGGGGTAATTGCGGTCTTCTGTTTTCGGAAACCCCCAGATCTGGACTTTTAACAATACTGCTGATGGACAAAATCCTGCACTACGCTTTATAAGGAGTATACCATAGTTCCCATAGTTTAGAGTCCTGAGGGTCATGCAGGATTTATATCATTAACCTAAACCCTAAACCCTAAAACCCTATAGATCCCTTAAAGGTGCCCTTATAGATCCCTGTAAAGGAACCCCAGGATTTTCTCCATCAGCAGTAGTACTAGCTAAGCAGCAGTCCATGGGCCTGGAAAACGGGTTTGATTGGGGTGGAGCTGCAAACTCACAAACTCCACACTGTTTATTTGAGTTTGATCCGAAAGCAATAAAACGTAATATACATCCGAAATCCTAAACCCAATAACTTTCCTACTTGTAGTAGTTTCGCAGGCAGTTTCAAGCTTCTGAAGCCCAAAACTCTGACCTCTGAACCCTAAACCCCACACCCCACCTGAACCCTACACCTTAAGAAACCCACATTGTAGGGCGCCCAAGTCCTAGAAAGGTAGTGAAGGTAGACCCCAAGCTGTTGAAGCCCTACCATAAGAAGGAAAGCGTTGCTTGTTGTTCTCGGATCCGGGGAGCTCAGCAGCTGTGATTGCTATGATCCCTAAGCCGTTTGCCTGCTTAATAGCTCATAGAAAGATCCATGTCTAGAGGGGTTTAGGGCTTGGCATGTCTCCCTAAACCCTAAACTCTAAACCCTAAACCCTAAACCCTAAACCCTAAACCCTTAACCCTAAACCCTTAACCCTAAACCCTAAACCCTAAACCCCAGACTAGCGCCTTCTGGGTTTGGTGCTCAGGGTTCAGGGAGTGTAGGTTGCCTTCAACCTCCAACCCTAAGCCCTACCTTAACCCTGAAGAACCTACCTTTGTTATGTTCCCTATTATTTTTTCTTTTATAAGTCCTTAAAAAGGTAGGTTCTTCAGGGTTAAGGTAAACCCTAAATCTTAGGGACCTTGGGGCAGGTGCAAAAAAGGAGCTCAGAAACACCGAAGTTTTACAACCTTATGAAACGGGCTTATCAGGGATCCGAAAAGGACATAAGCATAAAAATTTTTGTTGGGATATCCCTACCTCATTATTGAGCTTCATTGTAAGGGGGTTTCTATGGGATATCCCTATCCTAATTTTTGCTTATGTGCTGTTTTGCGGCCCTATTAGAAATAGTCAAACGCGATCTCCCCCTCCTCGGAGCATCGCCCAAGCTGCAGAGGCACCTGCACCTGCACCGGCGCGGTCCTCAAAGTCTGCCCTCGAGTTCGGACGACAGGAGCTTGGCTTTAGGGTAAACCCTAAACCCTAGACGCTGCGAGTGAACTACCACTCAGTGCACTTGTCACCGAGCCCGAGAACACACTCTTGATGCAGTCAGCGACGGGTACCAAGACGCAACAGCAATCTCGGCCTCGGACCTAGTCATACAGGATACTCTACAGGAGCTAGGATGCCCAGTAGTACCCTTATTCCCTTTTTGTAGTCCTAGGTTCCTTATAAAGTTACCCCATACCAAAAAGAGAGGCCTTTTTATTCTTAGGTTACTGGGTATCCTAGGGATGGACTTGGTGATGGCAGGATTCGTACCCTGCTGCAGGACTTGATCATGGCGGCAATCCGGGAAGCCAAGAGTAGGTCTGCCAGGGGCTTCGGGCCAGGCTTACGGCGGAGTGTCCATGGCCAGGGGTTTAGGGTTTAGGGGTTTTTGGGTTTAGGGTTTTGGGCGCCACCTCAGGGTTGTGCAGCTCGTGGTCGACGCTCTGGTCAGCTACAGGGAGAATATGGTCCGCCAATTGGAGGTTCCAGCTGGTGAACCTCGTACGGCTCCACCACGCACAGCGGGTGAATTCCGTACTCTTACAGACTGGAGGGTGGTGCCAGAATTTAGTATGCGTTTACAGTTAAAGCCGGAATTATGGGTAACACCCGTCCCTGGGGTTCCCTCAATGTGGCTGTAGTGCAGGCTTTAGGGTTTACGGGTTTACGGTCTAGGCTCTTCAGGGTTTGTAGGGGTTAGGGTTTAGGGTTCAGGGTGTTTAGGGGTTTAGGGTTTCGCACCGTACCCTCGGCTATCAATATAGTCGACCGCAAGACCCTTGTCTTGTGGGTAGGGCCCCTATATTTGGCTGCAGGCTCCCAATGATAAAAACTTTCGAGCCTTATCAAACTTATAAACGTCTCACAGAATAAGGTACGAAGCAAGATTGAAGACTCTTCTGAAGCACCCTAAGAGCACTCATTCTCATCATGGATGCCCTCGGAAGCCCTGAGCTGAATCTGAAGTCACCTCTACTTGGAGGATCCTGGGACTTAGTAAGTGGGTTATAATTGGGGCTTATAAGTCCCCTAAGTGAAGTTATCCTAATTATAGAACCACTTATAACCTTACATACTTACTAAGTCCCATGCGCCTTTAAGTAGACCCTAAACCCTTAAAGGGAACCCTATTATAGAAACCTTATAGTACCCTTTAAAAGGAACCCTATTATAGAAACCTTATAGTACCCTTTAAAGGGAACCCTAAGCCCTTACTAAGTCCCATGAGCCTTCAAGTAAGCCCTGAGCTCTAAGGCCCGGCTCAAGTTCGAAACGCTGAGTTCACAAGGCGGTTTAGGGGTTCAGGGTTTAGGGATTATGGGTTTAGGGTTGAGGGATTATGGGTTTAGGGTTTAGGGATTATGGGTTTAGGGTTTAGGGATTATGGTTTTAGGGTTTAGGGATTATGGCTTTAGGGTTTAGGGATTATGGGTTTAGGGTTTAGGGATTATGGCTTTAGGGTTTAGGGCTTTATGGCTTTAGGGTTTAGGGCTTTAGGGTTTAGGGTTGAGGGATTCATGGGTTTAGGGCTCAGGGCTTAGGACTTACGCCCTAAACTTTCCAAAACAACACCCTAAGTCCCAGAACCCGGAGCAAAAAAACCGGAGGCATTCCGCGACTTTCAGGCCAGGCTGCTGATGGAGGGTGGCGTGGCGCAGGTGGGGCTCGGGATTTAGGGTTTAGGGTTCTTAGGGTTTAGGGTTTTAGGGTTTAGGGCTTTAGGGTTTTAGGGTTTAGGGTTTAGATTTAAGGGTTCAGGGTTTAGGGTGTAGCGCTGAACCCACAGGTTCCCTCTACACGGTTTAAGGATCCCTCCAAGTGCCTTGAGTGCTCCTTTGACTTTTTAAGAGCGCTTTTGATGGTTCCATTACGGCTGAGATAATCACCAAAGCCCTAAACTCGCGCCCAAAATGCTCCTTGTTGCATCCATATGCTGCCCTGGCTTGACAGAGCTACAACGGCCGCTGTTATACCTGTTGCAGACCTAGACCTTGTAGCTTCCTCTGTGGGGTTTAGGGGTTCAGGGTTTAGTGGCCTTGAGACTTTGTAAGTAAAGGGCCTAGGGGTCCTTTTTAAGGGTACTGTGGGGTTCTATAATCGGGCTCCCTTTAAGGGTTTGGGGTTTAGGGTTTAGTGGTTTAGGGTGGGGAAGTAGGGTGTTTCTTCTTCAATTCCAAGGGTAAAAGGAGGGACCCTTAACAAGGGCCTTTTTGGTATATACCCTTAATATAGCTATTATATACCCATTATATAGCCCATTATAGGGTGGGGGCCCCCATGAAAAATCCTCCTTCTCCCCTAAACCCCCAAAACCCCTAAACCCGTAAACCCTAAACCCCATAGACCCCCTAGGAGCCCCTTAAAGGAGCCCAAGGAGCCCCTTAAAGGAGCCGAGCCCTTTTCCCCTTTGATGAAAGGATTTTCCTACAGATTCAGCCCAGGGTCTAGGGTTTAGGGTTTAGGGTTTAGGGTTGAGGGTTTAGGGTTTAGGGTTTAGGGTTGAGGGTTTAGGGTTTAGGGTTTAGGGTTGAGGGTTTAGGGTTTAGGGTTTAGGGTTTAGGGTTTCCTGCTTTTGGGGAGCTTCCCTCATAGGAGGCCAAAGGGGTTTTAGCCTATGGGGGTTAGGGATTTTTAGGGTTCCTCTACAGGGATGTATAGGGGTTCCTTTAAAGGGATCTATAAGGGTATCAAAGGAGGCCAAAAGGGGTTTTAGCCCATGGGGGTTTAGTAGGGATTAGGGTTCCCATAATCGGGTTCATATTAAGGAATCCCTACCCCAAGAATCTTAAACCCCCCTTTTGGCCTCCCATCGTTCCCTTTCGCGCTGAAACCCCAAACCCGTGTGGGTTGCTAAAAGGCTCATGGGACTTAGTAAAGGGCCTAGGGGTTCCCTTTAAGGGTACTATATAGGCTTCCCTTTAAGGGTTTAGGGTTTAGGGTCTACTTAATGTTAAAGGCTCATAGGACATAGTAACAGTAAGCAGGGTTATAAGTAGGCTATAATTAGGATAACCCCACTTAGGGAACTTATAACCCCAGTTATAACCTGCTTACTAAGTCCCATGATCCTCGAAGCATAAGTTCCCTAAGTGGAGCTATCCTAGTTCTAACCTACGTTATAACCCTACTTACTAAGTCCCATGAGCTTTTAAGTGTTATAGAACCCTTTAGTGCCCTTGAGCGGGACCCCTCTCAATAGTAGGATCCTCATTCTACGGACCCAAAGTAAAGTACCCCTTCTTTTCGGAAACTCTAGACCCTAAACCCTAAACCCTTTATATAACCCTTATAGATCCCTTTAAAGATCCCTTTAGAGGATCCCTTTAAAACCCTAAACCCTAAACCCTAAACCCTAAACCCTAAACCCTAAACCCTTTCTAAACGAACCCGAAAGCCCTGGCTTGAACCCATCTTCAAGGCTCCCTCGCCGGCGCCGGCGTGGTAGGCGTCTGCCTGTGTTAGGGTTTGGGGTTTACTAGGTTGGATTTTGGGACATTTTTTATTTTCCTTATTTGGGCTTTTAAGGGACCCTACATATAAATATTTTCAGGGTGTTTAAAGGCCAACCCAGTTTAGGGTATATAGGGTATAGGCTCTTGGGTTTAGGGTTTGGGGTATAGGGTTTAGGGTTTAGGATCTTTTTTGGTTTGGGGTTTAGGGAATAGAGTTTGGGGTTTGATGTATTTAGGGTTTGGGGTTTAGGGGAAAGGGTTTGAGGTTCCGGGTTTAGGGTTCAAGGACCAGGGTCTAGGATTTAGGGTTTGGGGTTTCGAGTTCCCGTTTGCGGCCCTGGGGTTTGGCGTTTAGGGTTCAGGGAGCCGCTTGTCCTACCAAGGAAGGGTTTGATCGTGTTTCTATTTTGCATACGGCTTCATATGGTTTATGGGGCGGCTATCGGCTTATTTCATTATTTTGCAGTTATACATATAGTACACGTGTTTTTTTAATTTGTTGTTTGTATGGTTCCCTGCAGCTGAAATAAACATAGGCAAAGGTTCATTCAGGCGCTACTTGGGGGTTTAGCAGTTTAGCTTAGGATTTTCGGCTTGGGTTTGCGGTGCTGCATCCCAACACCCGTTTCGTCTATGGACTGAGATTTCTGAAACGAATAGCATTAATTTTCTTAGAGCTTCTGTCGATGAAGCAACCTAAATCGCAGCTTTATATGGTTTTGTAAGATTCGTATAGGTCTTTATACGAGCTTCGTAAGGATCTTTAGTAGAGTATAGGTAATGTTCTCCGTTAATGTTGGAGGCTTCCTTATGTGCTTTTCATTTTCGTGTTGGGGTCTGCTTGTGGATTCAGGTCTCGCTCTTTTAAGCGAGTACTTAAATGCTCTGGGACTGAGAAAGTACTAAGGGTTCCTTTAAAGGGCTCCTTTAAGGGATCTATAAGGGTTTAGGGTTTAGGGATCTATAAGGGTTCCATAAGGGGGAGTTTAGGGTACTTAGAGATCATGGGACTAAGTAGGTTATAAGTCGGGTTATACGTCCCCTAAGTGGGGTTATCCTCTTTATACCCTACTTAGATACTTACCAAGTTAGTCCCGCAGTCGTTTAAGTATGTTCTGTAGGCTGGCTTGCGGCTTTTGGCTGAACCTTTTCGAGTTTTGCGCTTCAATATCTGAGGACTTCGCGGCGACACCTGTACGTGCTCTTAGGACTTAGGAACTATGTTGACTGCATTCTTAGTTTAATAAAGCCCAACATGGTTCAGGGCGCTTCAGACAACAGGTTATTACATACCTACTGCTGATATCCGCAAACTCGTCCTCCAGCCAAGAGCCTCCGGTTAAGGAGTTTCGGGTCTATGGTTTCGGTAGGATTTAACGGTTTGGCGTTGAGGGTGCAGGTTGATTTAGTAAGTGGGTGAAAGAAACCATGTGATTAGGATATCAGCAGTACTTAGAGGATCATGGGACTTAGTAAGTAGGTTATAATTGGTGTTATAAGTTCCCCTAAGTGGGGCTATCCTAGTTATAACCTACTTATAACCCTGCTTACTGTTACTATGTCCTATGAGCCTTTAACGTTAAGTAGACCCTAAACCCTAAACCCTTAAAGGGAACCCTATATAGTACCCTTAAAGGGGACCCCTAGGCCCTTTACTAAGTCCCGTGGGCCTTTAAGTACCCCAACACTTGGATCTCCGAGGCCTGACAAAAGGAGTTGAAGTGACTCTGGACGTGCTGTCTTAGCGGTGGAAAAGATGCTTGGCGCTCTTCTGGTTGTCTCTTAGGACTTTAACGTTTTGGGGTTCTATATGAACTACAATAAGGAGGCTAGAAGTTTAATTTTTAGGAGGGGTTCAGAAGTCAGCCAAGAATGCTGGCTATGATCGCATTCGGGTTTGCTGCGTTCCGCAATGCCAAGATCTGAAGTTGTGCGGGGTTCAGAGGTTTCGCATCCGACACCAGACCCTTGAGTTTAGGGTTTAGGGCTCCAGAGTATCTTTGATGGGAAGTGTAACACTTGGGGTTCAAGGTGGGAGGATGGAGGATGTGCAGGGTTTGAGGTTTCGGACTTGGGGGTGTGGGGCGTGTATGTAACATATATAGAAGCCGAAGTAAGCACTAACACGTTTGCTGAGGGTTCCTTCTTCTTTTGCTTTGTATACGGTATGTACCCGAAGCCGTTTTCTGACCATGAAGTCGCGAAAATGAATCATGTAACTGTACCATCTTGAAGCCCTCTCCTGCTATACTTCATGGTGCCTAGCTAAACTAGCTACATACTTGGAACAGGGTTTCGGCGGTACACATACTTAAAGACACAGAAGGACTGCGAGCTCTCCTACTGAACAACCGCAGGTCTTTCTTATGCCGCCATCTCGAGCAACATGGAAACCTAAGACTTGATCTCTATCTTACAGAAGGCAACTTACTAAGGGCCCCGTGTCAGGTCCAGGGTAAGTTAGGATAGCTGGAACGATTTTTTGGCGCGGTTTGGGTTCAGACTTCGTGGTCACGGTTGGTCTTGTCGGCGGAGGTCTAGTTAAACAACATTGGGGTCATTAGGGTTTCGGGTTTCGGGCATGAGGGTCTTAGGATAACTAAACCCTAAACCCGAAACCTTGATCCAATATTAGGATTTAATTTATGCCTCAGGGGTTGGGTCATGGGGGCTACACATCCGGGGCGTGGGAGGCACAGTCATTATTCGTAGATTGACCTGAAGAGTTCTTTAAGCGGTTCCTGCAAGGGGTAGGGTTCAGGGTTTGAGGTTTAGGGTGTAGGGCTTACGGTTATGTAGGATGCTAGGGTCTGGGTTTCTTTGTTCCGGGTTTCTCAACCTTCAACTCTAAACCCCGAACCCTGACCCTCTCCCGAAGATTGGACCAGACAAGGAACCATCTCGTGGGCTCCCCCCCCAACGCTAGAATCCTTACGGAACGCACCCAAAAATGCACTCTGAATTCTCGGAAGCTCCCTACACCCTAAACGCCTACAGTAGAAGCCAGAAAGTTGGAACATGGCTTTAGGAGGATTAGTGCTAGGATCCCTTATACTTTACCTTAAGGGCAGGAGGAGTCTGATGTTCCAACTTTCTGGCTTCTACTATAAACCCCAAACCCCTAAACGCCGAAACTGCCTCAAAGCCTAAACTCTGCGGCTTGCTTCGCAGCCCTGCGTGATGGCTCTAAAAATGGGCCGCGCGGGGCCTGACACGATCTAGTTCCCGAAAAGGGGTAGCGCAGGTCCGGGGCTTGTGGTTCAGTGTTGAGGATCTTGAGGTTTATAATTTAGGGTTCTGTGTTTAGTTGATCTGTTTATGAACGGAAATACCCTGACCACAGAGCAATCATTGCCATCTCGTTGCCTGAATTCGGAACAGGATTTAGGGTTTAGGGGCTCTCGATCCTAAACCCCGGAAATTCAGAAGTGATCGCCACGCACCTTCATGTTCTCCCTGAATCTTAAACACTCTAATAGACGTCTGTGGCTTTGGGTACATCAGAGGGACGGTTTGGGCTTTGGGTTCCTTGCGGCAGCCATGCCTGCATCTGCCGTGCTGTGGTTTCTCTGGTATGTTCTGCAACATCTTTGCGCCTGTGCCCGTGGCGAGGGAGCGGAGGAGAGTTCCTGCGGCGACAGGTCGGCTTAGGGATGAGGGGATCCCAACCGGCCGCTAAGAAACAGGGTTTAGGGCTTAGGGTTTAGACCGAAACAAGCTGAACCCTGGACAAGCAAGAACACTGGAACCTCCATCCTTAAACCCGCGCCCCCAGCCCTGAACCCTCAACCCTAAGCACCAAACCGCTAAAGTAGCCTTGTACTAACCTTCTAGAACCCGTGACCCTTTTAATAGGTTTTAAAGGAACCCCAAACCCTAAACCCGAAAGCTAAGCCCTGAACAACAAAAAAGGGCTTCAGGCAAAAGAAGTCTAACACCTAGATCCCTAGACCTTATAATTATAGACCTTTCGACACCCTTCAAGGAACCCTTCAAGATTAAACCCTACACTCCGAGCCCCAAGCCCTGCGAGGTTTGCCTGCCAGGCGCCCGTACGCGGGGCCTCGAGTCCGTCACGCCGACCCCTGACCAGCGGACCGCTGACGCCTGCATGGTTTAGGGTTTAGGGAATTAGGTTACCTGGGGATCCAAAAACCTATTGTTTTTGGGATTATGCCCTATATCTAAGGGGTTTTGACCTTTTTTTTGTAGGGTTTGGGACTACAGGTCCTAAACCCTAAACCCTAAACCAGGTGGGGTTGTAGAGGATTTGGGGGGCTTGGGGTTTGGGGCTTGTGTAGGGTTGAGGGGTTTAGGGGCTTCGAGGTTTGGAGGTTTGGGACCTTTAGGGGTTGTATATCAAAGGGGAAAAGGAGGGACCCTTAATGGGGACCCCTATACCCTATAATGGGCTATATAATGGGTATATACTAGCTATATTAAGGGTGTATGCCTAGGGGTCCTTACTAAGGGTCCCTCCTTTTACCCTTGGAGTATAGGGTTTACCGAGGTAGCGTTTAGTTTAGGGTTTCGACGATTAGGGGCTTTTGAGTTTAGTAGCATAGGCGGTTTAGGGTCTACTTTCTAGATCCTCCCTGGGGTCTGGGAACTTAGTTCTTTGAGGGTCTCAGAATTTAGGATTCGGGGCCTTAGCTTAAAGGGTTTCCAGTTTAAGGTGGGGACCTAGTATAGAACCGTTAGCAATCCCATGCAATCCCATAAAACCTTTGCGAACCTACAATCTTTCTAAAGCCCTGTAAACAAAAACGTATGAAAGCCTAGAAGAACCCTCTAAACTCTAAACCCCAGACCGTCAACCCCAAGGCCTCAAATCCCGAACCCGCAACCCCAAACCGTAAGCCTTCAACCATTCACCTTGAACCAACAACTTTGAACCCTGAACCTGAACCGTCTCTCTTGTGCCAAGGATGATTCAGATGTCCAAGGTCCAGTCCGTCGGGAGATCGCGCGAAGTCACCACCGACTCTCAGGCGAAGCGCCTGTGCAGGTTCTCGAAGGTTTCGTTCAGTTTCTTGTTTCGGGTTCTAAAGGGGTTCGAGCAGGTTCAATAAGGGTTCTGCAGCGAATTGATTGTGTAGGGCAAGGTAGAGTTGAGAGTTTAAGGTTCAAGGGCTCGTAGCTTGACAAGGCCGGCTCTTACCTTAAATCATACGGGCCTGAATATTATGAGTTCAGGTGTAATGTCGGCACCTGATTAAGAAACCCTGGGCCAATAACCCCAAAATAGCAGGATTCATACAAGGAGCCCCGATAAAGGCCCAAGGTTTCTTAATCAAGTTCCTACAATACCAGGTATATTTCTTACTCATCGGGTACTGGGCTCCCTGGGTTGCTCCTGGGAGGAGGTGATGGACGCACTGGAGCTGCTGGCAAACATCAACAGCTGCTGAGCCTGAGTAATTCAGGGGCCTTACTAATTAGAATGCGGTTTGGTGGTATATTATACTGTAGTGACAACAAGGAACTCCGAAAAGGGTACCCTAATTGGAATCATGATACTTATAAGATCTTACAAGGCTCTAAATTACCTACTTGCGAAGTCCCCCGACCCTCCAGGTAGGGGTCTGAGTCATTGAGGTTCAGGGTTTAGGGATAAAGGGTTTGAAGTTGTTGTTTGGGTTTCCGGGTTTATTGCTGGTAATGGTAGTATTCCTCAGGGTTGCTTGCCGTAAACTCAGCATATTCATAGACCACACAGCGCATTCCCCAGGCCCAAAACCATCGTCAGTACTCAAACCCCGTATCATCGAATGCCGGTGTCAATATTAATTCAGATTCTTATCCCGAAGCCCAACAACCACAAATCCGCAATATCTATAGAAAGGGCGCGTTTCAGTGGCTTTAGTATCCCGTTATAGTATTAACCCTATTTCGTTATAATGCATCAGAGCCAGATTCCCAGTCTCTTTAGAATTATCTATGGGCCTGAACTTTCTGGAGTGTGGAATGCCCTGGTGGCCCGTGTCATGCAACAAAGCATTGTTCCACTTAGTAAGGCCTCCTTTTTCAACCCTAAACCCTGAACTCCAAATCCCTAAAGGTCTTTCGAGTCCCCCAAATTCTGCTTCTACAGGCCTCGGATGACTTGACGCTGTCATAGTTTAGGGATCCATTTAAGGTTCCCAAACGGGTTTGAAAGGGTTTAGGGGTACAGGTTTTACGGGTGTCAGGGGCCCAGCTACGTGAAGGCTGTAAACTCTACTTAAAGGATCATGGGACTTAACAAGTATAGGTTATAATTGGGGTTATAGGTCCCCTAAGTGGGGTTATCCGAAGTATAACCCACTTATAACCTGACTTACGAAGCTCCATGAGCCTTTAAGTACATAGTCCCTGCCGCCGTCAAGGCTACCGGCGTTCCAAAGGTCTGGAGCCAGGGGAGATTTCACCGGCCCTGATGGCGGTGCCTCGGGATCAGAAGGGAGTCAAGAAAAGGGGCCTTACTAATTAGATCAGAAGGGAGTCAGAAAAGGGGCCTTACTAATTAGATCAGAAGGGAGCAAAAAAGGGGCCTTACTAATTAGATGGGGTATAATATAGTATTCTTTAATAGGGACCCTCTCCCAAAAAATAGTATTGGTAATTGGTTAGGCGCCCGAATTATGGGTTTCTGAGGCGTAGGCTTTCGGCCAAATCGAGTTCGGGGTTTCGGGCTCGTGTGATCTTCCGGATGAGTTGCTTCTGATTTACAGCATTTAAGGTTGAGACCCTAAACCCTAAACTCTAAACCTAGGATGCCCAGTAGTACCCTTATTCCCTTTTTGTAGTCCTAGGTTCCTTATTTTTATTCTTAGGTTACTGGGTATCCTAGGTTGAGACCCTAAACCCTAAACTCTAAACCGTTCTGAGCTTCGGGAAGCCTAAAGCCTCCGACCGTGGAACTGGCTGCTTCGGAGTGGCGGGCTACGGAGAGTAGAGTTTAGGGTTTAGGGTTTAGGGTTTAGGGTTTAGGGTTTAGGGTTTAGAGTTTAGAGTTTAGAGTTTAGAGTTTAGGGTTTAGGGTTTAGGGTTTAGGGTTTAGGGTTTAGAGTTTAGGGTTTAGGGTTTAGGGTTTAGAGTTTAGGGTTTAGGGTTTAGGGTTTAGGGTTGAACGTGATCACCAACCGTAAGCTGGGAAAACTAAACTCATGGATTTATCCCGAGACTCTACACCCCTCAAGTACGAGATATAATTGCAGGGGGATCCCTGATATGGGTTAGGGTGTATTCCTCGGTTTCGAAGCTGGATGTAAGCTGGATTCAAGCTCTGTAAAACAGACCACCGAGCTGCGTAGAGGCCCTGATATAGACCCAGTTTCCTTTGTGCAGAACCCCACACCCTACATACCTCTCCAAGTACAACCTGCGTCCTTAGCCCCCTGAATCGTTAAGTATAAGCCCCCGAAATGGAATTTTGCATGATGGGAAGGTGGCCTTTGCGCACGTCCAAGACCTCAATGAGCTTCCCAGATTGAGCTTGGTACAAAAGGGCCGAAATAATTACCAATACTATTGGGTGGGGTCCTTATTATAGGTATAGTACAATATACCCCCCCAAACCCTATTCTAATTATTAAGTCCCCTATCTTATATAACCCCACTATAGATCGCTTGTAGGGCTCTGACTTTTGAGAGTACTATGGGGTTCTATAATCGGGCTATCTTGAAGGGTTTGGGTTTTAGGGTTTAGAGGTTTAGGGTGGGGAAGTAGGGTGTTTCTTCTTGAAAGCTAGGATGCCCAGTAGTACCCCTCATTCCCTTTTTGTAGTCCTAGGTTCCTTCTTACGGTACCCAATACCAAAAAGGGAGCCCTTCTTATTCCTAGGTTACAGGGCATCCTACTTGAAGTTGTTGTTTGGTTGATGGTGTTTTAGTGGATTGGGATTGCTTGTAAAATAGAGATATATATCCCCTGAGTTTGCGTGGGTTTTTGTGGGTCCCTTTCCAACACGCTTACCTCGTTGTGCGTCCTGCTGACCCCTGCATGACTCCTGATCTGCAAACGAGGAGATCTAACGAATCTAATGTTATGGTCCCGATGAAGAACGCTGTTTATTCGTCAGCGGCCTAGATTAACTTATGAGTTAGCATAGTAGATGCGTGCACTTATGGCCCCAATGCTATACAAGCATGTGGCATCCATGTACAGATGCTCCGCTATCCTTGAACAAAGGGTCTGCGACTAGTCCCTAGCAACCTAGTACAGCCTGAAGATAGTCCTTCAGCGTAAGTATATTCAGGCGTATAGGACGCTAAGCCCCGCAATCTCTCGTGGCACCTTGCACATAGCCCTTCAAGCCATCATCTACACAAGTCTGAACCCTGGCCACAAAAACCCTAACCCTGAATCCAAAACCCCAAACCCTAAGCCCTAAGCTTTGAACTCTAACCCTGAACCCCTGAGCATAAATATTTGCGGAACCCTAAGCCCTCGACCAGGTTTCGGCGAGAGAGCGGCTGCAATATGCACTCCTGGTCATCGAACTTTCCAGACTGGCGCACGGGCTGCTGTTGCTAGGTCGTTCAGTCGGAAGCTTTGCTTTGGGTTTTGCGTTTAGGGTCTAGTTCAACCCAACAAACTCTGAATGAGATTACTCTTCCAGAAAGTAAATGGGCAGTTCTCTAAATTAGGGTGCCTTTTAGGGTCCGTTTTAGAAGGGTGCCGCCGATGGGTCCCTGGACACCCCTTTACCCTAAACCCGAAGCCCTAAACCCTAAACGCTGAGGTTACACCCCCGACCACTCGCAGGCGGATTGCAGCCTGGCCAACCGGGCTTTTCGGATAGAGCCGGGAATTAGGGCTTAATGTAGGAACCTGGTGACGAAACCCTGGGCCTATAGCCCCAAAATGGTAGGATTCAAATAAGGAGCCCGAATAAAGGCCCAAGGTTTCGTAATCAGGTTCCTACATTAGAGGTTTAACGCTGAGGTCTTTGGGTTTAGGGCTTAGGGTTAGTTTTTGGATTAGGCCAAGGGGTTCAGGGTGTAGGGTTTGTATACTTGGAGGATCATGGGACTTAGTAAGTAGGTTATAATTGGGGTTATAAGTCCCCTAAGTCGAGTTATCCAAATTATAACCGACTTATAACCTTAAATACTAAGTCCCATGAGCCTTTAAGTAGACCCTGAACCCTAAACCCCTCTTATAGAACCCCTATAGTACCCTTAAAGGGAACCCTAAGCCCTTACTTACTAAGTCCCATGAGCCTTTAAGTAGGGTTTAGGGGTTCAGGGCTCAGGGTGAAGGTTATCTGGGTTGTCCTTTGGGATTTTTTTTCTAGGTTGGATTTTGGGGCATTTTTTATTTTCCTTATTTGGGTTTTATAAGGGGCCCTATATATAAATATTTTTCAGGGTGTTTAAAGGCCAACCCAGTTTTAATTTCCACTGCTATTTTGTAGAGAACCATGACAGTAAATAATTTTCAAAGGGCTTAAAGGGAATTCCAGAAAGTTGGAATATGGTTTCAGGGTAGGATACCCTATAATTTACCATAAAGGGCTTAGGATAATCATATTCCAACTTTCTCTAACCTTTGATATTGGAGGAGCTAAGGAGCCAGGGATGATGAGAACCCCTATTAAATACGGAGCTAAGGAGCCAAGGGAGCCCCTAAAGCACTGGTTAGTTCTGGCTTGTACTTTAAAGGACAACTCCTAAACCCTAAACCCTAAACCCCTAAACCCCTAAACCCTAAACCCTAAACCGTACTTTAAAGGACAACTCAGTTGTAGGCTTTTCGTTTGGGGCCTAGGGCCCTGCGGGTTGCTTAGAGGATCACGGGACTTAGTAAGTAAGGGCTTAGGGGTCCCTTAAAAGGGTACTAGAGGGTTTCTATAATAGGGTTCCTTTTAAAGGGTACTATAAGGTTTCTAAAATAGGGTTCCCTTTAAGGGTTTAGGGTCTACTTAAAGGCTCATGGGGTTTGGGAAGTAAGGTTATAAGTAGCTTATTAGGATAGCCCCACTTAAAAAGACTTATAACCCCACTTATAACCTACTTACTAAGTCCCATGATCCTGTAAGTGTAGACATGAAGGGTGTACAGTGCACCCTTGATCCGCGTGTGCCAGCTTCACGGACGGTACTAATAGGCCAAGTTCTCTAAATGAAGGTTTATGTGGCAGCGCTTTTGAGATGAGGGGCCTGCATTATCTTAAAGCCTCAATCGTAGCTTGGTGTTGGGATTCACATGATGAGGAGGGTTTGCCCAAGAGCTTCTGTACTTCTGTAAATACGGCACTTCTGGCTGGTTTGTCCATTGGCGAGGGTTGAAGCAAAGCTGTGCCCTACACACTATCTTAGTCGCTGAACTCCAAATCCCAATTTCTAAACCCTAAACCCTAAACCCCTAATCTCAATGCCACCGCTGAGGTATGTGGAGTAAAGGCCGTGAGATCACCTCTTGCTGGCCTTCTCCGTACAGGGGCAACATCTACGACGCTCCACTTATCATCATTGGAGTTTGCTTGGGGGTCGGGGGACTTAAGTACGTAGTGAGCTTATAGACTTATAAGTATCATAAGGGGCAACATCTACGACTCTCCACTTATCATCGTTGGAGTTTGGTTGGTGTACTCAGAGGCTCATGAGACGTAGCAAGTAAGGTTGGCATCCTAGATCTCCAATACCTAACTTTTAAAACTGTTTGGGTTGTTATAGTTTTGTAGGAAACCTTATATTTCCGTGGCTTATTGGGGGTAGTAAGATCATCATTGGAGTTTGGGGGGTTGGTGTACTCAAACTGGGCTTTGGAGTACCATACTTTAAAACTTTTTTGGGACCTGTTACTTAAAGGGAACCAATTAGAAACTAAAACTCTATATGTTTTTTCCTTGTTTACTTCAAAGCCCAGTAAAGGTTCATGGGACTTACCAAGGAAGGTTATAAGCAAGAGATATTTAGGATAACCCCACTTCGGGGACTTATAGCCCCAATTTTAGCCGACTAAGTCCAATGATCCTCTAAGTAGGGATCAGAGCAACTCCTGTTACTTCGATCTTCGGCGTGTGACGATGATAATCACTGGGGTACTGCCTCCTCTCAGGAACAGTTGGATAACATTCATAATAAAGATGTATTAGGACCATTATTAGTAGGCTAGCCCTATTACAGACTGTTACTGTATCAGAGCCGTACCCAGATAATTACTATCGTCGCTGGCATTGATCTTATCGGCTCATCGGGACAATGACGGGTACGACGTTGATGATGACGATGGCGGTGATGGTTACATCGGTGTTGGTGATGATGATGATGAAGATGATGATGCCAACAGCCTGGGAAAACCACCAGATTCCACAAATCACTCGTTTAAAAAACCGATTCCATGTAGCTTCGTAACTTACAGAACAGCAAGCAAAAAGCCGGATTTTCCTATACTATGGCAGTGTGATGCCTACAGTGCTGACTGCATTGTTTACTGAGTGTTGACTGTCATTTTGCATGTGTTTGCTACGTTTGGAGGAAACACAGTTTCTTTTAGCTTCTCGATGTCCCGAAACAGCGAAAATGCTGCATTTCCCAAAGCTTTGGCAGTGTTGAGTGTAGCATTGACTGTAGATGGTGATAGTGATGGTGACCGCTGTTGTTGATGATGGTGGCTGTTGCTCTTGCTCACTTCTTAGAGGATGGTTAGTAGTTACCCTAAACCCTAAACCCTAAACCCCTAAACCGTACTTAGTAGCGCTAGTGTTGATGCTGCTGCCTGACCCTGGCTGTTAATGGAAGTGCCCGAAACTACGGAGTCCCAATGTCAACTTGAGCAAGTAGGAGTCTGGGTATATATATATGTATATACAACCTATATATATATATATATGTATATATATATGGACACAGATACAAATGTGTGTATATATATATGTATATACTAATTTAGTTATTTTCTTTTAAGCAGTGTACATGTGACATGCATGTGTGTACGTATGTGTCTATGTATGTATGTATGTATGTATGTATGTATGTATGCGTGTATGTGTGCGTGTATGTATGTACGTCTGTCTGTCTCTCTGTCTGTCTGTTTGTCTGTCTGTCTATGTATGTATGTATGTATGTATGTACATACATACATACATACATACATACATACATGAGCTTACATACTTGGGTATCTATTCGTGAATCCTGGGATCGTAATCCCAGGTTTTAATTAACTTAAACTTCAAGTTTCCGTCAGCCATGGGTCGTTGCAACTCGAAACACCAGAAAACTTTACACCCTAAGCCTTAAATCCCCCCATGCCCTTCATTGCCAAACCCTTGAACCCTTAAAAGCCCAAAGCTGCTCAAAACCCTAAAGCCCTTGATTCCCTAAGCCCCTAAATGCTGCTTAAAACCCTAAGCCCTTGAACCCTTAGGCCCCTAAAAGCGACTCCCAGGAGAACTCTTATTCCGGTCCTGCCGATCCCTTCTCAGCGGCCCTTGGGGGAGGGTCTCGGGGATTTTTGGTTCCGTAGAACGAGAGTGCCGTGAGGTTGTTTTGGTGTTGGGGTGTTGATAAGTTTGAGAATTCAGAGTTGCGGTTTTGGGGTTTGGGACGAAAATGGGGGTTTTTTGGGTTTCAATTGCTGAGGGTTTCAGGGGAGACCTCGCACGCAGGCTTGGGGCGGTTGTGCGGCTTGAGGCGTACACCGTTATGACTCTTTTTGCTATCATCATGCGTGCCCTCATTCAGCAGTGCTGGTAATGCCAGAAGCCATGTGCAGGTGAGCGCGTGGAAGCGGAGCAGCGCGCACAATGCTGTGATCCTCAATGAGGCGTGGCTGGGGGTGTATATTATGGTGCTCTTGGCTTTACTTGCTGTTTACTAGGTTCCTGAGGTGTACCCTTTTGCTCCTTTTATTTTTGGGTTCACCTTATTAAAACAGAGTATTCGGAATAAAGGTATCCTTGTTATTAAGAAGCTGCTCAGGAACCTAGGGGTTGTAGAGGATCTGGGGGCCTTGGGGTTTATCTGGGGGCCTTGGGGTTTGGGCTTGTGCAGGGTTTAGGGTTTAGGGTTTAGGGTTTAGGGTTTAGGGGTTTAGGGTTTAGGGTTTAGGGGTTTAGGGTTTAGGGTGCAGGGTTTAGGGGTTTAGGAGTTTTTGTGGTTTAGAGGTTTAGGACTTCTACGAGTTGTATAGCGTGCTTTTGGCTTTATTGTTTAGGGTGTCTACACTCTAAACCCCAATCCCTACAGTACAAGCCAGAAAGTTGGAATATGATTATCCTAAGCCCTTCTATGGTAAATTATAGGGTATCCTACCCTGAAACCATATTCCACATTTCTGGAGTTCCCTCTAAACCCCGAACCCTAAACCCTAAACCCTAAACCCTAAACCCTAAACCCTAAACCCTAAACCCTAACTCTAAACCCCAATCCCTAAAGGGTTTAGGCGGCTTCCGGGTCCTGACTACTGGTCGGGTAGCTCCTCGGGGTGCATATCACTAGGGTTTAGGGTTTAGGCTTTAGGGTTTAGGGTTTAGGGATTAGGGTTTAGGGTTTAGGGTTTAGGCTTTTAGGGTTTAGGGTTTAGGGTTTAGGGTTTAGGGTTTAGGGTTTAGGCTTTTAGGGTTTAGGGTTTAGGGTTTAGGCTTTTAGGGTTTAGGGTTTAGGGTCACGCTTTCTGGGTAAAGATGAGGCAGTCTTCAATTATGAGAGGCCTGGTTTTATGACTGAAGCTATATTCCCGAAGCATTAGTAATAGACTAAGACCTACTAGGTTGGCCAGTAGAACCCTGCACTGTTTCTTTCTTGGGCTCCGCTATTAAAACCAAATAGGATGGACAAACGGAACCCAAATTGTTATGGGGTCACTGGGGAACCTAGATGTCTACTGCTGTGGTGTCAGGTTCATGGGCTTTGGGCCAAGAGAGACACCCAACATCATTTGGTCAAGGCATATACCCTTTTTATGGCATATACCTCCTCAATTAAGAGGTGCAAAACCGGATTAAAGCCCCTAGAGGCGAATGTCTCGACGTGCTGAGCGGAAGCAGGCCGGTGCATGCACCGCTGCGAAGCGCGGAAGTCAGAGCCTCACCTCAGGCTGCCCGAGCGTACAAATCCGCGCGGGTACAGCTGAAGAAAGCTGGGCGCTGGAACGATTTGAAGGCGCAATGGCAATATCTAATGCTCCACAGTCAGAGCCTTTCGTGCTGCGGGAGGCTATCGTGACAGGAGCCCCGAAAGGAAGCAGAATTTAAGGTATATTGTTTATCTGGGGGCTTTCTGGGAACTGGAACCCATAAGAAGAAGACTCCGTCTCAGGTCTTCGGGTGGGGCTCTAATCTGATCCGGAACCTCAGTTTAAGACTTGAGGTTTGGGGTTTAGGAATTAGGATTTAGGGCTTGGACCTGCGCAACCCCAAACCCTCAAACCCTAAGCGCTAAACCCTAAACCCCAAAAACACTCAAATCCTGAGACACATTGCTGGCAGGGAATCTGGTCTCGTTTCAACCCTTGGCCGGCGATGGGGGCAGCGCTGCTTGGCCCGTACCGTGTAGGAAGGGTTTTGGATTCAGGGGCTTAGGGTTCAGGGCGTGGGTATGGAGGCCCTGCATGCTAAATTCTAAACCTAAACCCTAAGACCATCTAAGACCCCTAAACCCTGATCCCTAAACTCTAAACCTAAGCCCTAAGACCCCTAAATTCTAAACCTAAACCCTAAAAGCCCTATACCTCAAGGGTTTATGCTTTAGGGGTGGTTATGGTTCAGGGTTTATCATCTTCGGTCCGGAGGACCCTCCCCCAGACCCTTGCTTTATAGGATCCTTAAGGGAGGGTGGTCCAAGGGGGGAGGGTATAAGGAATCCTTAGGGGACTGTCAGGGAACCTTAGGGAGTACTAGGGAGAATTGGGGATCACTAGGCTATATACCCCCCTTGGACCCCCCTCCCTTAAGGATACTATAATTGCTGGGTTCTTTCTTGTTACAGAATCCGTTTCAGGTTACCATACAAAGGGTCTGTACGGTTGATGATGTAAATCCTGCAGTACCTTAAGGGCCCTGAACTTTGGGAATTATGGTATATTCCTTATTATGGGTAATGCAGGGTTTATATCATCAACCGTAGTATACTATACTGCTTTCACATTATGGTAACTTGCATTATGTTACTTCACCCGGACCCAGACCCTTGAAAGGAGAGACTTGGAATGGTAGAAGTTTGACAACGGCATCCTAATATTGTAGGGTTTACTTATGGTTTCAGGGGACCTGGTAAGAAGGGGGTCACAAATGGTGATATACGTCCCCTTAGTCGGGTTAGTGTAAGTATGCGTTCTAACCCGTACCTACAAGTTACTGACTAAGCCCCTTTCAGCCTTCAAGTAGGGTTTGGGGTTTAGGGTATGGTCTCAGATTCAGCCTTTCTCAAGGAATGCTTTCTGTGGGTTCAGGACTAGGAAACTGCCCTCAAGCTCTTGAATTGAACCCTTACCCCTAAACCTTAAACGGGCTTCGGACACGCTCAAAACAAACTGAACCTCAGGATATGGGGAAGCTACTCCGTGCTCATCTTCGGAGATCGCAAGGATGGCAGAGTCCAGGTTAGAGGTTTTTTGGGGCAGCTTGGTCTAGGGTTTTGCGAATTCTGGAACTCAACCCTTGACCCTAGACCCTTTACCCTCAACGTCTAAAGCGCTGTCTCTCCGAAAAACGACACCAAGCGTCTCTGGAGTTCCGATCCCAAGCTTCACTGCATTCCTGCTTGGCTATGGTTTCGGGTCTGCGGTTCAGGGTTAGGGGTCTGCTGGACTGTGCGGATGTAGTATATGTGCCTTCATAATTAGCATAGGATTTCGCGGTATATGACTAGGTAGGGCTTTGGGACATTTTGTGTTTGCTCTTATTGGGCTTAAGAGGATCTGACCTACTAATGTTTTTCGAAGGCTTTAAAAGCACCCCCTAGATGAGAATATAATGGTAATTACCAGGGATCGCAAAGAACATGTATTTATATTTACTTGTCCAGGCTTCTATACTGAACGAGCTAAGGGAGGGGGTTTACGTGTCTCGGGTTGGGATCTTCTGAGGTTTTCCATGAAGCCAAGCTCCAAAACTGCCTGGAGCCTAAATTTGAAACCTCCAGGGTGCAGGGTTTAGGGGTTTAGGGTTTGGGGTTCACCCTAAATCACCCAAAACCCTAAGCCTAAACGCGAAACCCTGCGTAGTATGCCGGGGCTTCCGCCACACTCGGAGGACCCCAATGGTGCTTTCAAGAGCAGCAGCGTCTACATCGGGATACCGCAGTATCCGCACCCCTTCTTCAGGTTTATGACGACAGTTGGATGTTCTGAAGTCGGTCTTTGTGATGCGTCGTAAGGGTGAAACAGGATGCGAGTGGATGTTTCGTAGGTTTCAAGGTTTGCATTTCGGCATCTTGGGCTTGGTAGGTTGGTATTTTTTGATGCTACGTTCCTGAGTAATTAGTACCCTTTTGCCCTTTCGTATTTTGGGGTCCCCTTTTTGAAACCGAATAGGAGGAGAAAGGATGCCCTCATTATTACGAGGCTACTCAGGAACCTAGGATGCGCAGGGGTTGTTTCAACATTTCAGCCCTAAGTCAGGCAGCCTAATTAGGACGGATAACCAACAGGCTCGGATAGGTGCAGGTTTTGGCGGGGTCTGGGGCCGGGTGGGTCCAAGCTACTAAAGGAGTAAGGTTTTTAAGGATGAAACTCTAAGTATTTGAGGGTTTTGGTAAACTTATCAGGAGATATTAGCGTTTCTATGGCTTGGATTTGCGTAGTGTTTTATGGCAGGCGTGAAAGTATCATTTAAACTGTTGGATTGAGGCCGTTCGGACGATTGCCGGTTTGGGGTAGTCTGTAGGTTTTTGTATGAAAAGCTAGAAATACAAGGGCGTTCGTGGCCGTTCGTCGTTGGCTTCCTCGGGGCCGTTCGGCGACATCACCGCCATCCTGGCCTTCACAGGTGGCCCTGGCGAGTTTGGGTTTTTAGGCTGCATTCTGCTTGCACACAGGAGGGCATTTGCAGTCTGAGTTGGACATGCACAGCACATGACATCATGAGCGATTCTTACAGCAGCATCCCGGGCTGAAGTTCTGAGGATTTTCACAGTTCACATTTCACAGATTTCGCAGATTTCACAGATTTCGCAGATTTCGCAGCTTCTGATTTTAGGTTTCAGGGTTCGTCATTCGGCGTTCATCATTCGCCGTTCGGGTCATTAGCCGTTCGGGGTATTCGCCGTTCGGGTCGTCATCCGTTCGGGGTCTTCGCCGTTCGGGGTTGCTGGATTTTCCCTTGGTCTTTCGAGACCGTTCCTTGCGGCACAATGGCCGGGCGTCGTGGACCTCGCAGCTCGACATCTGCGACGGACGATCTCAACTACCAGACTCTCGAGGGGAACATCGACGAGGGGACGTTCTGGGACGGTCCTCTTCTGGTGGCCTATGGGATCGAAGAGATGTACAACACGACCGGCCGGAACAATGCCGTTCGTGTTTAGGCTCATTAATAAAATGCTTCGCATTTGCAGGAGTCTTCACATGTTTGTTTGCAGTGCCAAGCACACTCAGGTCAGAAGGGCCACTCGTGTATGCCGGCCTGGTTGAAAAGGCGGTGGTATGAGGTCAACGGAACACAGGTGTCCATCGACATTCGTGGGATGTGGCCCAGCGATACCCAAGCACGGGCGGAGGGTGTCGAAGGACGGGTCGTAGTAGTAGTCGTGAGTGACTGTCGCAAACTATTGTAGTTAACAGTTTTTTTCGGGGTTTCTTATCCTGCGAGGCAACCCGTTGACGACGTTCGCGGTGTTCGAGGGGCCGTACAACCAGACGGAGTTCGCACCTTGCTTCCGGGTTCTCGCGAAGATGCTTCAGGCCATGAAGGAGATCGAAGGACGTTCGGTTTTGGCCGTTTGCTGTTGCTGGATGCACTTAGTAATAAGGTTCTGCAGCCAAGTTTGTGGTGTGATCTTCGGGTGATTGCTTGTATCCGAGGTTCGCATGGACGGGTCCGGTCGGCCAGTCTCGTGGTGGGCCTCTCGGCCCTCTATGGCGTCCCCCTTTGGCTGCCGTCGTTCGGCGACGTGTCGAACGAGTGGTGGGCCATCGGGAGTCTGCCGGAGACGGTCGTCACTCAGCTCCGTATCTATGCGAGCGATCGTGTGGCCGCTCCTCAGACACCGCCTGGACCGCCGCCGGGGGCGGCCGGGCCGCCCGATCCCGCGAATGCGGCCGCTCCTGGTCGTCCGCAATATCGCGGGACGTTCGGGGCGGCCGAGGCACAGATTGCCATGCCCGCCACGGGCAACGAGATTTTGGATGCCGTGCCTTGGCTCAATAATAATTAATTAAGCGTTCGGTCCGTTCGTGCATCCTGTTCTCACTTAGGTTCGGTACGACATCTGGAAAGTGGCACCGGCCGTTCTCCTGGAGCTGGACGAACTGCAGCTCGATGAGAAGGCCGTTCGTGTCGCTCGGCTTTTTAATAATTCGCATGGGCTGTGTCGTTCATTGTCCGAGCACAATCAATTCACAATATCCAAGGCGGTCGGGAACATCGCCGGCCATGGGGAGGACGGTGCGAAGTTCGTCCGGGAGATTTTCCAAATCCTCCAGCGTGACTTGGTTGGCTAATAATGGGTTGGATTCGAACCATTCAGATGAAAAGTTTCTGAAATAACTGAGGCGAGAACCAGGCGGACCTTCGGACCTATGCCAATCCATCGGCGGCCATAACCTCGGCCGTTCGAAAGGAGCTCGACCGCCTTCGCCCCGAGATCCCTGGTCTTCCGGGTCGCTTCGGCTTTGAGTTTCTACTTTTAACTTGACTTGTGTCGTTCGTGCTGCTTTGCAATGCACCTTGCATTTACCTGATAGCTGAGGCAGCAGCAGACAGCAGGGAAAAGGAAAAGGCCGGCAGCATTACGACGATTTCGACGTTCGCCGTCACTCCCTTGAAGTTAAACAGTCACATGACATAGGCATTGCTGTTGTCTGCGTTTCGCGATCGAGTACAGTGACTGAGGCGGGGAGCAGCCGGACTTTCGCGGCGGCTATGACGATCGCGATCGGGATGGCGGCGGCCGCCGTGACTACTACGACCGGGACCGGGACTACCGGGATCGGCGTGAGGACGATCGGGACTTCCGGGATCGCCGTGACTTTCGCCGTGACGATCGTCGCGGTCCCAGTCCGGACGATCGCCGTGGACCCTGGAGCGACTATCGTGGCCCTGACGATCGTGATCGCGGCCGCTTCGACGATCGTGATCGCCTTTCGGATCCAGGGCATCCAGGTCGGCCGGCTCCTCGTTGGATGTCCGATGCCGAGGTGCCTTGGCTGCAGAAGCTATTGCGATTGGCTGCGTGTATTTCAATCTGGGTGAGTCAATGCTCAGGACCGTCGCCGTCGCCGGTACGATTACTACTAGGTCGTTCGTGGTGCCTTGGCTCTTTAAAGCGTCCTTCGAAACCGTTGTTTGTGTGTCGAGGACTGACACTGCAAAGCCTAAGGACGGCCGCTTTTGATTTTGGGAGGAGCCAGGACACGGCCACTCGCATCGGCCGTGAAACTGGTCCTCGAAGCCGTTTTGTGTGCCACGGCACACCTGTAGCTTCACTCTGAGGGGAAGATGAAAAAAGGGGTCTCATGTGCATTGCCCTTTGCTTTGCCACTCTTGTTACACTTGGCCGAGATTGAGATTTTTGCTCGTGCCAGGTCGTGGGGCGTTCGGAATGAGGAGGCCAGCAGCTTTGCCGGGTTTGGGTTTATTGTTTGGTGGTGTGGGTTGTCTCTGTTCTTTGGACTCTAACATAAGGAATGGGTGTTGGGTCTGTGCGGGGTTTGGGGTTGGTGAGTCGTTACATCTACATGCAAGCAAGATTGATTGCTTATCGGGTTGGGGTTGTAATCTGATATGTTCTTGGTCGTTCGAAGTTGGGTGATTCTGCAATCAAAGTATTGTGGGGTGTCTTTTGGCGTACTACTCCTTAAAGCTAAAGCCTGGAGGGAACAAGAGCAGCAGGTCCCACAGCCCCCAAAAAAATCAGACTTCAAACCTCGAGCCCTGAAAACACCCAATATTGGCATACTGTAGGGGTTCCTTAGGTATTGTGAACAACACATCCAGAACTCCCAAACGGTCTCTCGGCAGGTGTGGTCATCGTGGTCATCGCAATCGCGAGGTTGGGTCGCGTGGTCCTTCGACAATTAATAAAACAATTACTTACAAACAGCAGTCTTACTTAGTACATTAAGCATTACTGATAACAACAATAACAAATAATAATGGGAGCAGTCGCGGGGTTTATTAAGTAAACCACAAATCACAAAAGGACACTGGCAGGCACAATAATTATGCTAACAATTTTAGACACAGGATAGTATGATATTGATAACAACACCAATAACTAATTGGTTGAATGATTAAATATGAAACATAAGCCCAACGTCGTTCGAGTCGTTCGAGCAATAACAGAATTGTGCAAGCATACCTGGCATACCCTCCTGACACACGATTCGTAGCTCTGGCTACTCAGCCCTAAAACCCAAACGACATCCTGCAACCTGACCCCTACACCCTCGCATCCCCCTCCCGAAACTTCAGGCTGTAGTTTCGCAACCTTATCTAAGCCCGAAGTGAATCTTCCTAACTCCGATTGCAAATGATCCTTCCATTACTAGTTTATGTCATCCTGCTGTTGTTATCAAAACCCAAACGATTCTTGCGAGGCCTCTGCAATGTAACTTGTGGCAGCATAGGGCAGGGTTCTGGTTTGCGGGGTGATGATTAGATTATGGCATTGCAGTATCGTGGACATAGACCAACAGCACGTGTAGTCGCACTGCAGCGGTAGGAGTATAGCAGTTCACAATGCATTTCAGGAACCTCGGCCTTTATCTTATCAAGGGCAGCCTGTGAGACAGCTCCTGTAGCAAGCCATCCTCCTTTGCGTCCGTGGTCGTTCGTCGTCCTTTGTTCGGAGTCATCATGGCCCCTCGTCGTGATGCAGCCTCGAGAAAGGCCAGTGTCAAGAAGCGGCAGGCCGACAAACTAGCCGCTCGCCGGGCGGCCAAAGAAAGCAAGCTCCAGAAGAAGGCCGAGAAAACGTTCGCGAAGTCGGTGGCGACGTACCAGCAGGGGTCGTTCGAGAGAGTCCGGGCATTCGTCGATCAGCAGCTCGACGACAATCCGGCCTGGATCAGGCCACTCGCCGACCTCATGCGGGACGGGGCGATCAAGGCCATCCTCAAGATGGGGTCGCCCGACTCCGCTCAGGCGGCCGGGGCGGGCGGCAAGGCGGTCGAGAAGTGGCAGGGCAGGGCCAAGACTTGGGGCGAGTTGCCCATCGATGCCGTCCTTCGCATGCTCGGCTGCGTCGGCGTCGACATCAATGAGCCTAAGGTGGATGATGGGACGATCGACGAGCAGACCATCCGGGCGTTCTTCGAGGTGCAATTCTTCGTGGACGGCGGGGTCAACTTGCCGGCCGGCTGCCGTGCGTATGAGACCTTGGAGGCAATGGCCAGGCAGCGGTTCGAGAACCTGAATCTGAAGATCGTGCAGCCGAAGCTCGAGGCCTCCGGGACGTTGGAGTGCTTCGCCTTGGCCGAGAACGGCGAGATGTGTTGCATGCACAGCGATTCCACGGCCACCTTGCCAGGTCTTTCGGGTGACGACAAGTGGGTCCTCTCGGATGCGAGCTCGCCGTCGTGCGTAGTTTACTCGGAGTCCAACCCCTCGGTCTCCTTCTCGTGCCGGTCGCTCTTCGACGAAGTTCGCGGCCTTGACCCGGCAGCCAAGTGGACTGTCAGCAAGAAGGACAGCTGAGGATGCACCTAGGTCTCACGGCTAGGGCTAGGTCTTACTTGGGTTTCTCGGCATGGTCTCACACGTAGCTCTTGTGTCGTTCGTGCAACACGGTTGCATAGTTTTGGCATGGGGTGCCGCTCGACAATGACAGGGGTTTCTGGCTTGAAAAGGACGGCATTGCACCCTTTGGCGAGTTGGAGTGCGTTTCAGCTATTTTCAGGTGCGTTTCAGGTGTTTTTCAGCTTTTTCTCGAGTATTTCTTAACCTTTTAGTATGGGGCTGCCATTAAGCGGGTTTTGTGTGCAAAGTCAGGGTTTGGAAACCTTTAGGGGCTTCGAGTGCGTTTCAGCTTTTTGGAGGTGCGTTTCAGGTGCTTTTCAGCTTTTTTGTGGGGTTTTGGCTAGGTCTTCTTGGGCTGCTTCTCTTCGGGTGTCAAAGTAGCTCTTTTGACTGCTCACGGCAGGCCTCGCTGAACGAAGACCCGGCGGCGTGGTCCTCGGTGCCGTGGCCACGTGCTGCCAGCTGCTTTGTTCTGCCAGTGCCAGAGACTTTCTTCTAGAGTTTAGCAGGGCAGCTGTGAGTCGCCGTCGTCCTTCGGCACGTGAGGTTTTGAAAAGGCCCCAAGCAGGAGGAAGCAGAATGCAGCACAAAGTTCAAAGCAGAGTGACAAGCAACAGCACACGGTAGTCAGCATTCGTTTAAGTCCTTTTGAGACTAGGGGCTTTCCGAGCGAACATGGCAGCCGCCGTTCCAGAACGAACGGTGCGTGCCGTCGTTCTGCCGTGCGGAGCAAAGGGCACCTTCAAAGGAGAAGTGTACGAACACACCGCTCGGGTCCAAGCGGACGACGGTCGTTCGACACCGGGCTTCTTCTTTTGGATCTTTCGCTGGATGGTGGACTTTCTCGGAGGGACACCTAGCCACAACTTTGCTGGAAGGAGTCGGGATGCCATCGTCGGTCGGGCGGCGGCCGTGTTGGCGGACGGTTTGTCGTCGTCCGAGACCGAGCAGGACGACGAGCAGGAGAAGGACGAGCAGGAGGACTCGCAGGAGGCAGTTCTGCCGTCTGCGGAGGATCACGTCAGCAAGAGCAGTACGATGACGAAGCACGAGCGGATCCACAAGAGAAAGGCCAAGAGCAAGCAGGTCAAAGAGGAGCCGGCCGAGCCGGGCGTGGTGAAAGAGGAGCCGGACGGGGAGGGCGATAGGCCAGAGGAGGATGATGAGGAGGACGACGACGAGCTAGTGCGAAAGGGCGACTTCTGCCTTTCGTCCTTCGCTTGCATATGCTGGTTGGCTCAGCTGATGGCCAAAGGCCCCAGAGCCAATTCCAAATGGAATTTGGAACCCGCCGAAGTTCGTTCCCGTGCCGAGGCACTGCTGGAAGGAATGCGGGATTCGTTTTGGCAGGACGTTCGAGGTCGTTCGATTGAGGTTGTGCAAGGCCAGCTGGCCGTCGACAAACTCGCGACGGAGTTCGGTCAGGTCGCCGGGAAAATTTTTGGGAAAAAAAAAGTTGTGCCAGTCGTTGAGGCCTTGCGGGTTTTGCAGGCCGACAGCGTGCGACGTTCGCTGAGCCAGGACCGTCGACGGCTGGCCGAAAAGATCTTCAGCCGTTTGGTGGCGAGACTTGCCGAGGCCATCGATGCTTCGAAAGGCAAGACTGTCTGGATGGCCAACCGTGTTGAGTCGCTCGAGCAGTTGAGGACTGAGGGCCCTGAATCTGAACTTTAAAGCGTGCCATAATTTTTCGCTAGGCCCAAGGTTTAGGTTAAGTGCGAAACCTTTGTAAAGTAACCCTAAACACCTTTTCTTTAAGCCTACACTTGCAGGACAGCTCGCGGCTACCGGAAGGTCTCGCACGGCTGTCAAGAGGCCGTTCTGCAGGCAGGGTCGGCAGCCGGGCCGTCCATTGCAGCTGCTCTACAGTCTCAGAAACACTTGACGTCGTCCGTCGAGGAGAAGACTACCCGGAACCGGGACAAGCCAGGCAAGTTTTTGGAGTCAGAGCGACTCTCGTACTGCAGCAGCGGACAGTCGACGTTCTCGTCGACTACCGTCCTCAGCGTGGTCGCGGATGCCGTTCACGTCGGCGACGACGACTGGTTGAACGTCTTCGTGTGCGATCCTGGCTGCGACGTGTCGTTCTTTTGCCCGCCACAGGCTGGTTTGTTTTGGGCGGTTTCAACTTCAGTAGGCAGCTTGAGAGTATTTTATGGTTTTGAAACATTATTTAAGAGGTGGATAAGGAGGTTTCTGCTGAGCGACACCGGCCCCCCAGAGCCCCAAATCGGCATCGATTTTGGTCCGGAAAAAACCATACGGCTATCCGTCCTTTCGGCCGGTCTGCGGCTATCCGTCCTTTGGGTTTTCATACACCAAACACGCCTTCCAAAAACCATACACCTATCCGTCCTTATTTCGCTCGCCGGGGGACCCGGGATAACCCAAAAGCTCCCTCGGCTGCCTTCTATCTGTATGACAGCCTACTCCAGGCAAAACCATACACCAAAGCGTCCTTTCGAAAACCATACGGCTATCCGTCCTTTCGGCCGTCGCCGCCAAAACCATACGTCTATCCGTCCCTTGTTTTTCGGGCGCAAAATGGCGCATTTTTGGACCATTTTTGAACCATTTTTTGGACCATTTTGGGACCATTTTGGGACCACTTTTGGGACCCCCAGAACGGCCTTCCAGGGGCTCCAAAATAGCGAACTCCAGGCAGCCGAGTTAAGCGTAGTTTTAGGTCTGCTTTGCGTGATACTAATTTTTGGGAAGAAGAATCGCAGCCTCCTCGGCGATGGTTTTTGTTTTGCTTAGGAAGGCTTGTTGGTTTTGAGATAGTGTGCTTCGGTGTTTGTGTTTGAAGGTTTAGGGTTTAGAGCAGTTTTCTTCGCTAAGGGTGGTTCGTCTGTCAGTGCTGAGCTAATCGGGTTTAGGGTGTATAATAATAGGGTTTTAGGTGTATCATAGGGTTTAGGGGCTCGAAGCTACATCGGATAAGTCACCCTGTGACAGGTGAAGAAGGGAACCTGCCTCACGGCCGAGAACTTCGTGGACATGTGGCAGGGCCGCATCACGAAATTTTTCCAAAAGGCCGGCACCAAAGGTCGTTCGGCAGGCAAGAGCACAGGCGGAGTTCGGGAACCGGAGCGACAGGCCACTCAGGAGTGGCTGCGGGACGTTTCGCACAGCCTCTCGGCCGTCGGCTGGAGTTGGTCCTCGTGTGGTCCCTCGGCCGACAGTGCCAAGAGGCCCAACGTGATCGTGCTCTGCACCGATCAGGAAGCGACACAGTTGGCGGCCGTGAACTATCTCAAGTTTGGTCGCTCGCTGTTCGTGGAGTTCGTCAACGACCCCGCCCACAGGAGCCATAACGACGTTCATCTCGCTATGGCGTCGGCGGGACTGTTGACATTCGCCCTCGTCTCGCTCGGCCTCTACAACGTTCGGTACGGGCCGTGGAACAAAGGAACCTGGTTCGGCAAGGTCCAGAGCATGGCCGACGAAATGAGCCTTTCCATGTCGCCCTCCGACCCGCTCCTTTTGACGTTCTTCCCGGACATCCTGGCCGATGAGGGTCGTTCGCAGGAGGAGAACACGGAGGAGAATCGGCGGCTTTTTTTGGAGGGCCTGCCGAACAGGTCGTTCGTTCGGTCCAAGGGAAGCAAGGCCTCGCACTCTCGCTTCAACAGCTTGTCCATCGCCCATTCGGAATTGGACAGGGACTGGTCGTCGTTCTGTTTGGTTTTGGCCGCTCTGTGCATCGCCGAAGGCTGGACGACGAGTGCCTCGGCACTCTGGGCTCCCGGAGCCGGCAAGGTGCAGGAGGCCAGCAGTGGAAGCAGGTCAGCTGCGAAGGCGGCCGCTCGCAAAACGATGCAGCAACAGCGAAGCAGTTCGGTGAACACACTACACGGCATGACGTCCTTCGCATGCAGCCCTGACAACCGATCGCTGGCGAGAACGATTTTTTTCGTGCTGCAACCCGAAGGCGTTCGCTGCAGCAAAATGCTCGAGGAGCTCAGGTCTTTCGATGCAACCGTGTCCACGTATGCCGCTTGGGCCCACTGGGGCTACGTGGAGACCGCTCGAGAGCACTTGGTTCGTCTCTCGGACCTGGCTGCCTTGCAGCGACTGGGCTTGAACATGGCCATGGACCATGACGACGATTGCGACGAAGCCGCCCTCGTCTACCAGGACACTCTGGCTCGACGGGTCGTGAAGCTCACCGTTCGCCTGCTTCGCTTCCGGTGCGGCTCACAGCTGCCGAGCACGAATGGTTGGGGTGCTACCGCTGGGCTCCTCCACGACAGCACGGCCTCTCGCCAGGCCAGTCTCCAGTTTTTGAAGGCGGTGGACGTGACTGTGAAGGCCGTACAGGAGACCGGGTCTCTCGATGCCAAGACAATGCTCGAGGGCCATCCGGCCACAGGGCCTGTCATGGGCATGGTGTTGGCCGAGCTGCGTGCGGCGTCCTTCGTCGAGGTCCCGCCTGGGACGTTCGACTTTCTGCGGCGTTGCTGGGGCGGCCTCTTGAATTCGAAGTTGGTCGAAGATGCCAACAAAGTGCAGCGTGAGGCAGAACAGAGAAACGGGACTGCCAAGACTCTCGGCCGCCTGGAAGGGTGGCATGGCCTCTCGAGGAAGAGGCTCTTCAAGGATTACGGCCGTTCGGAAGTGCCCAACGGCACCCTGGTCACCCTTCCCACATCGTTCGATGCCGATGCCTGGTTCGTTCGCAAAAAGAGGCGAACGACAAGCGGGTCAATCGCCACTGGGTCTGCCAGCAGCTCGCAGCCCGCCGTGGCGGAGGAGACTGCAGAGGAGGCCGTTTGCACAGGGGTCAGCCAGGTTGTATTTGGGCGTCCCACACTCCCGACTCTGAGCAGGACAAGCTCGCTGGCTTCTCGTTGTTGGCGAAGGTGGTTCGGGAGTCGAAGGACTGGTCCTTCGTCGAGAAAGGATGGTGGTCTTCTCTGGTCCCAGAGGGGCACGGCCTCGCGTACAAGCGAGCGGCCTTGGTGTGGCCGGCCACTTTGGACAAGGGTCCTTCGGGCGTTGAGAGACTCGTGCTCGACACAACTGCGGCCTCTCTGTGCTGGGTGCACGTGTTCGACGAGAACGTCGAGGTTCTCGATCTCGTGGCCACGTCGCCACAGCGTGTCCTGGCTGCGTCTTTTTAAGGGTATTGTTATTGTTTCGATAGCTAATTTATATCTACTTGAAAAATGTTTGTTCCTAAGGGTCCTGGTCTAAGAATGTTTGTTCATAAGGGCGGTCACAGGTGCAGGAGTATCAGCGGGTGGGCCTTTGTGACTTAGTGCGTTTCAGCTTTTTTGAGGTGCGTTTCAGGTGCTTTTCAGCTTTTTTCCATGCTTTTTGCTGTTGTTTACTCTAATCCCAAGCATAAGGTGCCCAAAAGACATTCTGCTGCCTCTGAGTGAAGGTCACAAGCTTTACTGGCTCTACTGAAACACCGAACTGTAACGTTGAACAGGCGGAACCCTAAGTTTCAACTCGGGAAGCTCCTGTTGTGGCCGAGGCTTGCGGTCTCTCGGCGAGACCAGGCCTCTGGGAGTGGCCTTTCGTGTGCAGGCCCGGCACTCGTTGCTCCGCCACCACGAGCTGCACGGGTTCGCGGGAGTGCCAGAGTGGTCTCTGCGGAAGCTTGCACAGGCCAAAAAGTGGCCGGTCTCGGTCCAGGAGGCAGGACACGAGGAAGACGACCGCCTAGCGATAGTTTGTTTGCTGTCGCTCGACCCTTCGTTGGTCAAGGAAGAAGTGGTCGGCCGCTTGCTGAGCCGCCAAGAGGCCGCTCCCTGGTCGATCGACACGGGCATCGACTTGGAGGAGCTCGTGCGGGACACCATGCTGGCCGCAGATCAGGAGCAGGCGCTCAAGCATCTGGCGAACAAAAAGGCCGGTCAGGCGTCGGCCAAGGACGTGCGGAAGAGGGCCTCTCACACCTACGAGCACGTGGCCAAAACGTTCGCTGGTCGGCCGGAGTACAAGAAGTTCCAGGCCCAGCGAAAGGAGAAGGAGAAGAAGGCCGTTCAGGAGCAGAAAGCACGGGCGGCCGAGGCGAAGAGGGTCTACGACGACGTGAACGTGGACGTCGACCGGGTCCTCAAGGCTGCCGTGCCGCCGGGCGTTCGTGTGTACACCGACGACCGGAACGGCCGATGGAGCCTCACGTACAGCACGGCCTGGGCCTTCGCCACCAGAAGCATTTCCTGGACTCAGGTCGGCAGCAAGCCGGCCGGGCGGGCTGCGGTTGAGCAAAGCTGGGACTGGGCGGAGACGTTCGCGGGCCTCGCCATGTCGGACGAGGCCGCAACGATCCTGAAGAAGTTGTCGGCCTGAGTGCTCCTGGTCGTTCCTGGAAGCTTTCACGGTGGACGTCCCTTCTTTTGCTGGAAGTTCGGAAGCAGTCACTCGAACGAGCTCCGTGCTTCGAAAAGGTTGCAGCTGCAGACCACCAGTTTCAGTGCATAAGCAGCTTTCGTTTGAGCACTGTGCTTTCGAACTCAATAGCAGAACCTGTCGCCTTGCTTCGCCCAGGTCAACAGCAGGCCGTCTTCAAGCTCGTCCTCCAGCGTCGGCGTGAAGCAGGCTCCTATACGGCATGATTGGTCTGCAGTGCAGTGCCGGTGATGCGTAGTCTTCCTGCTGTTGGGCTGTGCACTTGAGAAGACTCCACTCTGTGGCTTAGAGCGATGCACAAGCTAGCGATCCCTTTGTAGGTAGTCTGGTTTCCTCGTGCGACTAGAGGAGATGAAGCAGTCAGGTCGTGCTGGTGGTACTAGCAGTGGTGCAGTAGTCGCAGGAGTCTTGCTAGTGCTACTAGTATCTGTAGAGGTCCAAGTCCCAGTCATCTTGATTTTACTACTAGTCCTGGAGTCCTCCTCGCACCCGAAGTTTTCGCAGTAGACGTCACAGTAATAGTCCTTGTCCTGCTGTCGCGTTCCTCCTGGGTCGTTCGTCCTTCGTGCTTAGTCGTTCGTCGCCGTCGCAGTCGCCATGCCCCGGCCATCCTTGACGGAGACGGGAGGCGTTCGGAGAGCCAGTGCCTGGAGTCTCTTCAACTCCTGGGTCTCTCGCGAAGGTCTGTCAGAAAAACAGGCGGCCCGGTTTCGCATCCGTGGCAAGCGGATGCTGCGGACGGCATCCGCCATGAAGGTCAAGTGGCTGCTCGGACCTGTATTTTTTAGCTTTGAGGAAAGTAGAAGACATGGCTTCCCTAATTTAAGTTATAAGTCTTTTGGGAATTTATTCTCCCTTGCCCAGAACAGCAAAGCCTTCAGACGTGACCCCGAAGGCCTTACTCACTAAAGGGTTGTCATACTGTAATAGTAAATACTGTGAAGTCGTAGCCCTAAACGTCAACCCATCCTTGAATACCCTTTCTAAGCCTGGAGGTGCGTTTCAGCTTTTTTGAGGTGCGTTTCAGGTGCTTTTCAGCTTTTTTCCAAGGTTTTTGATTGTTTTTTTCCTTTCAGGTCCGGTTTTGGAATAATTCACATTTTCATGTCAGCGGAACCCCGAATGCCAGCAATACTAGAGCATTCCAATCACTGTAACTAAGTTGAAGTCGCAGCCCTAAACCTGGAACCCATCCCTAATTACGGGGCTTGTAGGCTTGTAGGTGCGTTTTTGAGGTGCTTTGCTTTAGGTTTTTAGAGTTTTGTTTCAGGGCCTGCAAAACAGAAGCTGTGCTGCACTGAGGAACCACAAGAAGAGCAAGGACATTCGCGAGCAGTTCGGGGCGATGGCAAAGGCGGCCTACGAGGACAACCGCCAAAGGGCAGAGGCTTTCAAGACTGCCCGGAGCAAAGACTCTGTCTTGTTCGACGAACAGCAGGTGGATCGTGCCCAAGACGAGGATGCGGAGGCCATAGCCGTTCGAGTGCAGGAGGACATCGAGGCCGATTGTGCTAGGAGGGACGTTCTCGAGGACTCCTGGACCTGGACGTTGGGCGTGCCTTTTCGCGACTTGGTCGAGGTGGGCAGTGGGGTCGACGGACAGGTCTTTCGGGCCTCGTTCCAAGGACAGTCGTTGGCCTTGAAGCTGGCCAAGGGTCGCGGGCTGCAGGACCCGATGCAGCGGGCGGCCGCAGGTGGCCTCGACGTCGCGGAGGAGTTCGCCGTTCTCGGGGCGCTTGGCCAGCACCCGAACGTCGTTCGAGCCTTCGCCGTTCTCAGCAGTTCGCTCGGAAGGCCAGCTCTGGTCCTCGAGTGGGCAACGGAGAGCCTGCAGCAAATGGCTCGCAGGCTGAAGGACGACCGCCTGGAGACCTCGCCGGCCGGGCGAAGGTCGCTGCTCAACCTCTTTCAGCAGTTCGTTGTCGGCCTCTCCTACGTGCACAGCCGCTCGTTCCTGCATTTGGACGTCAAGCCCACGAACATCCTGGTCTTCGATGGCGTTCGTGCAGCAGTTGCAAATTTCGGCCACTCGGAGCACGTTTCGGACACTGGCTGCACGGTGATCGGCAATCGGGTCTACACCGAGGCCTTTCGCTGTGCGGAGTGCCTCATGGCGGCCGATCGGAAGGCCGGATTTCTAAAACCTATAAGCTAAACCTAATAGGACCCTTTAACCCGTAGTAGCGGTAGCAAGTGTGCAGGAGTTTTGGTCTCAAGTGTGACTTTTGTTTGGTGAGTTTGTAAATGTACAGCAAGCAGTAACCTTTGCCTCTGTCGTTCTAATTCTGCACCGCCCTAGCAGCCCCAGCCTCGAAGACTCTACCCTGCCAGGTACGTGTGACGTTCGCCGGCGACGTTTGGGCGGCCGCTGTCTCGTTGTTCGAGATCTGTTGCCCCAAAAAGGCCTCGCTGTGGACAATCCCACCTGCGACGTTCCTCCGGGACACCGAGGAGCAGACGGCCAAGGCCATTCGGGAGATGGCCCTCGCTAAGAGCTCCAAGGTCATGCCGTACGATGAGGTCGTTTTGGAGGTCCTGAAGCAGACCTTCGTGCCGGCCAATCGACGGCTAGCTTTGCCAGGCCTGCTGAAGATCATCCAAAAAGCCGTTCGGTCAGCACGACCCCCGTGCCGTCTCGACTGAGACTGGCAGTTTTCAGCGAAGGCTCTCTTTAGGTTTGCCGCCAGGACCGCGGCCGGCCTTGCATCTCGCCCAGACCACGTCGTTCAGAGAAGCAGAAAAATTTGCAGCTCTTGCTCTCATGATGCAGTTGTTGGTTTTGTGTTGTAGGCCTGCACAGGACACCCAGCACATGTCTGCTACCTTCTCTCTTGCCCCCCCGCAACCCTGCCCGTTTTCGGCCGCAGCCTGTGCCAGGTGCTGGATCTTGCGGGCGATCGGCTACAGCGAGAAACGGCTTGGCGTTGCTTCGGCCGTTCGCGGAGATCGGGTTTGCCCTAACAGTCAAACCTAAATAACACGAACAACTCTAAACCCTGAAACCCCGACCCTACACTAGGCGTCATAAGTTCAAAAGCCTCAAGGAACCACCCGTTTTTCCCGAAACCTTCCCCCTAAACCCTCCTCAGGCCTAGAACCTTATTTGCTCATTAAATTCAATCTCAGACCACATCATTCAAAATAAACATATAGCAACCAGTTTTCTCGTGAAGTTCTGGTCTTCGCTCCGTTAATTCAAAAGACTAAACAGCTCCGAAACCACACTGGCGAGCAACATATTTTCCTATAAACTTGAGCACAAAAAGCGTGAAGGTAAGCTTTGCCGATTGGTCGGTTGTTTTGGATTAATGCCTGCCTTTTTTGAAGCATCCTAGATTTGGCTTGGATTGTCCAAACAGTTCGCATAATACTGCAAAAATCATACACCAGAGTATACAACAATACACTGGCGAAAAAGAGCTTGCGTGCTAATCTTCGCCAATCCTAGATTCAGTCGTTTTTGGAAAGCGTGGACGATTGAAAACATGCCTCACACTAGAAAATGTCATGACAAAACATGTTAAAAACACCCATGTGATATGAGCAAGAAATTTTCAGCAAGAATCATGGTTTCCCGACTAGCTTTTCATCGCGATGGTAGTCCGGCCGGCCAAGGCCAAAACCAGTCACCTATCCGAGCCAACGTTTGTCGGTCCTAATTAGGCCGCCCAACTAAGCTGCCTGAACCCTCGTATACATGGGTGGTTGTCAAAACTAGTGTCCTTTTTTGGGTCCTTAATATAGTACGGCACCTTATACTTAGCGTACCCAAAAAGGAAGGGGCCATAATTTTGACAACCACCCACATAGTAGTAGTGTGGGTAAACCTTCCTTGGGTATTATCAACCCGAGGTAATCTGGAAGGCTAAGCTTCAGTTTTGCTGGGATGTTGGACAAGTAAGTAATACTTCTCCGTCCCTGAAACGGACCTTTCTCTACGTTGCTGAGGCCCATCTATGAACCCTAGTCCCTAATCCCCACACCCTAAACCCCCTTCAATTTTAGGGTATAGTTTAGAAGCTGCCCCCACCCTGTAATAGTGGTATAATGGGAATATAATCGGGTCCTAATATAATCCTATATAATCCTTATGGTCACTATTACAGGGTGGGGGCCCCTTCTAAGGTATAGTGTTTAGGGCTTCCGGATGTTAAACCTCAAACCCTACGCTTGAAACCGCAAAGCCAGAACCTGTACTCCAATTGGCATGCAACTTACATACTACTTGTAACCTGAACGTCCCCCTAAACGCCAAAGCCCTTAAGCTCTACAGAGGCGTGTAAACAAGCACCCTAAAACTTACCTTGAGCCCCTGAAACATTCCAACAATATCGTGCTTCCAGGCACTGTGGGCCTGAGGAATACCGGCCACCGTTTAGCATGCAGAGGCACCCATGGCTGTTTAGTGTGAAGGGTATAGGGTTTCGAGAGAATGCAAGGCTCTTTTCATATGGGGGCCTGAATATTTCGAAGTGGTTTTGCGTTCATAATGTAGTTGGCTTATGCAGGGACTGCCAGGGGAAGAAGAGAGCCTAGACCCTAAACACAACGCACTAAACCCTAAACCTCAGACCTTCAGTGTGTTAGAGGGTGTGGGGTCCGTGTGGTTGAGATTAGAAGCAGAAGAGGTTTGGGGCGATTAGCGTTTAGGATTGTAGGGGTATGGTTTGCTGTTGAGTGTGTAGGGTTTAGAGTTCAGGATTTGTGTGTAGGGTTTAGGGTTCTGGATTTAGTGTTTAGGGTTTGGGATTGTTTGGTTCATTGCTGAACGATGCTGATAGTCTAGGCTTTGTGTTTCTCGTGATGGTGAGGATCATGATTACGTTGAAGATGACGACTCTGCTGGTTACTGCTGGTGATGGCTGCAATTTGCCGCTTTCTTATTCTTCAGTCATTTGCCACTCCTAAACCCTAAACCCCTTAACCTTTTTACAATCGTGTGGAGGACGACCCCTGCTCCCACGACTACGGCGACCACCAGCGCCGCCGTGACGTCGACCACAGGCTTGATTGGGACAACTGGATTTTAGGGTTACCTGGACCCTAAGGAACCTACCTTTCTAGGGTTCCTTAATATGATTTCTTTATATAGGCCCACAAGAGTAGGTTCCATGGGGTTAAGGTCAGAGTTTAGTGTTTGGGGTTTCGCGGCTGTCACTGGGTTTAAGGACGCACAAGTTTTTTGAAGTGCGCTTGGCTAACTTTTTTTTACATGGACGGGCAACGCCAGAATTCCGGGACTCTGTACTCTGATAGAACCGGAACCAGGACAGGAACCCAAACAACATAACCCTTGTGGTTAACTCTTATAGTAGCCCTTGCAGTAGCTCTCAACACGGACATATAATCGAACCCCATTACATATAACCATTTAGAGGATGCCTTTAAAGGAACCCTTTACAAGGACCCCCACTTAGAACTCGTTGTTTGAAGAGGACCCTCATAGAACCCTTGAAAGGATCCGAAGGGACCCCCTCGTAGAACTCGTACCCTGAACCCCAAACCTTGCACCCTAAACCCTAGATCCCAAACACTAAACGATAAACCCTGAACCCCAAGCCCTAAACCCCAAACCCTAAACCCGAACTGCTTCTAAACCCCTCTAAACCCCCCAAACTCCATAGTTCCTAAACCCTAACCCCTCTTAGAACCCAAAACCCTATCCCTATAGATCCTAGGACTTCGTGTGAATGGGAGTAAGCGAACTACGACATGAGAAAGGGTATGAAGATGAAGGACATGGACAAGATTAACACCAAGTTCCTTGTGTTCGAGATTAGCAAGTTGGACTTCTTGAGGATCAGGGAAAACATACCTTGGGGCAGACGCAACAAGGAGTTCCAAAAAACACCTGTAGATCCCTTCAAGGAACCCTTAAAGCAACCCTAAACCCCAACCCTATAGATCCCTTAAAGGAGCCCTTACGTTACAAGAACCCTAAACCCTAACCCTTTAGAACTCTTTAAGGAACCCTTCAAGGAACCCTAAACCCTAACCTCTTAGAACCCTTTAACTCTAAACCCAAACCCTTAAATCCCAAACCCTAATCCTAAACCTTAAACCCAAACCCTACACCCTAACCCCTAAACCCTAAACCCTAAACCCAAGCCCCTCTTAGAACCCTTTCGGGACTCAAAACCCTATCCCTATAGATCCCTTAAAGGAAGCCTTTAAGGAGCCCTAAAAGGAACCCTACACCCTAACCCCTCTTAGAACCCTTTTAAAACCCCTAGGACCCAGAGTAGGCCCTTATTCCCTTTTTAGGGTTTAGGTTCCCTTATAACCCCCTTTAAACCAAAAAGGGCACCCTTTTTATTCCTAGGTTACTCTTAGGTCCCCTACACCCTAAACCCTAAACCCTAAACCCTAAACCCTAAACCCTTTTAAAACCCCGAAGCCAGGGCCAGTGGGCCTCGAGTTTCTTCCCGTGGACGGCGGCGCGAACCGGGCCTGCCGGAACTACAGAAAGCAGCGCCTCGGTAGGGTTCCTTTAAAGGGGTTTAGGGGGTTTAGGGTTTAGGGTTTAAGGTTTGGGGTTTAGGGTTTAGGGTTTAAGGTTTAGGGTTTAGGGTTTAAGATTAGGGTTTAGGGTTTAGGGTTTAGGGATGGTCCCTTTTTGGATCCCTAATACAAGACGGCACCTAATATTTAGGGTACCTAAAAGGGACCCCATTTTTGACAACCACCCCTTTGTTACCGCAAAGCAGCCGTGGGCCAACCACGACAACGCCCACGCAGACTTTCGTGAAATCAGAGACACTTCGAATCTTAAACAAAACCCTGGACCTTGAACCCTAACATAACCCTAGACCCTTAAAGTCCTTTACAAAACCTTTAAAACCCATGAGAAAACAGCCCTGAACCTTGAGCCTCAGCGTATCAGCCTTAGCCTTCACGTCCTAGCAGCAGCACAACCTGCAAAGCCTGTGGACAAGAGCCTCAAACGCTGCCCAAAGAAGGTGGTCTGAGACCTTGAACCCTAAACATCAAGTCACAAACCCTAAACCCTTTTAGCCTTAAATCCTAAACCCTAACCCTTCAAGAAACCCTTATAGAATGCCTGAATAGGACCCTTATGCAACCCTAAACCCTTAAACCCTCAAGCCCTAACCCCTAAACGGACCACGAAGGAACCCTATAGTTCCCTAAACCAGTAAACTCTACAGATACCTTATGTAAAGGAACCCTTAAATCAGGGCCACACCAATGGGGGGAACAGTTTGACCGGGCAAGGGCCGCACCCCAAACCTAATTATACCTACCCCCCCTCTCCAGGGTAGACTTAGACCCCCTAAAATCATTGGTATTTGTGTTTTCAGCATTATTGCTATTATTGTTATTAGCAAAAGAAGCCGCAAAGGAGCCCTGAACCCTTAAACCCTAGACCCCCAAAGAGAACCGCAAAGGAACTCTCCGGATTTCTACACGGTCCGTAGCGTCGGCACGCTCTCGGAGTGTCAGGGCTTATGCAGCACGGCCGGAAGGAAGATGAGGGGCTTTCTGATTCAGGGTTTCGGGGTTTAGGGTGTGTGATTTAGGTCTTAAGGGGTCCCTAAACCCTAAACCCTAAACCCTAGTGTTTCGGGTGTTAGGGTTTAACGTTTGGTGGTTGAGGGTGCAGGGGTTTGGGACCTTCAGGCTTT